GTATTCTGCTTCTGTGCTGGAGAGAGAGACAGTGGCTTGTTTGCGGGATTTCCAGGATATAGCTCTGTCGCCAAAGCGGTAGGTGTAGGCTGAAGTAGACCTTTGGTCTTGACAGTCTTCGGCCCAGTCCGCATCCGAGTAACCTGCGCAAGTAAGGGAACCACCTAGCCGGAGACGGAGAGATTTTGTCAAGGCCAGGTAGTGTAAGATTTTAATTGCAGCGGACCAGTGGGATGCAGAGGGGTTTCGAAGGAATTGAGAGAGTTTGTTGACGGCAAAGGAGACATCAGGGCGAGTACACTGAGCAATCCAGAGGAGAGATCCAATTAGTTGATTGTAGGGTCCAGGAGATTGTTCCTCATTTGAAGTCCGCTTCACTAGGTCTTTGAAGAAAGAGGAAGTGGGTGTTGAAGTGGAAACATGGGTACCATTAAGAAACCAAGAGACCATGTCATCAATGTAGTGAGCTTGAGACATATAGAGAAGACTGTTGTCTAGATCACGCGTTATTTTAATGGAAAGGAAATGGGGAAGATCTTCATCTGCACCAATTTCAAATTTGGCGCCAAGGTTAGATATGATAGAATCAACAAAAGAACTTTCTCCAACAACAGCAAGATCGTCAACGTGAACAGTTATGGCGCCTAGCAATTTCCCATCAAAGACCTTAAAGTATAGAGTGGGATCGTATTTAGATTGGGATAGTCCGGAGCCAAGAAGTGCCAGATGAAGCTCCTGATTCCATTGACAAGGAGCCTGCTTTAGTCCATAGATGGAACGTGTTACTTCACATACGTAATCGGGATGAACAGGGTCCTCAAAACCAGGTGGTTGTTCCATGAAGACTGGTTGGTCTAGGTGACCATTTAGGAAGGCGGTTTTGAAATCAACCTGGCGCCCTTTCCATGACTTTGATGCCAAAAGGCTGCAGATTAGTCTGAGTGTTTCAAGGTGCAGAGTGGGAGCAAAACCCTCCTGATAGTCGACACCACGAACTTGAGAGTAACCCATAGCAACAAGCCCAGCATTCAACTTGAGGATTGACTTATCAGGGCGACGTTTGACTTTAAAGACCCACTTGGATATGATGATCTTTTGTTTCGATGGCCGAGGAACCAGACGCCACGTTTCCATACCAAAGGAGGGAGGAGAATTCTTTCATCAGCAGCCTTTAGCCATTTTTGCTTGTGTGGGGACCTTTGGAGTTGACGCCATGTTTTGGGGGTATCAAAATCCTCGGACAAGACAAGTGCCGATTTAGCCCAGTTGCCGTAGCGTTCAGGAGCTTTGCAAACTTGCCCAGAGGACCTGATTGGTGGAGAAGAGGGGCGAGAGGCTGGAAGAGGAACAGACGAGGGGTCGGGGACAGTCGGCGGTGGCAAGTCAGAGACAGGCGGAGGGGATGGAGAGGGCATTGAGGGCGGGAGAGCCAGAGGGGGTGGGGTGTCCATGAGAGACGAAGGGGGAGTGATAATCACACTCCATCCCCCTTCGCGCACGCACTCCAACACGCCAATCAAAATTGGCGTGCGGACCCACACGCCAACCCTCTGCGCGGGCATTCCCCCAGCAGGTTGGCGTGCGGGTCTGCACGCCAATTTCGATTGGCGCATATTATAAGTATGGCATACAAACCCACACACATCATGGGATCACACCATCACAATGCACACCTGGAAATCAGGGGTCCAATCCCATCATCTCTCATCTCCCACACCACCTCAAAAATTTGGGTGTGACCATTTGGAGCCCCCCCCCCCCCATCAAGTTGGGTATGCACTTTTAATGTTCCCCATTCTTGTAGATAAGAAGAGGGCTTGGTGTGGCAGATACAGTTGCGAACGTCATTAAGCTGTACTGACCCGCCTGCAAAATTTATATTTTGCGCGCGGGTCATCGCACCGGTCAGCCCATGAGCCTAACCCACAAGCTGACCACAATTTTGAGGCTTTTGGATCATAGGGATCTCAGAATTAACTCGGCTTAGGTTTCTGCCCAGCCAAAAAAAAAAAAAAAAATTGACCCGCGACCCTTCGGACCAGAGCTTAGAGCAAGCCTTTCAACGCATAACTATGTCGTTATGGGGTCATTTTATGTCGAAATAAACCCATAAAGCCATAGATATGTGTTAATAAACGCCAAGAGAGCGTTATTGTGCATGTATGTTGCTCCACAAGAAATGCTTGAACAATCGACAGGGGATTGGAGGTTCGGTGAGACATACACACTTAGGTGCATCAGCGTATGGAAACAAACAGAAATAAGAGAATGTTGATGAGAAAAAAAATGAGCGACAATTAATTGATGTGAGAGAAAAAAATAAGTGACAACTGGATGAAGGAGTGGAAAAATAGCATTTTGATGCAATGAGAGAAGCCTTAAGCGTTGATGACATCAATGTCCATGGCAGCTCTTCGAGGGATACAACGATGCGAGCTGTACTTCTTCATTAACACCTGAGACTGTGCACCGTTGTATCCTTGTCGATACACAGAAAGCTAATGTTCGGTTCGCCGGAAGTATTTGCGGATTGTGATGAGTGGGCAGGACTGCCTCACTTGCTCAAAGAGAGCCTTGGCGGCAGGGAATGATACCGAGGTGTGAGATTGTTTTCTATAGGCTATTTTGAACAAAGAGGAGAAATGATCAAAAGAAATATTCATATACACACTTATGAAAAGAGAGATGACCTACATTCTTTGATGAACGACCAGAAGAGCTCAATAGGGTTTAGTTCGCAGTGGAACTTTGGTAAGAAGAGACAAACATGCCCAGCGTCTTCAATGATTGTCTGGAGCATGGGTCGTTCGTTCATGAAGTCGGACTGTTTGGATAGTATTTTAGACCAGCAACAGCTTTTATCTTCATTTGGATCTGATTGACCACATTCGTTGTCAGGGGGTTGACCTTCGGCATCGAGGAGCTCTGTGATACATTGTTCCGGAGTCAAGAAGTAGCCAGACCCTTCAGCCTGTTGGATCAGTTTTGCCGAGCGGTTCAAAGCATCTTTTTGTAGATTTGATTGTTTACAGGTGACACAGTGCAGCTTCATCGCAGGTTTTCCCTCTTTGATTCGTAAAGAAGTGTAGTGAGCCCAAAGTCCGCGCTCTTCCAAGATAACTTGAATGCCTTTGGGTTGTCCAGCTCGTTTAGGATTGGGGTGTGAGGGATCAAAGCAAAACCTTTGAGGAAGACCACACAGATGTTGTGGGATTAATGGGTCGTCAGAGGGAATGATGGAGTCTCGGAGCCGAGATTGCTTGCCACCAGGGTTGAGATTCATGTTCTGAACTCTCAATGCTGTTTTGGAAAAGGCACCGTGTGCAGATGAGCAGTCAAAAACAAAAACTGCCTGCGAATTCGGATGGAGGGCCTCAAAGATTGGGATGGCTTTATTGGAGACCTGTTGGCAGAGTTGCTCCATATCCCACCATTTATCCCCGTTAGAACCAGGGTATATGATAGTGGCGGCATCATTCGATTCAATTTGTCTTTCTTTTTGCTGTTCATTGGATATTGTTAATCTTCCTGTGGTCTCCAGGATGAAGTCGGAGATGTGAATCAGTCGCCCAGCATTCTTAGACCGAATTTCACTGCTACCAGGGAGCAACCATGTCGATTTCGGCTTCTCTTTGGCGTGAATTGTTGACTCATCGTGGTAGACAAAGACTGTTTCCTTGTCATCGCCTAGTACTTCAGGACTGACTAGAGGAGCAACGTCAAGATCATCTCCGCCATATATCCTGGATCGTTTTCGATAAGAGTCAAAGTCCTCTATAAACTTCTTCCTGGCCTCAACTACATCTGGTCGTTCATGCCCATCAAAGTACAGGCACTTCCGATATTCTTGAGGGCGATATCCAAGCTTGATCATCCAACGAGTGGCAGCGCTGCGACTGCGGCTGCTGCGCTTCGCGCAGCAGCAGAAAAGACCCGTACAAAAAAAAAAAAAAAAAAAAAAAAAAGACTCTTCTGAATATGAATTGAGGAAATACATTATTGATGACATGGTTTCGGAACGTGATTGGAGTTACCTGTAGCAAAACAAAATGCAGGAGCAAAACAAAATTCAGGAGTCAGAATAGACAGACTGAAAGCTGTATGTAAAATTCAAATGTGACTTGCATGACCGGGAACTTGGGATGCTGCCCAATTGAAGAGTACCTTTCGTAGTTCGATGTTGTCAAGTAGTGACCGATGAGTCTTCCGGTTGCCTCTCTTGACCCCTGAGAGGTGTTGGTTGTTGAGAATATGCTTCGCCTCCTTTCGAATGGAACGAGAGAGATACAATCCACTTCTTGGATCGGGGGGAGATTTGGTCAAAGAACGCTGGTTAAGGGCTGACTGGGCAGCTTCAAGGGAAGCTGTGTTGCTCGGAGAAGGGGTTCCAAGCAAAGAATGCTTAAGTCGGAGATTGTTGAACTGGTAGATGTTGTTCATCATTGATTGAGGAAACTTGAAGTTCTTGTCTTTCTTTTCCTTCTCTCGGTATCGTAAAGTAGCTGTGTTGAGTGCTGAGTTGAGAGCTTCCCATCGGGCTTTTGCTTTTTCAGATTTGGTGAGAGTTGGAGGTTTTGGTGGAGCAGCAAGTCTTTGTTCTAATAAGTGAGCGAGTCGGGCATCAATCAAATCACATGCAACCTGAGGGTTGACTTGATTTGGATCAACAGTAGCAGTATCAGTCAATGTGGCAGATGCGAGATTGGGATCAATGGCCAAGTCGGGTGTTGGTGATTGGATTGGCTTTGATTTTATAAGATAATTTTGCATCATTGTATTGTTTTCTCCGAGAGCTTGGATGTGTCGCTTTCTTCTGTCGTGTTTAGTCTGTTTGGGAATAGCAGCTGGGACAAGTTTTTGAGAAGAAGAGCTTGGGTTTGCTACCGGTTGTTGATATGCCTTCTGTCCAGACTTCAACTGACGGTGCTTAACAGATTCAGGGATAGCAGAGGCAGTGACATCACCCGCAAAGATTGGCCAAAAATCTTGAAATGGTTCGTCCTCGTCTTCTGAATCATCGCTATCATCATCAGATGTTTCGTCGTCAATTGAAAGATCATAGTAATTGACTAAATCGTTGCCCTGATTTCTAGATTCGATTTCAGCTTCTTGGAAGTCAGAAAGTTCAGGACCATTGTTTCCGGTGTGAATTGGTGGCTCGAAGTTGTCCATGCAAGGTTCGTCATTCTGGATTGGAGACTGATCTTTATTAACGGCAGGAGCAACATCAAGGATTTCTATTTCATTTTCGTCGTCAGTGTCTCGATTAAGAACTTCCATGTCATCGTCACCGCTGTCTGAATCTATGAGTATCGGAGAAACCTCTGCGTCCCTCTCTCTATTTTTTTTTTCCCTGCGCCGTCTTCTTCTTTGACCCTTTGCCGCTTTTGTCACTTTATTTCTTTCACCCTTCCCAGCTTTTGAGACTTTCTTAACCGCCATTTTTTTTTTGGAAGTTTCAAGGACTGCTTGTGTAAAAATGATGGTTTTGCACACAGAGAGGTGATCAGTGTGAGTTGTTTTTGTTTTTCATGAGCATAAAGTGAATGTACCTACGCCAACACGTTACTTGCCTGTAAGATGCCAAGTGACTGGAATTAGTTGTTTGCTGGCACAAGATTCCTCCTTGAGAGCGATGGTTTTATGTATTTAATTCAAGTTTTGCCACCCTGTAGATTACATAAGACCATCTCCACCGCCGGTTGCCATCAGAGTTGCCAAATCTCCAAGTTCGGCAACTGCGTCGCGCTTTTAGCAACTGGAAGCCGATTGATTTTGCACTGCGAGTTGCTCAAGATAGCAACTGTGGAACGTGAAAGGTTCCCCCGGGGATCCAATCCTTGCTCTACCAACCCATACCGGACACACATAGCTACCGGTACCGGTCTTGAAAGTATGTATAACTCTCAAAGACCGGTGGTACCGGTCTTTGGGAGTGTACGTTCTTCAGTGACCGTTCCGGTCCTTGAGAGTGCGTGTTCTCCAGCAACCGGTACCGGTCTTCAAGAGTGTACACTCTCTAGTGACGGTACCGGTATTTGAGAGTGTACACTCTCTAGTGACGGTACCGGTATTGGAGAGTGTACACTCTCTAGTGACCGGTACCGGTATTTGAGAGTGTACACTCTCTAGTGACGGCACCGGTATTTGAGAGTGTACTCTCAAGACCGGTAATAGTCTTTGAAGTGCCTGGTGAGTGGGTGTCGGGGGATATGGGGACAGAGGAGGGAGAGAATCACAGGTGAGATCTGTGATACTTGGAAGGTCGGGTTGCTATCCAGTTTCTATGTTTGGCAACACGATAGCTCCTGGAGGCCGAGTTGCTATTTTTTTTGAGCGTTTAGCAACCGCGGTGGCGTTGCTAAATCGGCCTTGGGTTGCTATAATGGGTTTAGCAACCCGGTTTAGCAACCCGCGGTGGAGATGCTCTAAGTATGTACATACAATGGTGACTGGCGTGGATTTTGGGGTCTGCATTCAAAAAATCTCACATGCAGCAAAAATTTAGGAAAAAAATCTCGCCCCCTCCCATCCGGACCCAAAAAACCTGGCCCTCAACTGTCCGGACCTAAAAAATTTAGTGTCGGTTAATGACGTTCGCAACTGTAGTAGGCCAACAAGCTGCGGCTGCATCCCCACCACATTTTGGGTTTATTTTGGCCATAGTGACCTATCCATACAATCCACACACACACACATATATATATATTTATAATATATTCAGAGTTCTTGCAAGTGAAGTACCAAAAACGAACAAAAAGATATTGTAATTAAAAGTATAAGAAGAAAGGCAAAAAAAACAAAAAAAGAGATATAAGAAGAGGGAAAAAAAGCAAACATGAATGTGAATATTGTTATAAGATGAATCAGAACATGGGAAAGTCCAACGAAAAAAAGAAGAGTAACAGAGAAAAAAAAAACAACAAAGAGATGTAGTGCGAAGAGAGAGAGAGAGAGAGAGAAAGGAAGAGAATAGTCTATGATGATATACACATAAATATAAAGATATATATGTATGTTAGTTTAAGAAGAGAAAAAAGAAGCACCACGGAACAGCCATGCAACATATATCCGTCCAGGCCGGCCACGCCGGAGAAAGACGCCCGACCTCTCTCGCCGCCTCATCGCAGCCCCAAACGATTAAGGACTGCGTTTTGAGGAACGCAAAAAAGAGGCACATCAGGGAAGAAAAAAAGAGGATGAGGATAAGGAAAGAGAGAAAGAAACATAAAAAAAGTCCGGTAGAAAAGAAAGAAAGAAAAACAAGTGATCCATAACAGGGCCTTTTACCAAAAAAGCGAAAAAGAGGAGAATAGAGAGGAAGCAGTAGTGGGTGTGATCAGATCCTCCAAGCGCGATCGCCCTTACGACGTTTGCCGACCCCGCCGAGTCTTTCCTTGACGACGAGCCACATACAAGAGACGGCGACGAGGTCTTTGATATCTTCGACATGGAGGATGAAGAGGTCGTCCTCGGGATCCTCTTGGTCCGTTGGACCGTTACCAGTCGAAGAAGAAGAAGAAGAAGAGGCTCTTCTGAGGGTGATCGGTTCGAGGTTCCACGGCACGGCCAGTTGGGCGACCAGTTTGGGATGGTGAGGGTGCGGGGTGAGACTGGCGACGAAGAAGCGCTGTTGTCGACCGTCGAGAGCTTGGACGACGAGCTCGCAATGCCAGGGCCGCTCCGAGTCTTCCGGGTCGCTGTCTTCTCCCTCCTCCTCATCAGCCATCGACTCGGCCGTCGACTCGGCCGACGATGCGGCCTCCGTCGACTCTGCCTCCGTCGGGTGCTCAGAGGACGGTGGAACTTGGGTGGCGTCCACTGACTGCGCCGGCTCGGGGACCGACGATCCAGGGATCTCTTGCTCCGTCGAAGTGGTGCCCTCAGGCTCAACAGCCTCGACCGGCTTCGTGAATCTGCCAAAGAAGTTCATCACCCCCATCGTGGTTGCGGCGGGGATGGTGAAGAGCTTCAAGGCCGAGTCAGGGGCGATGGGAGGCGGAGTGGGCGGGTTCCCTTCGGGCTCGACGGGTGCAGGAGGCGTGGGTTGACGCTCGACGGGTGGGGGAGGAGCCACGGGGGGATGACTAGTCGCTTCGGCGGAGCCTTGTTCGGGATCAGTCTTGGCCTTGGTCGGGGCACGGAGACGTCTCTTGGCCTTGCGCCACTCGATGAAGACCGGGTTGAGTTGGTTGGTCTTGGGCGAGCTGTTCTGCCAATCAACAATCTCAGGCTTGGTCCACTTCCGGACGATCCACACATATCCCTCGGCACGTCGGCCCCCGGCTTCCATCGTCGGCCCAACAGACGACAATCCTCCATTAGTGGAAGGTAGATCACTGTGACTGCAATGCTCGGATCCAGAGATCCCGGCAAACTTTTTGCCGACGGTCTTGCTAGCGGCAACTGCTTCAGAATCCGCTTTAAACCCGGCCTTCTTATTGAACACATTCATTTTTTTGACCTTGTTGAACAGGGCTGCTGCGCCCGGCCGATCCTGCTTATTGAGACTAGGATTCGGGGTGCCGACGGACGAGAGGAAGGTGTTGACTTGAGCTGGTGGACTGATGGGCCCCCCGTTGAGTAGGAGATTGAGATCGCTGCCGTATCGGCCACTTCGGATCTCGCTGGGCTCGATGTTGGCAAGCTCGACGAGTTCGATTCCCTTCTTTGCAAACTTGGCAACTTTGGCATCCGTACCTGTGGGTAATAGATGAGAGAGATTCAGTTTACAACTTCCAGTGCAATTTATAGAAAGGAAATAAAGAAGGGACTGACCAGCATCGCAGATCCAAGTAGGCAAGACAGTGTGCCATTGAAGGTTGTAGAGAGGAGTGACGCGTCTGTTGCGGCCTTCACCACCCGAGCTGCAGGTACGATTACTCCTACTACTCCTGTTACTGTGGACACTTCTGATACTCTGGGTTCGATTAAGCTGGAGAGGGTTGTCGGAGCCGTTGATTGCTTCGGGGGCGGAGGACATGGGTCTTCCAGTGAAGATTTGAGTTTGAGGGGGGCTCGAGTTGGAGAGAGCCGGGGTTGAGAGACTGGGCTCCCGACTCGGATTGACGGCGTTGGGGAGGATCAATTGGATTTGTAGGTTAAGCGGATGATTCTGCTTGCCAGGGGGAGGTCGGACGATGACGAACATCTCGGCAGGCATGGCTGGCTTGGAGGGCCAGTTACTTGAGTTTGACGAGGAGCCTGTGGGTTGCGGTTCTGACATGAAGGATTGGAAGCCAGGCGAGACCGGACTGAGACTGGAGTGAGTCATGGAGGAAGGCGATAGGTTGTGAGAGAGAGAGGTGGGAGAGAGCTGAGAAGAGGTGGGGTCGGGTTCTGTAACATTTTCCTCGTGGTCAGGGATGGGTGAGAGTACCCTGGGTTCGGCGATGTTGGGGATGAGAAGTTGAGTTGATCGAGGTTGCAGTTTCTCTTGCTCTGAGAGATAGCTGGCTTTGGGTTGAAATGAGGCGCGGAATTGAGAAAGCATGGGTCGTAGTGGTTTTGGATGGGTAAGTGTTGAAGTGGCTGGTTGGAATGAAGATGATGTTTGGGAGGAGGTTGAGGTTGAGGATGATGCTGATGGTGGGAAGTGCGAGATTAACGAATCAGATAGCGGCCGGGAGTTTGACGGGTTGCTGCGGAGGAGGGGGGACAAATTCGGAGGGGTCAATCTGGCTGAGCTTGGGATGGAAGGGGGAGAAGAAGATTGATTGATGGTTGATGAGATCTCACAGCGCGCTCCAAAGGGTGATGGACTAAGACTGAGAGGCGAATCGTAAACGCTGGGTCGTGGTGAGCCGAATGTGGATAGGAAGCTTGCAGCGATCGGTGAGGAGGGTGAGGTGGATGGGGGGGAAGAGTAAGGGCCAGAGGATGATGATGAGGAGGATGAGGATGAGGATGATGAGGTAGAAGATGATTGGTTTGTGGTTTTAATTTTGGGGAGTGCTTGATTCTTGTGTGTGTGTGTGGTGGTGGGTTGAGTTGCTTGGATGATGGTGGTGGGTCGATCGATCGGTGAGCTTGCTGGTGGGGTGCTGTTCTTCTTGGCCAGGGCACGGTTGGCGATCGAACTGGATGGTTGGATTAGGAATGGGTTGATCGGATGGTGGTGTTCTTGGTGTTGGATGTGCTGCTGCTGTCTGATGAGCTGGAGCTGCAAGAGTTCCTGCTGGCGGCTGATGAGCGCGTTCTGGTGAGCTGGCCCTTGGCTGTAGTTAGCCAGCGGTTGTCGTGGGTAGATCGGATGGCTGTTCCGGGTGGGAATCTCGGAGGAGGGTATAACGGTCCCGGGCGCAACTCGGAAGGGGTTCTTGGTCGAGCGCTCCATTCCGACCGAGCGGATGGGCTGGTGCTGTGGCTCGGAGGGAGATGGACGAGAGGACCAGTCCAACTCGATCGTCGTCCGAGGATTAGGCACCGATGGTTCGTCTTGGTCTGGCTCGGTGGCCGTACTGTCCCTCCTTCGTGGGACGGCATGGGATCGTCGGTGGTCTGCCCAGTGGTGTGGCATGACCGACTGGTGCTGATGACCATCCTCCTCCTGATCATCATCATCGTCATCCGGCCGACGGAGCCCGTTGAGCTCGGGTTCAAGCGAGGCTGCGATGGCTGCCTGGATGGCTTCCTCCTCGATGGCTGTGCGGGTGGCGGTGAGGATCATGCTGGCCGAGTTCTCGCGCTCTTCGTCGAAGGGCGGGGTCAGCGGACGGGGGATCGAGCTGAGCGCGAGGAGGCTGGTGACCTGCTGGCGGGGGTTGTGGAAGTTAACCCTGAAGGATCGCCGGTCGAGGTCGTAGGATGAGTTCCAGGCCGAGGTCGACCTGGGTTGGATGATGGGGAGTGTGTTGAGGTGGACGAGCGCAGGCTGAGGGGCTGGGGTAGAGGAGGAGAGCACATGGCGGAGGGCGGCTGTGGGGGCAGTGATGAAGTGGTTGTCGCTACTCGGCTCAGCGCTGGCTCGACCTTCAGCCGACGATCGACCGCGACTGATGATTTGGATTAGCTCAGGAGTGGTGCTACTGGTGTTGGTGTTGGTGTTGCTGCCATGGCGACCGGGAAGACCCAGGCCAGATCTCCTCCGAGTCGAACTCCGCCTCACAAGCGCACTGAGAGACGAACTGCGATGGTGGTTGGAGGTGAGGGCGGCTGAACTGAAGAGAGCCGGGCGAGCGGAAGAGGGGGAACCAGTAGCAGCAAAGCTGACCCCAGCCTGGCCGAGTGGGGCCGAGCCAGTGTCCAGAGTATGAGAACGAGTGGGAATAGAGGAAGAGAGAACTGGATACATTGGATTAAAGAAAAGAAGAAGAAAAAGAGGATACAACGAGTCTCAAACACGGCGTTCCAGAGGGAAAAAAACACAGCCAAGGCAAGGTGGAGAGGTAGGCGTCAGAGAGGTGAGCGAGGGAGTGAGAGTGAGAGATGGAGTCAAGGATGGTTATTAGATGAGGAGGAGTGCGGCGAGTTTTCGAATAAGGTTTTTTATGTTTTTGGATGTGAAAATCAGAGCCAGTCTATCGGAAAAAAATTAGGAGGAAGAATATGAAGAAGTTAGTCAGAGCTGGCGACAGGAAAGGGTTGTTAGAGAATGGAATAAATAAGTAAGAAAGAACCAACAAGCACTCTTCAGACTATCTCCGCGTCAGACTAACAACCAAGAGAGCGACTGGTATGACTGTCGACGGTGGTGGCGGACTGGCTAGGACTGGTGTAGAGGAATCCCAGGAACAGCAACAATAATATTTAATCTCTTCTGGCTAGAGTCGAGTCGGAACGAGTCAACAACAGTCGCTAAGTCGGACGGCCAACAAACACTCGGATTTATCTTTCCTGGTCGAATGTAGAGCGAGAGAAAAGAGAAGAAATCGTTTTCAAGTAGACGGAATGGACAAGGCGCGAAAGCAGAAAGCAGTTTGAGTTCGGTTGGAGGGAAGAGAGGAGCGGAAAAGACTAATTGAGAGACGTATAAAAAAGATATAATATTATGGACACTCAAATATTGGTTACAGATAGTCAAGCCGCAGACGATAAAAAAATGATAAATTGGGGTTTATTGGGTGGCAAGCATAAAGATAACTGGGAGAGTCGAGCTACAAAAAGAGTTGGACAAGGAAGATGGAAGTAAATATCTACTGCGAAGTACGTGAGGAATTGAAGTGACGAGGGGAGAGAGAGATGAGCTTTATAATAACGCAGGCCAAAGCCTTTCTTCTTTCTCAAGGGCGAGTGAGAGAGAGAGAGAGAGCTGGACGGATTGGTCAGAGGTGATCTTGGTGAGACAGATGTCTTGGACCAGACGACGATGGATGCAGCCGGACCGACAGCACTAACCAGAAGCAGATCAGCGTTTTTGAAAATCGGCAAGGATGATCCCAGTGACGGGGGGAAGGGAGGATGTCCTGATGAGATGAGCCGACCGGGGCCCATGGCCGACTGCGATCATCGCCCGAGATCTCCTCCACCGGCCCACCTGGCCCCGGATCCACGGTCCACGAGGGAGCGATCTGTTTATAAATTTGGGCGTCAAGGATCCCGTTCGGTTGGCCGGAAAGAGGCCCCCGAAAATCGAGCCTGGCTGGACAATCATCAGCTTGCGGAAAGTCAGCTTAAAGCTCGTTTAAACAAGTCTTCATGTTTCGGTATGTGTTTTGGTTGGATAATAAGGTCATGGACGAAATCTGTTTGTTTATGTACAAGCTTATAACAGCCCATCGACCTGATGTCAGCCTGCCGGATGGCGTCCGGGAGAAAACAATGATATCTTCTTCATGAGAGATCGTTTGCACAAGCTTTTTGTTTACTTGTAAACTCTCTTCTCGAATTGTGCATGCTTTCTCAAACCTCTCTAGTTTAAAGACATCGGCATGGTTCTTTCTTAAAATAATCTTCGAAAATGGTTGCTCTTGACTTAAGAGCCATGATTCGATTTGAATTTTGGACTGCGTTATAGTAAAAAAAAAGTACGTAAATTTAGTAACACGAGAACTCTTGAAGGTGATCTCTACGTCGGTATACTAAAATATCTATTAATGTCCCTGTCTATGAGCCTTCAAGAGCTCTTCAATCAGATTCAGAGATCATCAACCGAAGACAAAGCAGGAGATTATAAAGTCATCTCATTTTGTATGTTAAAAAACTCGGTCCCTCCGACTCGAGCTCATCGACATATTACCCGACCACTTCTTACAGCTGCCGACGAGTTTTCGAGATCAAGTGGGCGTACATACCATACTTATTGTAGGATCAGGATGAGGGAAACATTTTGTCAAGTTGACAGGACCATTATACTAACACCACTGTCTGATTTTTTCGGATCTGATAGGATCTGAATGGTGAACAGGTCATATCTGCCTCAGGCGGCCAACGAGTCGTCGGGTGACTATATATAGTTCCTCTTAACCATGGCCACCAATCATGCATGGACTCCTCGACGATCACTGTGCCACCCCGGTCTGCTCTTTCGCCGGGCACGACGCTCCCTTTGGGGCGTTCTGTGTCAAACGTATTGCCTCGGCCGGCTTGAGCGATGGTCTTGAAGACAATATGCACCTATCCTCGACATGGAACGGGCCGAGGACCATATATCGCTAACACGACTCAAGAAATCGTCCGCGCTTATCGTCGGCGGAATGGAGTTGACTTGAGCCAGTTCGATGGAAGCGCCCGAATGGGCCCGACCTTCGGCGCCATGTTACTCTGCAAGCTTTCGTTTATTCACCTCTACATACTTCAGAGTGTAATGGATCTCTCTTCTTCTTAAATATGTATCCAGCTGGTTGAAAGAGAGCTGCCGAAGTTACCCTACAATCTCTCGGACCCGTCCAAGTTGAGGAAGGTGAAGTTGTTGGCTTGGCCAAGTCACCAGAACCCACCTACAAAGATGTGCGCAAAAGATTCCCGACCCTTGTAGTGTTTGGGAACTCATTGACACACATTGTGAATACATACACCTCTAGTTTTTCAAGATAGTAAGAAGAAGAAGATGATGATATGCTTGGTGGACGTGTGTCTAAACAAAGTGTACGCCTAAATACCTACTCTCCTCAGCCACCGCTTTCCTTCAACCACTCTCTCTTTCTCTCTGGCCTCTTCATCGTAGAGGTTCAAGTTTATGAATCAGAAATTACGCTCTACAACAAGTTCAAAAACGGAAAGATATATATATATCTTTTGAATGGTTTGATAAAACTCCGAAATTCAGTACTGCTGTCCAAGGATCAAGATTCCTGTCAAGATGAGCATGTCGGGAGACTGGAACTTGTGGTTGATTTGATTTGACAATATATTCAGAAGTGGGCTAGTTTTGTGAACCATCCTGATCACTGTGGCCGGTTGCGCCTGAGGGTTCTGTCACTGATGAAGTCCGAAGAAGGAAGTCTTTCCTAATCCTTTCTTGCCCGTTTATGTTCTTCTTAGCATCTGAACGTCATTGCTAAGCAATATGGGCTCTATGAGTAGACCCATCCGGAAACTAGCTGACGAGAGCATCAAACAGTACCACTTCCCAGAGTATGGGACCGGCCGGAGGCCGGATGACACTGGCCCGGCCAAGTCCCCCTTCCCCATTTGCAGCCGGTCGCCGGGCACGCCCATGCGGTTACTTGATCGGACCGGGCATACGCAGCTCGGCAAGTCCCTTTGATCGCGGTAGGATGTGCTCTCATAGAGATCACTCGTGTTATAATACATACTCAGGGATTTTGTATCCTATGATCACTACGAGCTTAGCCAATCTTATACATACCCAACCAACAGTCACCACCGGAAGATGTAAACAAACAATCGCAAAACGCATGCTTGCTGACCATGGACATCCTCAGTAGACAGTACATAGTTTGTAGGGTTCATAGATTGGAAATGTGCTCAGCCATATCAGTCCATTCCTCAGCTATGTACAATCTGCACACTGCTTCGTCCACTATACATATTTCGCTGAGCCAGGCTTTGCTCATCTCAAAATTCCCATTCGTCTTTGGTTTGAATTGTTCGCTAAATAACTTTAGCTTTCCAAAGTGGAATGGTGGATATATAGCCATATATATATTGGGCGACGTGAACGTTCTTCATCAAAAGGCACTCTCTTGATCAACTGATAATTTGATCCATCCCAAAAAATCGTAACACTTATCTCCTTCAGTCTTGACATCATCTTCTTCCCCTTTTTTTTGTGGTCACATTTCTATCAGTCTCGTCGTCCCAATTAGATTGGGCGAAAAAAAGCTCGCAAGAACAAGCGGTTTATATTAGTGCCGTTGCAAAAAAGATATCGTATTGTGATTGAAGCAAAATGTCAGACAAGATGGATATCGATGATCAAGGCCTGCAAGGGGCAGTGGACCCGAAAGCGACGCCGCCAGGGGATCCCGCGAAATCGACAGGAGGATATTCGTGGACATACGCCTTCGAGGTGCCGCTTTTGACGCTCGAATTAGTGTGCGAGGAAAGCGAGAAGAAGACGATCAAGCAGGTCGAGAGCGAGCTCGGCGTGACGATCGAGTTTGAGAGGACGACGCCACATTACAAAGGCTTCGGCAACGGTCTCTGTCGGATCCTGGCCCGGGAAACTCTGGCCATCTATCGGGCACTCGCCTTGATCGTCGCGCTCGTCAGACTCAGCTCGCCCGCTCGTTATTGCTTTTGGACTCACTGGTTGGTCCTTGATGAGGTCTTCCAGATCGATAGCATTCCCGATCAAACGGATCGCGTCGAAACCGGCGTGGAACACGTCGAAACAAAATCGGTTGATGATGGCTCAGGGGACGGACACCAAGATTCCTCCACAAGTCTTGCAAATGATTCGACCCAAACAATGTACGCGTTTTTGCATTTCGTTGATGAGCGATGAGGAATGTATATACAAATCACTGATGTGGGGGGGTTTCTATGTGGCATGTCCCAGCTCTGGGACGCTAGGGGAAGTTCACAATGTCAAAACGACGGCTTCAAGCCAATCGTCTGAACCGCCAAAGAACAGTGGATGGGCCATCGAGTCTAATAAGGATAGCCAGTCGCAAATCCCTCAGTCAGGATGGGAAGATCCGCCAGCTCCATGTCTCCCCTTAGCACCCTCGGAACCCCAGATTCCCTTGTCCACAACCCCGCCGATCCTGGAGCCGTCGGGCTCAGCAACTGGCCCTCCATTGGAGACTATCAACCAAGACTACTTCGGATCAACCACCCCGTGTTCTTCGCCTGGAGAAGTCGCTCAAACGAACGTCGACTCCGAACGTCTTCCCACTCAACCGTTAACTCCATTCCAAGAAGAACTCCTGTCTGACAAACTCATTTCCGACCAAGATTATAAGCGGATGCTGGACGTTGATAAGGCCCAGTTGCCGCAGGACACCCAGGCGCACCATCCTTCTTTCGAATGGTTGCAAGAGGCTTTCAAATTGCACAACCCGGGTAAACCTGGTCCTCATCAAGTAGATCTCGGCAAAGATGCCCAATTGAATCGTAGTAGTACTAGTACCACTCCCTTGTCTGAACTTGCAGTCAAAAAATCTGAACCTCCAATCGAAACAATTGAAGCTCCAATGAAAAAATCTGAACCTCCGTTCGAAACAACTGAACCTCCAGTCAAAAATTCTGAACTTCGAGTCGAAAAATCTGAACCTCCAATCAAAAAATCTGAACCTCGAGTGGAATACTCTGAACCTCATCCGATCGAAAACAAGGCAGTGATAAAGAGACTGATGGAGCTTCCTTTAGGGACAGAAGAAGTGAGCCCCTTTTCATATATTACGATCCTCAGGTAATCCACCCATAACGCGTCCTGAAATTACTGACAAATTACGCATAAAATCTACACACAGTATCTACGCGAAAACAACTTCCAGGCGATTCGCGAGATCATCCTGGAATCCAACGCGCACTGTCGACTTTCCAGCACCCCCGAATGTCTCCGGTTTTGGGCCGTCGGAACCGAACGGGAAGTCTCGTTGGCCATGGTTCTAATCTCCATCAAGATCAAGGAATTCTTGTAATCTCCTCTCCCCCCCCTCTTTCTCTCTCTCTCTCTTTCCCCTCATAATAATTTTATGTCGGATCAGGTCGTCGTTATACAATCTTGTTTTTCTGGTAGCTCTGGAGCATCTACATATAAATTTTTTTGATGGTTTCTGTTCTGCAAATAATTACAATCTCGTCTTTTAAAAAACAAAAACAAAAACTATGCGCAAAACTTGTGCTCACTTTGCGCAAATTACAATGTCACCATTTGCCTTACATTAAGCCAGTACATATTTACGTAAAATATGTGCTACTCGAAACTCGAGTCATCTGATCTGCAGAGGCTTGTGATCACATAACGGCTACATGGTCAGGTTGGCGGCAGAATTTTGACTTGTTAACAGTTAGTTAACTTGGTAATCTTTCCACATCATAGTTTGCCTTACAAAGCGGAAGGCAGTTAGTTTCTCCTCGCGTGTTTTACCCAAAACCGAAGTCATCTGATCAGCCATTGCGCGTGATCACATGGCCACTGCATCGACGAGCAAAATGGCGGGCGTAATTCTGACGTATTTGGATCACGGCTCTTGCCTTTCCTCTATTTTTCCGCCGCGGCTCCATCAGCCTGAAGTTTTTTTTTTCTTTGTTGGGAAATGGTGGTGAAGGTGGATCAACACTTTCTATTGATGATACATTGAAGCTGTAGCCTCAAGTATAGGAAGAAATTAGGACTCGTTTGAAACTCCGTGCTAATTTTCATCATCATCATTTTAAAGATTGACAAGCATGAATGGAAATACAAATGTGGATCATAATTCTTTATTCATTTCTAAATCGTTCTAAAGTGATGCTAAAGTTTTGAGCAGCTAAACGGAATTGATCGATCAACAAGGAAGAGTGATAATTGAAAACAGTGGTCGATCTTGGAAGAGCAAGTTTGTCGGTAGATAGAGGGACAAGATGACGGTTCAATAATTCTATTGACCCATTGAAATATTTCATAGTTTCTTCAAAATGATTCTTCAGAGAAGAGAGATTATTATGAAACCTATTGAAATCAGACAGGCCAACCAATCTTTCGGTAAAATTCGACATCTGGTCGGAAAACAGGTAAGTTTTGTTTTTCAAGTTGCCAAGTTCGACTGAGCTTATGATATCCTTGATCGTGAATGGAGGTCTACTGATTGGAGTGACCAAGAGTTTGCTGAAAAATAGCCGGCCGAGTTTGACAAACGGGAGTGCAGACCGGAGGAGCGTTAATTCGCGTGAGCGTGCAGTTTGAACTGGTCCAATTTTGATTGTCGGGGTGTGGATGTCCGATAGATCTGTTTTGGCTGGATTGCGAGCTTGGTCCGATTGGATGATGATGTGTTCGATTAAGTTTGCCAGGCCTATATCATATTGACGAGTCACTGTCAATTGCCAGGTATCTTGCATGTTACCAAAGTCGGATTTCGTGAGCAATCGAATTAGTTCATCGATGAGTTCGAATGTGATGGTTGTTTCTTCAGACACGCTTCTTTCGTCGAACCTCGCAGCTCGTTTTTCCTCTGATGGACAATTCCAGCCTTGAACAAACTCAACATGCCGCTCAAATACTGCACATAGGCTGAAGTTGATGAGATCATCAACTTTCTCCAGAAAAGGCTCAGTTCTGTGTATTTTTGCGATCCCATGGAAATCGTCCCGGTATTCGAATGCTCTGAGGCGTGCAAGCGTGAGCGCACGAACGGCGGCCCTGATTTGCACCAAGATGTCGGCGAGTTGGGATGTGATTTCAAGGGTGGCCCGAAGGTTTGCTTGCGGATCTTTCGGGAAATGGGACGCGTCTAGGAATACAAGTAGATCGGCCATACGTTGTCGCAGGGAAGGTAGCAATGTCGTTCGCATCTTGATCAGAAGAGATTTCAAGACATTGATTTGTTTGGTTGAGATCTTTGGCTTGCGATCGTCATAGTCTGGTGTGCTCGACCTGCGCCGGCAAGACTCGGACAAGCTTTCAAACGCCTCACAAACTGTGTAGGATTGGAATTGAATCAGTTCTTTATTAGTGTATGTCTTCAATTTGAGCAGAACTGATTCATGTGCACTTTACCATCCGATTCGAGTATTCGTGTGTTTTCCGAATCCAACATGGTCAAATGAAGAATGTCGATGGATTGGGGTCGAGGCATGGGGTCGACAACTGGAGAAACCGGCCGACACAAGCCTCAGCCCCGGGGGGTCTTGCACCGGGTAGTCGGGCTTCCACTGCTGCCTGACCGGACTCCTGGAAGTGGAAGCCAACCACACTTCTGAATCCTTGGCCTTTACAGAGATCAGGAAGTTGCAATAATTCAACCTCAAGATGGTCTTCTTCTAGTCTAGCTGGTAGCTTGACAGAACATTGCCTTTCCAACTGATTAGTTGTGCAACGTTCATGATTTAGTTTCCCAATCCGACATTTGTAAAATTTCAATCTCTTTCCTCTGTTTACAGATATAGCAAGTCAGGAGTTTTGATTTGTATTTGCTTTGAGGAATGGAGGTGAAGAAGGATCTACGCCCGCCGATCCTGTCCAGCTGTCGTCTCAAGTATAGGAAGGAAGGACTACATACTTGGTTTGGGATCTGGGGAAAATGTTTTGATGATTGTTTTGAAAAGTGACCAGCTTGGATGGATGGATCTTGATTGAGTTTATTCAAGTACACAACATCAGTTTCTAGATCTTTCTAAAGCCATGCTAAAGTTTTGAGCAGCCAATCGGAACTGATCAATCACTAAGGAAAAGTGATTCTTGAACATAGTGTTTGATCGAGGAAGAGGCAGTTGGTGGGTAGATACTAGAGGTACAGAATGACGGCTGAATAATTCAACAGAAGCATTGAAATATTTGAGAATGTTTTCAAATTTATCCTTCAGAGAAGATTGATAATTATGAAGTCTATATGAATGAGTTAGGTCAACCAACGTCTTGTTAAAATGCAACAGCAGGAGAGAAAACATGTAAGTTTTATCTTTTACACAGTTGAGTTCTGTTGAGCTTATTTGACTCTGAATCGTGAATGGTGGTCTACTGATTGGATTACTCGAGAGTTTGTTTAAATATATCCGGCCTAGTTTGAAGAATGGGATTGCAGCCTGGAGAAGCGATCTGAGACGTGAGCGTGGAGTTTCAACCCGAGTGGTTGTTGGGGCTATTGAAGAGTTAGTGACTGAACCTGATTTGATGATGTATTCGATTAAGTCTGCGAAGCCATGGTCGTACGAATTCACTACCGCTTGCCAACTAGCTTGAATAAGACCAAAGTCGGATTTCTCGAGCGATTGGACGATTTTATTGATATGATCGGATGTTAGTTTTGTTTCTGGGCACATGTCGCGTCTTTGGCTGGAATATGTGCCATCCCTTTCTTCCTTCAAAGATTTCCAGCCTTGAATAAACTTAACATGTTTTCTGAATAGTACACGCAGGTCGTGACTCATGAGCATATTCAATTCGTGCAGGAGAGGCTGAGTTCTATGGCTTTTTGCAATCCCGTGGAGATGGTCCTCGAATTCAAATACATCAAGTTGTGCGAAGGTGACGGTACAGACGGCGAATCTAATTTTTCCCATGATGTCGGCGAGTTGTGATGTGATCTCATGGGTGGCCCGAAGGTTTGCTTGCGGATCTTGCAGGAAATGGGACGGGTGTAGTAATAGCACCAGATCATTCAGACACTGTCGCAAGGAAGGCAGAAGAGCTGTCCGCATATCGATCAGGAGAGATGTCAGGAAATGGATTTGATCGGTCGAGATAGTTGGCTCGTAATCATCATTTTCTGGGGTCATCGACCTGGGGCAGCAGAACGAGGACAAGCTTCGAAACGCCTTGCAAACTGTGTAGGATTAGGATCAAATCAGTTTGTTATGAGTGCATGTTTTCACTTTCAGTAGAACTGGTTCATGTCCACTTACCATCTGATTTGAGTCTGGCTGTGTTTTCCAAATCCAACATGGTCGAATGTGATGTGGTTTGTGATGAGACAAACTGGGACAGCAGATGCATGATGTGGGAGGAATCGAGGATCAATATTCATTGCATCAGTAATGATAAATATTGATACTGAAACATAATGAAGAGAAAAAGAAAAAGAAACGAAAATAGAAAAAGAAAAACTCATACCTGGGACAGCAGATGAATGATGTGGAAGGACGAGGGAAGAATCCCCCACTGAAAGTGAGCTGCTGCCCCAGGTATGCTACACAACATGTGAAACTGGTGTGACATGTGATGATCAGAAATGTAGCATACAACACACATGTACTGAAACCCAACAATTTGTGAAATTGTCAGAACAAACTTGTGCTCAAGCTACATATGGTGTTGCAAGCCCGTCTGGGCACACACCAAAGTTTGGTCAAAAAAAGGCCAAGCGCGCTGGGCCAATCCCAAAGCCCGCTTGGCCGATCCCAAAGCCTGCGTGGCACCATCCCAACCCCCGCTTGGCACATGCTAAAGTTGGCGGGGGTCGGGACAAAGCCTCGCTTGGCCGAAATCAAGCGAGGGTGCCACGCCCGCCAACATGCCGGCCCCCGAGAAGGCCATCTGCTGAGCCGGGGTCCAGTGCCGGGCTGGTGCACAGGCTACCAATCGGCCCAGGGCTTGAAATCGGCCCAGCGGGACTTGGCTATGTGCCAAGTCCTGCCCCCCGCCCATCCTGTCCGATCAAGCCCTCTGGGCACAATCTAAACCCCTGGTGGCACTCGGCCACGCGGGACTTGAGATTGTGCCCAGACGGGCTTGCAAGACCATACACCAGGGTCTAGTGAGCCAGATGGTAGCCCAGTAACTGAGTTAAAACATAATGAAGATTGTTGATGGATAAGGACTGGAGAAACCAGCTGGAGCCTGGCACAAACCTCAGTCCTGGGTCTCGCCCTGGGTAGTCAGGCTTCCAATGCTTCCTGACCAGCCACAACTCAGATAGTTGATACACATTTACGTGGATACCTGGGGATACCTACAGAACTGAAAGTGGAAGCCAACCACACTTCTAATTCCTTGGCCCTACAGAGATAAGGAAGTTTCCGATTTTTCACCCTCAAGATGGTCTTCTTCTAGCCTAGCTTGGTGAAAACACTAAACACCCAAAAGAAATGGGCTGCTGCTCCTTGGCATAGCAAAAATCACTCCCAATGTGGAAGAGTCTGTTGAACATTATTAAACCTTAGCGTGTCAAAAAATGTAACTCAAAGCATGTTTCTTCAAATTGAGTTGATATGTAGAAAATTCAATTAACAAACCCACGAGAAGATATGGAAAATTGAATGTCAAAAATTTTGAGAACAGAGTGATCAATCAAACAAAAACATGAAGAAAATCTGTCAAGAGCTATCCATAACAACACAATAAATAAAAGAGATGAATTCAAAAAGAATACAGATTTCATTACAATCTTTTTTGTAAGATGATATGTTTGCTGAACCAACTTCATAAATGGAAACGTGGAGCCAAACTTACAAATCAATGAGAATATGATGGTACATACTACACTGAGGAGACAAATTAATTGAGAATGAAGAATTCACAAAAAGAATAAAACCCAATGGACTGATCTGGAACTTGTTTGTGATGAGGCATCCATCTAACCTGTGACTGCTTGGCCAGAGACCTCCAAACAGCAGTATGACAGCCCTGTCCCAGTAAGATTCAGATATGGTCATACTAGTAGCTCTTTTTTTTATTTCTCAATTGTACTAATGTTGCAATTAGAATCGTAGGTGCATACACTAATTTATGAATGTAAAGTACCAAAGCATGCAATTTCAAATCAACAACCACCTAGCCTATAATTGGTAGTTAAAAAAAATAAGACAATACACAAGAAATTGGACACTGCTGAAAGAAGAAAGAAATTATAAGGAAAAAAAGGAGAAAATCAGTGAGAAAGGGGCCAAAAAGAAGGATTAGAAGATCAGGGTTTGAGGAGAAAGCTGTGGATTTAATCAACTTGATGATGAGAAGGCAAAGCTTAGCACAAAGTTCAGGAAGAGCGGAGGGAAATCAATAGGAGTTGTTGGACTGGCCTTTCCAACCAAATTAGCAGTCTGATTCTGAAGATTATACACTTGTATTTTTGTTTCCCAAACTGATATTTGAATAAATTTTATCTTCTCTCTATTATATCTCCACTCAACCGCACAAAACGTCTGAAGTTTGTCTTCTTGTTGAAAAAATGGGGGTGAAGGTGGATCTACAATTGGAGTTGATGATGCATTCATGAAGCTGTAACCTCAAGTAATATAGGAAGAAAACTAGGACCGGTTCGAAATAAATCCTGTGCTAATTTTCATCATCATCATCATTTGATAGAGTGACAAGGATGAATGGAAAGACAAATCTCTGATCATGTACCCCTATTCATCTTAACACTTTCTAAATTGATGCTAAAGTTTTGAGAAGCGAGACGGAATTGATCGATCAAGAAGGAAGAGTGATCATGGAAGATCGTTTTAGATCTTGGAAGAGAGAGTGGGTTGGGAGATAGAGGCACGAGCTGACAGTTTAATAAATCGATCGACTCGTTGAAATAATCCACAGCTCCTTCAAACTCATCCTCAAGAGCAAAGATAGATCGATAAAAGCTATCCAGATCAGATAGGCCAACCAATGTTTTGGCAAACAGCCACATCTGGCACGAAAACATGTAAATCTTTTGTCTCAGATAATCAAGTTCCATTGAGCTTATCCGACTCTTGATCGTGAATGGTGGTCGACTGGTCGGAGTGATCAAGAGTTTGTTTAGGAAAATCCGGCCGAGTTTGACAAACGGGATTGCAGACCGGAGGAGCGTTATATAATGCGGCCTTGGAATCCCGAGTTGTCCGTTGGGCGGGCCCCTTGAAGCGTGAGTGTGATCAGATAAATTTTTGTCGGCAGGATCGCGGTCTTGGTCTGATTGGATGATGATATGGTTGATTAATTTTGCCAGGCCTGTATCATACTGATGCATTGTCTTTTTCCAATTGTCTTGAAGAACACCAAAGTCGGATCTGTTGAGCAATTGTAGTGCTTTATCAATATGCTCGAAGTAGTCGATTGTTTGGAGAGATAGGTTTCTGTCGTGGTGCATGTCGACTCCTTCTTGGTTCGGACCCTTCCAGCTTCGAATACGCTCCAGATGTCTCCAAAGTATTTTATATAGGGGACAACCCATCAGCCAATCCAAATACTCCAGGAAAGGCTTGGTTCGATAGCTTTTCGCTATGCCGTGGTCGAAATCCTGCCTGTTGAGTGCTTGGAGTGGTATGAGCATGGGGGAGATGGCTCTGACGGACGATCTGATTTGTTCGGGGATGTCGGCGAGTTGGGATATGATTTCCAGGGCGGCTCGAAGGTTCGGCTGCGGATCTTTCAGTGAATCGGAGACATCTAGTGATGTCAGGAGATCAGCCAGACGCTGTCGCAAGGAAGGTAGCAATGTCGATTGCAATTTGATCAGATCAGATTTCAGGGCATCGATTTCGCCGATCGAGAGGGTTGCCTTGCGGGGACCAGGATCATGTCGGGATGGCATCGAGCCGTGCGTGCAAGGCTCTAACAAGCTTTCAAGCGCCTTGCAAACTGTACAGGATAGATTCAACCCGAGTTTGTGATTAATAGTATACGTTGGTTTCACTTCTGATGATCCTGAGTTGGATCCGGTGTTAACTTACCATCGGATTCGATCAAGCTGGTGTTTTCCGAATCCGACATGCTCGTTGATTGAGGCTGTCGATGGTGGATGAAGAACTGGAGGAACCGGCCGACTGGCCGAGTGCTGAGACAAACCTCAACCCCCGGATCCTCAACCGGGTAGTAACCTGGTGGGCCGGTTTGGCAGCCCATGCCAGGTTATTGATACTTACAGAGCTCCAACTTGACTCCTTGTTATCTCATGAATCATCTCCGACTGATGGTTATTGACAGACAGACTAAAATATCTTGAAGATGAATTACAACTTATGAATGTGTACATAGGATCAAGCTCGGGTATACATAACAATTGAGATGCAAGATCCTGTCAGGACCACATCAAAACATCGGAGATTGGCAGTTTATGAAGCAAAGAAACAGATCGACAAAACAAAAAAAAACATGGGGATGTAGAATAGCGATTGAATGAGGAAGGGTGGGATCGGGGATGGGAAAGAAGGGTGAGGTGGACCCAGCTCTTCCTAGTTCTTCATGGAGGCTGTGGTCACGCTTCTTTAAGTAGCTTATTATGTAGAGCGTATTTCGTTTTGTTTTGGAGCGATGGAGGTCTACAATAAAGCTAAAAAGAACTGGCTTGTATAATTCTTGCATTGGTATATTACTTGCTAGTGATGATTTGTATAAGAAAAGAAAACGAGTGTTATATAGATATAAGAGATTAGTATTCGCTGGATGGATTCATGATCTTTCTTTCAAATATTCCCATCTCGACTCTAAAGTTTTGAGCAGCCAAGCGGACTTGATCGATGAACAAGGCGAACCACTCGTTGAGCCGATGTTTTTCGGCTTCCGGCAGAGGGGTTGAGGGCTGTTGGAAGTGATCGGCAGACGAGCAGGGCACGAGACGAAGCCGTAGTGCCTCCATACAGCGATCGAAGGTAAGAAGAGAGCGCTGCAGTTGATGTTCCACATCCACGATAGTGGCCCTACTGGCCCGGAAATCGCGACACACCTCGACCAGGATGGCGACCATCTCGTGTAAGTCGCTGAAGAAATCCGCCGTGTCATTGCGCAACGAGTTGAATTGAGTCGAACTCATTTGGTCCTCGATCGTGAAGGGTGCTTGGTACGATGGTGCCAGGCAGAGTTTATTCAGCAGGAGTTTGCTGAGCTTGACGAGCGGCAGTACTGATTGGGCAAGCTTGACGACATATGGCTTCATACTGATTTCTTCTTGCGGTGCTCGGTTTCGAAGGACATTTGTAGATTGTCTAGGCCGATGATCGACGGCCGAGTTGGCGCTTGGAAGGACATTCGCAGATTGTTGATGATCGATGACAGAGTTGGGGCTTGCAAGGACATAATTTGCATGTTGTTGATCATGCTGATGACCGTCGGTGTCGCCGGAAGGGCCGAGCTGGGCTGGTCGATCGTCTAGATGGGGTTGCCTCGAAACCTCAGCTCGATCGTTCTCAGCTCGATGTTCGTTTGATCGATCGAGGTTCGCATTGATCTGGTCGGTCAAGTATTCGATGGAGTGTTCGAGGCCATAGGATGCGGCTTGCCAAACCGCTTGAAGGATTGAAAGCTCGGATTCATGGAACGCATGGGTGATGATCTGAACGAAATGGAAGACTGCAGCGTTATCTCTGTATACCGATTGCTGGATCCGCATCTTCTCCTCTTCTTGAGAGTCCTTCCATCGTTCAAGAAACGCCAGGTGATCCTCGAGTACTAGTGTTAAGGGGTAACGTAGCGTATAGTGAATTTTGACCATGATCGCGCCAAGCCTGTGCCTTTTCAGACATCCGCACCGGCCATCCTCGCTCTCGGGTACTTGGGCTGCCTGGCGGATGCTGACGAAGGAAGATTTGATTTGTGTCACGGTTTCTTTGAGCTGGGATAGGTTCTCGAGGGTGGCTTGTAGGTTCGGCTGTGGTGTTTCGACAGAGCGAAAGAGATCTTGTGATACCAGTAAAGCTTCGAGGTGTTGGATCAACGAGGGCAACAGGCGTGTTTGCATGTCGGTCAGTAGAGCTCGTTGGGTATTGATGTGATCGATCGATGGAGTCGCCTGGTTGGGGTTGCGATTGGTGATTATCCTCTCACTGCAAAAGTCGGCTAAGTTTCTAAACGCCGTACAAACTGGGTAGAATCAAAGCAGTTTGGTGTGAGTAAACATATTGATAATGGATTCTTGATCGTTATATATGTGCTCATAGCGAAATTCATGGTGCCGACTGGTTGATATTTCCACCACGTGAGCTCGGGGTTGGTTTACAGCTTCCATACCCTCTCTCAGTCTCAGCTGGTGTGAGGGAGCCAATAGTTGATCGGCCTCTGCAACGGGGCAGCGGAGAATGAGAAGCTGAACTGGAAATTTCGTTAGCACTAGGACCATCATCTACAACTGGAGCATGCCGGCTCCGGGGATGGTCAACGGCCCAGTACATACTTGATCGGGGCCGAGGCAGAGGAGAGAGCCGGCGCCGGTGGCCCTCAGGGTTGAGTTTGGAGATACATACTCTGGTTCAGAATCTGAGATCGGAATTTCGTTACAGCACTACATACACCCCAAAGCCACCATCTTGTACTTATAACTGGAAGAAGATGGCTTCGGGGGTATAGTTGAGCCTCACAATCTGACAGCCGGCAAGATAAAGCCGATATAGATTAGAAGAAGAAGAAGAAAGAAAAAAACTGCTACATATCCGGAAACAGAGACGGGTAGGGGGGACTGGGATCACCCAGCTGCTCGCTCCGGTTTAGAATCTGAGCTTGGAATCTCTCGTTAGCATACATATACTCCAAAGAGTACCTACCCGTAACCGGAGGGTGCCGGTGATGGCTTTGGCGGCTGTTCGACGAGCCTTCATGAGCCTGTTAATCTAACAGCTGTCAAAGTTGTAAAACCCAAGAGAAAAATGTTTATGTATAGAGATAATTCCGAAAACAAACTCGAGCCTCGACTCTCAATGGGTGAAGGATTTTTGGTGAAGGTGCAATACTGGGCTATACTGATATTTGTAATCTGTAGGACTAGATGATGGGTTGGACTTTACGTACCGATTGAGTGGATTGAGGTTGCGGTTTCTGCGCCCGACAATGACATGGTGAATGTTAAATATTTGTTTGAGGATTACTAAAAGATTGAGGACTGGCTGGCTGTTAACAAAACTGAAATCTTGTAAGTTGGACTTGCGGATATTGGAACTTTGAAAGTGTTGGAAGAGGATGGAAGAAGTCTGAGGAGTGGCTGTTTTTTATATGTAGTGAACTTTATAAACCCTACATACAAAAAAAAGTCCATCCCGCGTCTTCCATGGTCTTCTCGAACCCCAAATACATATTCGGGTGGGGTTGGCGAATTACATACAAAGTTGGGGCAAAAGACCGGCCAAGTGACCGGCGGCAAGTCCCGCTTGGCGCTCGGCCAGCCCGGCAGGGCAGGGCTCCAACTGAATCCGGGCGCGGGGGTTGCAATTATAGCCGAGCCCTGGGTGCCCTGCAAAGCTCATCGCCAAGAATAATATGTTGGCAAGCGTTATCAGCCAGTTGCATAAGTAATTATCTTTGAGACTCAGGCCCCATGTCCGTCATAGTGATTGCTTGGCCAAATAATCCTATGTCAAGGGCAGGGAAACCAGAGCTAATAGAAGCACATGGGGCTTGTTTTCCTACCCCGACACAGGCCACATGACCACCAGCTCGACCCGCTCAGAATTGCACCATGTATTATTTCGACACCCAGAGTCTGCTTATTTGTTAGAGATCCACAGCCCCACAGGCTATATTAATCGTCTCACACTACTACATAGAATCCACAGGAGATTTGAATGTACACTTCAGAATGACTGGAAAAAGGAAAAAAAAAATCTCTGAACAAGATTCATGAAAGCTTGCGGTAGAATGATTATATATATACCTAAGTCCTATCCCAATGAATAATGATCAAAATGTAAACAAGAAGACGGAGACAAAGATATTTACAGTAATAATATTGTTAATAGATGATCATTGGATCGACATCAATGTGAATCGATTCCCAGGTTTGACACAGCGTAGCCCACCGAACTTGGGTAGCTTTTTAAAGTCAATAAGAGGAGTAGAAGTAATAGCAGTAGCAGTAGTAGTAGTAGAGGAGGAGGATGGGATTCGATTAAGAGCTTGACGATGTCCTGCATTATTCTGGTCTGTTCTACCGTCTTGATTTCTATCTGCTCCTTCCCCAGTAATTGTCTTGTTTGACGGAATGGTAATTGGGAATAATGGCCACCATAGTCTTTGGATGGTCGATTTGAATCGGATCACTCGCTCGATCGTCTCCTGCTTCTTCTTCTTTACTCCTTCTTCTTCTGCTTCTTCTTTTTCACCTGTCTGTTCCTTTTTTTTTGTAATAATAGAAAGAGAGTTAATATGAAGGCGGCAAACAAAAAGAAGGATTGAATGGAGGAAAAATGAAAAAAACTGACTAAGATCGTATCGATCACTTTATTGATCATTTGAAGTGGTTGCTGTTGATGATGATGATGATCAGCAGAAGTAAGCGGCCTGGAAGCAAAGAACAAATGGTCCAAGAACAGGAGATCGAAGAAGATAGAATCAACAAGAAGCTGTGGCCCCAGGCTAAGTTGAAGATTAGAGGACTGAGAGACGAGATCGAGGATCCGATTATCCTCGAGAATCCCACACACGAATCGGTCGATCAGGATCTCCAGGAGACTCTCCTGTTGCGCCTTGAGTCGATGCACTCCGAGGCTTTTGATCATCGTGGTTGAGAGATATGTGAGCGCTTTAAATAGGCCTTCACTTGGTCGGGTTACTGCTTCTTTCTTCTTCGGCTCTTCTATCGTCGACTCTAGAATAAAATCTGTTCAAGGTAAGAAAAAATCAAGTTTATTTTGGTGTAAGTTGTTAGATCTGTGTTATTATGGGATTTTATTTCCCCTTTATTGATAGTTCCACAAGCAAATAAATAAAATAAAATCTTACAATGTGAGTTTTGAGTGAGTTTAACATGAGAGGCATGAAAGATAAGAACCGCCTGATGAACGACATCATGAGTCCAATGTTCCGATGAGAGTGACAAGATCTGATGCAAGCCTGCTTGAAAGTCTTCAATGAATCCTTTCGATTCGCTCGACGATCTATTTTGATCAGGATTTTGTTGTAATGATAGGTCTTTCATAAAACTGCTGCGAGTCGATAGGATTTGTAATGCTAGATCTCCTACACTCAATTCTTTCCCTATATCTATATATAATAACATCACAAAGTAGATCTATTCAGTCATCTAATCATCATCATCATCGTCACTTTTATGAATTCATTCTCAATCCAAAACTCAACTTGTTTTCTCCATTTCCTGGTCCAAAATGCTCTTGATTTCTTTTAAACAACTCTCCACAAACTGCGCACCTAGGTCGAGATAAGAATTTCTTTGTTGGGTTGATGTTGGATGAGGATTGATCCAACTTCCTTGATCATCTTCCCAACGACTGAAATCTTCTCGTAACAGCTTTCCAACACACTCCATCTTTTTGACGATCCCAGCTTTATTCTGATCTTCTTCTCCTTTTCCGTCTTGTTCTTCTTCTTCTTCGGTGATCAATTTTCCTTCGATTCGATTCTGGATCGATCTCAAATATCTCGGGAATCTAGTTGGATCGTTAGGTTCCAGTACTGGTAACTTCTTATCCAAGATCCATCTCTCTTTCTGAGCCCTTCCTCGCTCATCATTTTCTTTCAGACCATCAATAACTTCGATCCTCAGATGGTCTAGTCTAGCTTGATATAGTTCATAAAACCTTCTGTTAAGACTTAGTAAGATCGATTTTCCAAGATCTTCAATTGTTGATTGAAATCGACTTTCATTTGGTTCACCTATCAGGTCTCGGAGAGTCGATCTAAATTCCACTAGGGTCTGTGTGGATTGGACTTGATCGAGTTTCTTATCAATGTAGGAGATCAGCTCGAGCTGACAAGCTTGAAACCAAGATTGGGTGATCGAATGAGGCTGGAATTCTTCTGATACAGTGAGCGCAGCGACGAAGGGACTGAAGTTGACGATCGATTTGGGGATGTGGTGGATTAGCTGGTGAGCATTGGGGAGTAAAGAGAGGAGTGGTTTGAGGTGTTTTTCTTTATATGAGCCATCTTGAACAGCCTTTAATAAGTTGGTGAGATCATCCTTGAGGAAGATCTGTTCGACGTTCTCGAGAGTGGCAAGTAGTAGCCTGACAGCATTCTTGACTAGTTCTGTCCAGGATCCGTTCAACCGAGCGATCAATGAGTTGAAGGTAGTCTTGCGAACTTGTAAGAGAAGTTGGAGACTATCCAATAGACTGGTGTTATCCATTAAGATGATCGCAGCCAATGCGTCCATGGTGGCTTGACTGTTGGCCTCCCATTTCCTTAGGAAGCTTTTCGCTCGAGAGGAGATCTGAGGCCCTAGTTGTCCTAAGGTTTCACTCTGCCTTTCGACGATCGGGAACATTTCGATTACCTCATGTGGCTCTGTCTCACCACTTTCATCCCAATTTCCGCTCGTCAGTTCGTTAGAGATGATTCGGCCCAAGGATTCATATCTAGATGCCGTCAGGAAGTCTTCTTGTTCTAATGATCTCCAGATATGTTCTGCGAGATCTAGTAGTAATCTGACTAGGGTGGCCAAGGTGTAGGATAATTTGGATGATCCGGTGATTGACCTTGTATGGGAGTTACCTTTGAGAAAAATTGACAAATGTTAGCAGCAGCTGGAATGAATGAATGTTCTTATTTTGTGTAAGAGGGTGAATACAGACCTGCTAGTTGTGCTTTTGATTTCAATCGATTTCTATCTGATTCGAGTTGAGCATGATTCAAGTTCTTCAGCAGTTTTTCTGAGCTATTCTTCATTCTGACGATCGAATCGGCAGCACTGAGCAGGTCACGATATCGTTCGCCGACCATCTGCCTGAGGTCTTCCCGTTTCTGATCGGCATCGGATCGTGCGCGACGTTCGATGGATCTGATCTCTCTGATGGTGAAGTTGAGGAATAGGTCATCTGGATCTTCGATCGATAGGAGATCGATGTCCTCTGGTCTGGTGGTTCCGATTGGGATGGACAGTTTGGATGGGATTGATTGATGGGTTTGTTGGTTTGAGTTTGGTTGTTGTTGTTGTTGTAGTTGTAGTTGTTGTAGTTTGAATGATTTCCTGGGCTTGTACTGTGCCTTTGAGGATGCTGTTGTTGTTGTTGGTCGATGGTGGTGGTTTGATCTTGAGTCGGATGGTGCTAGTGAGGTGAATGATCTGGTTGAGTGTCTCGATCTGAGTGGTGGTGTTATTGATCTGGTGGTGGTTGAGCTTGATGAGGAGGATGTTGATGGTAATGGTGGTTCAGTCGATCGGTTCATCTCCTCGTTTCCTTGTTTTGTTTTTGTTGTTGTTTTTTTGGTTGCAGGTTGAAAATTTCAAGGGGAAATGGTCAAGAAGCTAGGGAAAGGGTCTGCTGGAGATGACGTCACTCAAAAATGGCAATTGCTGACATCACCATCAGTCTTGAACCACTTGGCCTTCAACCTTTACCTGACTCGATTGACTGCTGTGTAAAGATGGAAACCTATGGAAACACCTCCTTCTTGTTGACAAAAAGGAGAGTGACTTGAACTTCATGAGTTACAAACAAGTTGACAATCCAAGAATGGCTCAATATGGTGAGATCGGATCTGACACACTTGTTGGCAAAAGAAACAATCACCTCAGTCAAATCATAACTTCAACCAACTTGTAGCCCTCTACTTTTCGGGCCATGGCTGGCACAAATGTGTCTCATTAAAGAGATTCAAGCCTATGAGAAGGACTAGGAAGATAGCACAAATACTGCAATTTCCAAGAGCAGGTTAGACTAAATGTTTCCAATAAAAACAACTACTTCTACACTTCAAATGATGTATTGCCTGGATTCTCTTCAATTATGGTATTCAAAATCAAAGTTGAAATGCATGAAATTAGCACTGGAACCCGCGGGGTACCCGAGCACTTTGGCCTTGCCCGCGCCCCAACCCAAGTGTAGGGGGGCTCTTTCCTTCTACTTATATGTCACCACCCTTTCTCATCTCGTCCAAAACCGTTATCCTAAAATCTACCTTACATACTTCGATCAAACTATTCCCCTTCCCACCACTTGCAATAAAATTGAGCACTAGCCCCGCTCGTCACCCCTTTACACCTCTCTCCCTTCCTATCCCTCCACCCACACTTAAAACCCTTTAAGCTTACACCTCCCCATGCCCAACCCCCTGCTGCCGCAGGGCGGAGGCCCAGCAACCGGAGACAACATAGCCGCCTTGGATATGTATGTCTCTGAGGGCTCCCTGCCCGATGTCGAACATCATCTAGCGGATAAGTTAACAAAATTGGTTGACTCCCTCATCCCTAGACTAGATAGTCTTGAGCGAGCGGTGTCCGGTAAGGTCTTGCAACCTGCTGGCCCCCCCAGAGCAGACTTGTTCAACACACTGCTTGCAAGAATCGAGGATATTGCAACTAATCTGACCAGATTAGAGAAGAAAGTGGAGACGATGTCTCTTGCCTCCTCCTCTAACATGACGGTTCAGCCTGTTGCTAATCCAGCAAAACTACCTGCCAAGTCAGCACCTCTCTACTCAGAGAAAGTCGCTGGAAGACTTCCTACAGGTTTGCCCAAACACTTACCACCGGTACCACCCTCCTCACATATCAATAGGTTCAAATTAGGTCAGGTTGTGATACGTAAACGTTTCGATCAACCCAAACCTTTTGAGGGCCTAACAGCCACCCAAATCTGCCAAAGAATTGATGAGGCACTAACCTTTGCAAAAGCCACCGTTGATGATGAAATAATCAAGGTCAAAGCAGTAGCTCAATTCCCGAACGGCGATGTCAAAATCTTCACCAAAGATCGACGAGCAGCAAAATGGCTGCTAGATAATAAACACTTATGGACTGAGAAAGCTGATCCTGTTTTTATCACCTCCCGCGTAACTCACCCAGTCCTATTACACTCCTGCCCCACCAGCTTCGAAGTAGACAACAAAGACCATGTTGAACTTTTATGCAAACAGAACGATATTAACCCCAAGGAGATCCAAAAGATCCGATGGCTCCTCAACCCTAAGACAACCGGTAAAGCTACCAGTACCCTCTTGATCCACTTCCTTGACAGGCGATTGGCTCTCGACATCGAAAGGGCTGGTTTGTGTTACAACAGTCTACACCTGAAAGGCCAACATTACCTGCAGGGCCCCAAACAATGTTACAATTGTTTAGCGGTTGGACACTTAGCGCACTCTTGCAAAGAGAAAGCCCTCTGCTCTCGCTGTGGAGCCAACCATAACTCAGCTTCATGCGAAGAGATGGAAGACTCTAGCAGAAGTTGCCAGAGATGTCTGAATGTTGATCGTAAAGTGTCCTCTCCCATTGACCTATCTGACCCCAAATACGACCATTCCCCCTTCAGCAGTATCTGTCCAGTACGCACCAAAGAGTTAGATAAGATCTCGGCAGAGAAGACCCACTCCTCTAAACAATGATAGATACAACTCACATACCCTCTCACCTAGATCACTCTTCATCCACCACCTCCACTTCCCCCCCTCTACCACCAGAATTCACCCGCACCTTCAACCCTTCCTCTAATGTGCAATCCCCCCACTCACTCTCCTTCCTTCAGCTAAATTGCCACAATCGTAAAGACACAACTCACAGCTTACTACACTGTGAACAGTCTTCCATGGCAATCCTACTCCAAGAACCCTGGACCAATCCCATAGACAACCTTCCTCCAACCCACCCTAGCTGGCACAGAGTTTCACCCATTGACCAACCAAAAAATTTGGGACAAAGACCTAGATGCTGTATATACATCAATAAATCAGTCCCCAGCTATAACTTCCACCGTCTCCCAGATAACTCAAAATTTCTGACTGCTGTTTCTCTCACAGTTGAATCAACCTCAGCAACCACATTTTTCCTCATCTCCTTATATAATCCCCCCTCATCCTTTGCTGCAATCCCGGAGCTTCACTCTTGGCTTTCCAACAACAACAGCAGACATAATCCGACCATCCTCATGATGGACTCTAACTTACATCATCCCCGCTGGAACCCTCCTCACTACCGCCATACTCATTCCGCTTCCAAAGATCTTATAAAAATCTGTGGACAAAAAGGCTTTTTCCTAACTTCCCCTACAGGAGTGCCAACCTTCCTTGGTCCCAAAGGAACTCAAACAACTATTGATCTTTGTTGGACAAACGCGCATTGCAAGTCAAGAATTCAACAATGCTCAGTTGCGCTCAACAACCATGCCTCTGATCACCAACCGATACACCTGATTCTCTCACTAGAAAAAACCCTAACTTATCCTCCTTCAAATCGAGGAATTACCCCTGATAAAGTTGATCCCCATCGCTTCCGGAAAGATCTGAAAAAATCCCTAGCCGCCATCCCCATTCCCCATTCCTCAGACACCAGTGCTTCCATTGATTCATCAGTTGAAAAGCTAACCAAAAGCATTCAGTTTTGCCACAAGAGCCAGGGTACAGTCCCATGGAGGGGCACCACTCGAGCCAACTCATGGTGGGACCCCCAAATCCTCCAACCTCTGGTGTCCAACAGAAATCGAGCACGCAGGTGGATGATCCTGTCCAACTCCAATGAAGCCCGTCAATGCTATTATGCTTGGCAATCGGCCTTCAAGAAGAAAGTAGAGGAGCTGAAATTTCTGCATTGGAGACGGTTCCTTGCTAGAACTAGCGATGCTTCCGCCTTTCAAGCCTACAAATTCACAAAGGCCAAACTCTCTACAACGGTTGAACCTCTCTACAGACCGGATAACACTCTTTGCGCCACTGTTGCTGAACAGGCAGACATATTGTTTCAAGGAACCTCAGTGATTAATTCAGAATGCGATCTATCAGACACCCTCCCAGCGACCCACTCCGAATATCCGCCTGTTTTTCCTCCCATAACCACAGCAGAACTCAATCGGGCCATCGATTCTCTCCCCCCCAGAAAAGCGGTTGGACCGGACTCCATCCCCAATGAGTTACTCCGCATGGGCAAAGCTGAACTCTCTCCCTTTCTCACCCCCCTTTTCAATGCCTGCCTTAGACAGGGACATTTTCCCAAAGAATGGCGATCAGCTACCACCGCCATCATCCGCAAAGCAGGGAAAACTGACTACAGGGACCCAAACTCGTATCGCCCAATAGCACTTTTGTGCACACTGGGAAAGCTTCTGGAAAAAATACTCAACGAGCAGATGATCCATTGGATTGAAACCAAGGACATCCTTCCCCAGGGACATATGGGAGGTCGGCGCGGCCGAAACATCACTGACGCTTTAATTCTTTTCACCTCTTGGGTCAAGCACCAATGGCGCAAAGGAAAAATTGTAGCAGGAATTTTTCTAGATGTTAAATCGGCCTACCCCTCAGTCTATTCGTCTAGACTGATCGATTGCTTACTTCGCTTATCATGCCCCAAATACCTTGTTTCACTGATCTCTTCTTTCCTCACTGACAGGACTACCTCAATGAGGCTAGGCGACTATACTTCTCCCCTCTTCCCTATCAAAGAAGGCCTCCCCCAAGGCTCCCCCCTTTCAGTCACTCTATATATCCTATACAATAGCGGGTTACTGATAAATAACAGCTGCTCCCTTGAAAACGATCGGATCTCCATTGGCTATGTTGATGATGTCGTACACCTAGTGGCAGCCAACTCCTTAGCTGAAGCGACTAGTATGCTTCAGGAAGAAGCTTCTCGCTCACTCAAATGGGGTCGAAGATTTGGAGCCATCTTCGACAGGAAAAAGGCAGTGCTAATGTTATTTTCTCACAAAAACTTGAACCCGTCCCCCTTTGACTTTGATGGGCACTCCCACACATTCCAGAAATCCACAAGATGGTTAGGTATCATCCTCGATCAACGACTGACTTTCTCAGAACATTTAAAGAAAATCAAAACTACAGGCGATGTCACCCTACTACAACCAACGCTGGGCCAGCTACGCTAACCGTAGCGTTAGCGTGGCGTAGCGCAGCGGAAATGCGCTACTTTGTAGCGTAGCGTTAGCGGAAAATCCGCCTTTCTGCGCTAACGCTACGCGCAAAGGGCACAGAAGTGCGTTAGCTGTTAGCGTAGCGTTAGCGCAGAAATTTGGAATTGCACTAACGCTATGCGCTCAGGGCACAAAAAAGTGCCCGCTACGCCGCGCTACAGCGCTTTTTAGCGGGTTTTTTGCCTTTTTTGCCGCTAAAAGCGCTGTAGCGCAGCGTAACGCAGCGTAGCGGCTGTAGCGATGCACTAACACTACCCAGAAACAAGCCGCCTGTTAGCGGGGCTTCAGCGTAGCGTAGCGGCGGTAGCGGCACGCTAACACTACAGAAAAAAGGGCCCGTTTTATCGCCGCTACGCTAACGCTAAGTGGCCCTTTAGCGTAGCGTAGCGTAGCGGCCCAGCGTTGCTACAACTGGATCGAATTATCAAATCAACTTACGGCCTTAACACAGCTCTGGCAAGAAAACTGATCGTGGCAGTTCTCTACTCCAGGATCTTGTTTGGAAGCGTTGTCTGGTATACCAAAAAGAACGCAGGCACTGTTAATCAGGTACTCAATGGGCTGTACCATCGGGCGTGCAGACTTGTCACAGGGTTATTCCGACAAACCCCAATTATCTTTGTCCAGAAAAGCAGCGGACTGGTACCTCCCCAGGAAGTCCACCTCCGAAACTCCCACCTATACATCCTCCGAACGCTAGCTCATCCTCCCTCTCATCCAGTCGTTCCTCTACTAAAATCTGAACTGACCAAGCCTCAGCCCTCCTTTCCCAGCCCTGTACACTCTCTGCTGACCCCTCCCACCCCGTTTGAATTCCCTGCTGACCACTTGGAAACGATCCGACCAGTTCCCGCCCCTCCCTGGGTAGAACATGTATCGATGATACACAACTTGAATGATAGCAGGGAGAAAGTCATTCAGCGTCTCCCAACCCAGCTGAGGACTGAACAACAAGAAAACACTCTCATCATCTTTACCGATGGATCGTGGACCCCAGGCAAAGGGGCAGGCGCGGCGGCAGTCGTACACCCGTCAGGACAGTCAAGCAGCGCTGCAATTTGGCCTGCCAAATACTTGTCAAATTCTGAAGCCGAATTGATTGGCATTCAACTTGCCATAAAACTAGCTCAGGAAATTGTAGAGGCTGACCTTTCTAACTCTTTCTCGGCGGTTGCCATCTTCAGTGATAATCAGGGAGCCCTGATTAGATCTGCAGACCCCTTATCTCTGTCTTCTGGACAGCATATCTACTGACAACTTCTTCCAATTTAAGCTTCTAGGACGACCGGTTAGACTATACTGGTGTCCAGGCCATGAAGGAGTGGAAGCCAACGAGAAGGCCGATCTTTTAGCGAAGACAGCTGCACAGAGCGATCCCATGGCCTTACCGGAGGGAACACAAAAAATTGTGCTGCCCTTAAGCCTGGCGAAGATCAAGCAGCTCTGCCGCGCACAAACAACAATACCCGACTGCATGACCAAGGAAGAAGGCAAAAGATTTGCTTTCGCTGCTGACAGTTCAAAATTGATAAAAACCCTAGATGCAGAGGAAAAGGGACTAACAGCGACCATTTTTCAACTCCGCGCCGATCACGCCCCACTAAACAATTTTCTTTTCAAGATTAAATCACTTTTAGACCCCAGATGTACTAACTGCCATGTGCTCGAAAGCGCAGCCCATTTTCTCATGTTTTGCACCAGGTACAAACAGGAACGAGCAGCTTTCAAAAGGAAACTCAAAAAGCTCAAGTGTGGGATCAATCCTCACTCTTTTCGATCAATAATGGACAACCACAAGGCGATGAAAGAAGTCTCAAATTTCATCATCACCACAAATCGTTTCCCCAACATTCGACGGTACAACCTGAAAACGAGTTAACACTGCCCGGAAGACCTGTTCTTGTTTCCTTTCCTATGCCTACTCATGTTTTTTTTTTTTTTCTCTCAACAAATCTTATGCCGCTTGCTTTAGCTTTTTCTTTACCAGTTTTCTCACATCTTCAAAATACGTACAATCATGCCTAAGGCACTAGGGACCCCAATCCTGACTCCCCGAAGACCGATAGGCACGGGCGAATTGGGGATAGCCCAGAATGCCTCTTCACAAGATAGGTTGCTGCTCAAGGTAGTGGGGGCCTTTTCGATGCGCACCGAACTTGGGAAAATGGTGGGACGGGTTGAAGGATAGGGGTTTCCGAATGCCCTAAGCTCCTACTTCTGTTATCTTCTCTCTCTCTATATCCTCCCTTCTCCTTTTTCTCTCTTTCGCTTCCTTTCCTTTTTCCCTTTCTTTTTCCTTCTTTTTTTCTTCCTTCCTTTTCCTTTTCTCCTTCCTTTTCCCTTTTCTTTCTTTTCTCTTCTAAAAAAAATCTATACACACACTCGGTCACCATGTTACTAGTTCGTCTCTCAACATACATACATGACGCTAAACTTCAACTCATAGGAGTATACTTGTATATACATAACTTCTACCTTGTTTAATAGTGCGGCATGTGAAATCAATAGCACTTTAAAAAAAAAAAAAAAAAAAAAAAAAAAAAAAAAAAAAAAAAAGTGTATTTCCGTCCCTTGGGTACAAAAATCAGTGTGACCCAGATGTACCTGCGGGTATAGGGAACGGGCCACGGGTACCCATGGGGTTGGACTTGAGGCGGGTATACCCGCCAGCAGAGGGTATACCCGCCCATCAAAGGGTATACCCGCCTACCGCAGGGTATACCGGAGGTCCCGTCTCAAAGATACCTGCAGATACCCCGGTTTGGGGAGGAGTAGAGGCCAATTGGCCCCCACTGCCCCTCCCCCAGCGCAACCCAAGATACCCGCGGTATCTCCAAGGCGGCCCGTGGAACGTACCCGACTTACCCGTTGGTCTTCGGGCTCCTGAAGAGCTGTCCTGGAGCCCTAAACCGGCGGTGTACCCGCCGGGTATACCCGGAGGTCCCGGGAACGGGTTCCACTGCTACATGAAATCATAGAGTGCATAAATCATATAATCATAAAACATTTTGGCTGGGAAAGCCAAAGCTTACATAATCAGATTACCAAGATCCCCTGCAAACAAGGTTTTAAGATCTTATGATTTATGCGGTTATGATTTTATGAAATTTAACTTTGAAGACCATAAATGCATATTTGTGACACAATTAGTGCATTCTGCATTATCATCAATAAAATGCTCTTGTAGTCCCTTCCCTTCTCTCATCAGGAATAACATCAATCATTCCCAACTTTGACTGTTGATCAGTCTCCATTCCAAGCAACATTGGACTTTTTCTAGACTATCAGTACCAATAGCTTGTGCAGTGCAATACCACAAACATCATCCATTTCTCTGTTGGATGTTAGCAGTACTGGTACATCATTCCATCAAAATTGACAATACTTTTCCCATATCAATCACGAACCTGTGTGTATAATGTGCAGAAGTTTGACATTCTATATTTTGAAACCATTTTGAATGATTCATAGCTGATGACAATCCTAAGCACTACCAAAGGGCAAACATTTTGGGGTTAGAAGACAAAAATGATTCAAGAATGATCTGTGAAATTGCTCATGGAATACACACAATCCCCCTTTCACTTCAAAAACTACAGGCATCCTTTGAAGTAGATAATCTTTGCAGGTGGAAATGATTGATTTAATCCATTGGTGATGACTGCTTTAACTCCTGCAGGGTTTTGGTGTCTGTAGCAACATCTTGTGTATCATAAAGAAAGTGTGAGTATATTCTGTTGTTATTTGAATCAGTCAGATAGCTTGAACCTTTCAATTTCTCTTTGAGTTGCTCTGTAATTTTCACTTGTTTTTCAGTTTGATCATTCAACCCCCATTCATTGAACTTATTCCAAAGTGTAATCACTTTGGGTTCTTCCTTCAAATTCAGAAAAAATAGGTATGATTGCTCATACATGAAGTGATTGAGACTTGAAATCAGTCCAACAGATTCTTGAAATGCACAAAGTTTATGGAAGGTAATAGATTCCTTAAATTCTTTTGATATAACCTCTGGATATTCTCTCAGGATAAATTTGATCATGTCATACATAAGTTTGAAATGTATAAGAATTTTACTTGGCAGATTTTTCAAAAACTTCACTCTAGGAATGTAGTCCATCAGCTCTTCCAATAAATGCTCCACATGAGATGCTGAAGTTTCCTTATCTGGTGATGCTATTCTGAGGAAATATTCTGTGATCAGATGGAAAAATTCTGAATGAACTCCAACTGTCTTATCTAACAACTTAGCCTTCAAAAGTTTGAATTCAGCCTGCTTCCAAGCGTCCTCATTGAAGGCTGCATTTTTTTTCAATACAAATTAAAATAAAAAACAAGAATGATAAACTGTGTGCAATAAGGATTTTTTGCATTTAAAAATCTTATGGGAAAGGAGCACTGACCCTGAAAAATATCCCTCAGTTTGGTATTATTAATGTTACGGTCTTCTGCAAAACTTAATCTGAGGTCAAAGTTAAGGTATTCGCTTGCAACATCAAATGGAAAGTACTTGATTGTTATTAAACTCCATAATAATTTTCCATGATCTTTCCTCAGGAATTCCAAAATTGTTCCTTGGGGTACAATTTCAAGATTTACCAGATCAAGAATGAAATGAACAATCAGATTGGTCCAATCAGATATCATCAAGTTTACTATCTTACTGTCCTTGTACACCTGATAAACACCAGTCTCCACAAATTCCTCAAAAAGTGAGAGACAGTCTTTTATCAGAATTATATCTATATTGGCAACTATTTGATTAGACAATCTAACTCCTCCTCCTTCAAGTAGTAATGGCCGACCAATGAGTATTTCCCAGATTCTTCTTTTGTACAGATAGTTTGACAGATCCTTCAACTCTTTAATGTGTAGAGAGAATTGGCGATAATTTCTTGGAAAGAGCTTTTGAAAGTATGAATAATCTTCTTTGGAATGGATAAATTCTTTTGAAATTTCTGCACATTGCTCCAGTATCTCTGCCATTACCAAACCAGAAAATAAAAATAACATTTTATTGGTTTTAGGATGATAGTCTATAGAAACACCTACTTTGGATTTTTGAAGACTTCAAATATTTCTGTATAGTTAAGTGAGTGTTGGGCCCAGTTGTCTCTGTGGGTTGAACAGCATTCAAATCTGTCACAAAAAACATCCCATTTTTAATAAGCAACAAATAACTATGATCAACTATGATTCCCTTTGTAAATTAAAATAATTCTTACCCTGTGGTATGTAAATATGTTGAGTGTCAGATGCAAAAGAGCTATCCTTGCTGCCATCAGGGTTGTTTTTAACATCTATTTTTGGAATCAAAGAGTGGCTCTAATCAGAAGCACTTTTCTTGAAAGTTCAGGATGTTATCAGGAAGTCAATAAAATGTCCAACATACCTATTGTTTCTTCCAAGACAGGTGATTCTTTACATCATAGGTTTTTCAGAAACAAAAAAATTATAAGTAAAAATAAAATCAGATTTGAATATTTTAGATTAGTTTCATATGTTCTGGGCTCCAATATTCAGCTTAATAAGAATGTACCTTTATTATGGTACACAGGTAAAACCTTTTCCCCGGGTATGGAAGACTCAGAAACAAATGGGAAATCACATTCCATGCCCAAGACACCCAGAACACCCAGGAAGAGAAAAACTAGTACACAGGGTCTTCCTACCACCCCACTAGTCATCTCAAACACCTGCATGTCCAAAAATAAATGATGGCTTTCAGTCTTTTGGTTGTTTTTTGGTTTGAGTACAAATTAATGATTTCTGGAGCTTGTTTTTAATTGTGTTGGTAACTGAAGTTTAGACTTAGTTAAATGTGAGCTGGGGACTCTTAAGTGGCAGATGGACACAATAGTGATGGGGAGACTGAACTTTCTTTCAAGCTAGAAAGACCATAAAAATGAGAAAAATGATGGAAAAAAAAATAATATGTTTATCAATTTTAATGGCAGACTTAATTTGTATGGTGGATGGCTTCTAACAATCTGGGAAAAGGGTACCAGCCTTCACCTCAAAAGAAACTATTGATTCTGTTGATTGAGGTAAATCTTACCGACCACAATTTTTGGACCAAAAGATCAAGGCTGTCCAAAGGGAAACCTATGAGAATTTCAGTTTATTTTAAGGGTAACTAGATTATACCAGCAAGCAGTTTCTTTTTTTTTTTTTAATTTTAACTTTGGATTGAAATAGAATTTGAAGAGGGAAAAGAGATATAGAAAGATGATTGTGGATAATCTGAGGGAAGGTGGAAAGATAAACAAAAAATTGAAATTACAGGGAAAGTGACTTACTAGTCAGAATTTCAATAATCAAGATAGATTGAGAAGATTTTTCAGTTGAAAGGGACTTTTTCAGTTGCAAGGGACCTTCAGTAGATTTATGGCCTGGTACAAGATTACAGGAAGAGATAAATTTGTTTTCTGGTTCAGATTCAAACTGGGGGGAAGTAACTGATGGTGGGGAAGAGGCTTGTTGTATATCTGAGGATCATATGCATGAATCTATCTAGGAGGAATGTTTGAGAAGAATATATGTATTTGTTTCAGATTATCAATTGAAATTTGACACACAAGAATTCATACACAACAGGTGAAAATATGTCAATATTTCTTTTGATGCATTTTCTTTAAGGACTTGATATCAATTTTTGTAGACCCTACAGAATCAGATTTGGACCCCTTGGAGTCAAATTTTGCAGGGAAATCTGATTCAAGGGCCTACAAATCTGGTTTTGTAGGGGATACAGAAGCAAAAGGAAGTCTTTCATTCATCTCTGTTAAATAAAATTTCAATGAACAGGGAAAATACCTGAGCTACACCCAACTACTTCCAATTGATTTACAATTATCAAGAAATCATAATTAAGGGAAAAAGTTGTGGGGAAGTTAGTGGAGGACTTCCTGTCAGATCTGGGACCCTTGCAGAAGTTGATCTAGAGCCGAAAACTTTTAATTCTTGCAGGGAGATTTGAATTTGGAGGCTCTAAAGCAGCTCTGGGAGACCCGCAGATGTTGGCGGGAAGTCCTCCAGTGACACCATAGAATTCAGTTTGGAATATGAATTTTTAGTCAGAATGAATGGTTAATTATGAAAATTTGATGGTTAATTGCATTTCACAAGAGAAAACTCATACCACAGTTTACTTGTGTTATTATGGAAGCTGATGCAGAATAAGTTATGTCAATAGATTGATCTCTCCCAAGAATGGGAGTTGTAACTCCTATTCTTGGGAGTCATTCAACCAAGACCCCAACATTATTGTCTGGATCCAGGTCAAGCTCATCTGTGCCAGGTTCATCTTGGATCACTGTTTCTGCGATGGTTAATTTGCTTCAAGTAGTTCCGCTCCGGCGCTGTTGTTCCTGCCCTATATGTGATCTTGAATGATGGTGTTCCTTGGATAGCTCTTAATTGGAGAAACTTATTCCTTCCGTTCTTGACACTCAACAAGGGCCGTTCTTCTGCCCTGTGACATTCAGCTTACATCCGACCGAGCTGCAGACAAGTCGGGTCGAGTCCTCTTGATCTTTGAAATTCCCAAATCCCAGCAGAGTGCCGGCAGCCGATCGCCGATATCATTTGCCAATAAATACTGGAACCCCAGCGGAGGATGAGGGTGGTTGACTGATGAGTGGAAGCTGTCCTAGCACCGCGGCTTGGCTTGGTCCATGGCAACCCAGAAACCATCCGCATCAATTGCTCCACCACCATTAAGTCTGAACCATCTGATCCTTTTGTTGAGCAAGACAAATGGCAAATAAACTTTTATAAGCGTTCACTTGTCGTATACACGAGAGGAACCTCCTCCGCGACATTCCGTCTTCTTGAATAGACTAAAATGACAACCGATCAAAAGTCTAAAGATTTTTTTATCGGCGTGGACGTAGGGACGGGCTCAGCTCGAGCAGCCCTTGTAGCCTGCAATGGCCAAATCGTAGCCGAGTCAACTTACCCAACGACCACCTATAGGGACGATCACAATCATGACATCTTCGAGCAATCGACAACTGAGAGTGAGCGCCCTTAAGCCGACAATCAAATCATTGGTAACCAGTTTTATACTAGCTGATTTGAAATCCTATTGTGGCGTGCAAAATACGATGGTTTACATAGTTTGGAACTCGATTGCCAAGGCCTGTAAAGATTGTTTGAGGGACGCCAAGGTCGGGCCAGAACAAGTCAAAGGAATTGGTTTCGATGCGACCTGTTCACTGGCGGTTACCACCTTCGAAGGTGAGCCGATGTCGATCACTCAAGATCAATGGGGTCCTGGAGAATCCAAGAGGAACATCATCCTCTGGGCAGACCATCGGGCCCGCGATGAAGCCAACCTGATCAATTCCTGCGGCAGTCCGTTCTTGCAATATGTCGGAGGGACAATGAGCTTAGAGATGGAGATCCCTAAGGTGCTTTGGTTGAAAAGACACATGCCGCATCAACTTTTCAATCAATCCATGTTTTTCGATTTGCCTGATTTCTTGACTTATCGAGCAACTGGTAATCTAGCCCGGTCCAACTGCTCATTAGTTTGTTAGTTTTTTTTCTTTTTCTTTTTGTGGGCTCTTTTGGGTCTCCTACTTCAATCTTCTGATCAATTCTATTTAAGAGCCTGATTTTTCATTTGAATTTAATCCAGGCAAATGCTCTTATGTTCCTCCTGAGGTTGAAGGTCATAAAGGTTGGAATGCCGATTTCTTTAGGAAGATTGGACTGCCCGAATTTGTGAGTACAGAGATTTCACATTTGCTTATTCAAGCTCTATCAAGCACGCAGCTCCCGTTTCAACACGGTCCTTTTTTGCTTGAGCTTGTGTCGATTGATAAATTTTCTGTCTCCATTAACCAGGTTGAAACCGACTTCAAACAGGTAGGCGGTTCTCCCGGAAAACAAGGATTAATTCTGACTGCCGGACAGCCCGTTGGTATGGGTCTCACTGCGAAAGCAGCCGGCGATCTGGGGTTACTACCAAGCACGCCAGTTGGCTCGGGTGTCATTGATGGATATGCTGGTTGGATGGGTGTCGTCGCTGCGAAGATGGAAGGTGAAAAGGACAGCGATCTCGGGACGAGTCAGCACCGGCTATGTGTGAGCGCTGGCACTAGCACCTGCCATATCGTCCAGAGTCCAGATCCTGTTTTCGTCCCAGGTGTTTGGGGCCCTTACTTGCACGCAGTCTTCCCTGGATGTGAGTCAGTCTATGCTCGATTGGGCAATGTGAATGGCTGTCAGTTTATCTCATCCTTTTTTGCCACCTCAGATTGGATGAATGAAGGCGGACAATCTTCGACCGGACAATTGTTAGATTTCATTATTGATGTGTGCTTGCCGTAAAGCTTTGGGTGCCTTGATTCTTTTTTGGAATGGCTGACTTTTTCTTGTTGCCTGTATCCCTCAACAGACCCATCCAGCGGTCAACAAAGTTAAAGATTTGGCGCAAGCAAAAGGTGTCGATCATTTTGTATTTCTCAACGACACTTTGAAGCAAGCCCAACAAGACAAAAAAGCACCTTTCTTGACTTATCTCACCAAAGATTATTATTTGTAAGCTGAAGAGCTTTTTTTTCATTTCATCAATCCAAAAGAAATTTGAAGTTTTTATCTCTCCTTGCAGATATCCGGATCTACATGGGAATAGATCTCCCTTGGCTGATAGCGCTATGAAGGGCATGCTCATTGGGATGTCACTCGACAAGGGTGTAATGGATTTAGCCTTACGGTACTTGATCACTTGCGAAGCAATTGCTTTACAGACCCGACAAATCGTGGACAAGATGAACGATCAAGGCCATAACATCAGCGCGATCTTCATGTCAGGCGGGTTAGTCAAGAATGCTGTCTTGATGCAGTTGATAGGTAAGGTTACACGTCGCGTGTCGATTGATGGTGTGCGACCAAATCCCAGCCTGATCATGAATTCTGTGTTGAACTCGATGGTAATAACTATCCAGCAAACATATGTGATGTCCCGATTCAACTGCCAGCTTCACATTCGGCTTCAGTTGTTTTGGGTTCAGCCATGTTGGGAAAGGCCGCCTATGTATCCACTCAACTATCGCAATCCCAAGTGATTTCCAAGCAGGAGATCGCCGAGGAGAGAGCCCAACAAATGAAATATAAGTTGTGGGAGATTATGGTAAGCTATTCAGCCTTCCTCCTTATCAAACGATAATATCAGTCAATCTGTATACTTCACTCGGTCTTATGACAATGAGTGAACATGAACTGACTTGGAAAACAACCTACGTGATGATTTTCTTGTAGGTTGGAATGTCTAGACCTGGTACAACCATCAAACCACATTTGACTGAGCAAGAAAAGAAATTGCTGAACGTCAAGTACAAGATTTTCAATGAATGCATCGATCTGCAGAGAAAATGGAGAAAGGACGTTCAAGACGCTTTGAGTTGAACAAACAACGCCTCGGACTGTTTTTCTCTTCTTGTAATTAAAATAGGAGGACACAACAAGACTGCAAGCGCCCGGATCTTAAAAGCCGATAAACTTTCTGTAATTTCTTCGATTCAAACCAATACTACTAGAAATAGATAAAGAATTGAAACTATTCATGAGTCCAATCCAAATAGTACTTGTCCAAAAGAGAGCGGAAGTGTGAAGCGTCAAAAAACACATATGGTAATAGTATTGATGGTTTGGTTTTGGGCATTGTGCAATGATGCTCAATCAAAGTGTTCTGGCTGGGAAAACCCCCAAAGGACTCCAAAAAATAAAGCAAATGAATTGCTCAAAAATTTGATCAATGACAAAGAAATCAACCATTTAAAATGAAAATAAAAATGAACAAAAATGAACATTGCTAATGAAAAGAATCAGAGGCTTCAAAGGATGGAAGAAAAAAAATTAAAGAATAACATCAGATTAGACATGCGGGGTGAAAAGGAAGAAAATTGAATTCCTTTTTTGAATTTCACTTCTTCCAATGAAAATCTATCACCACTTTTCCATATTTAATATCTTATCTATCTTAAGTGAGACTTCCACAATAGAATATCCAATTGAAATTGAAGGTAATAAAATGCTTCATTCAATGATCAATGAGAGGCAACATGCAAGAGTCAAAGATGGACTGATATTTCTGGAAAAAATTGAACTAGCAGCAGCAACAACATTTAGTGCCCATTAACCAATTGGACAGGTGAGGTTAGGTAAAGTTTTTGAGTTGGTCCCAGGTTAAAAGCATCAGAGTATTTTTCAATTTGCTCTCTGAGAGCTTGTTGAGAAGTCCTGAAATTAGCCATGCCCATCAATTCAAAATGTTCAATAAATTTTGAGAAATCTGTGTTGTTTGTGATGCTTGAATCTTCAAGTTCCTTGAGTTTTTTAACCTGGACGAGGTATCTGAGGTACTGGTCTTCACATCTTTGCAGTGAGACTGCCGATAATGAACCCCCTTTTTCAAAATCAAAGATCATTTCTTTCGGAAATTGGCTGTAGAAATTCACATATTCTGGTGACCTTTCTAATTCTTGTAGACTTTCAGGGTCTATATCAACATCTACTCTTCTATCAGTATTGGAATCAGTCAGATAGCTTGAACCTTTTAACTTCTCTTTGAGTTGCTCTGGAAGTTTGACCGCTTGGTAATTAGTTTGATCATTCAACACCCATCTCTTGAACCTATTCCAAAGGCTAATATCCTTGGGTTCTTCCTTCAAATTCAGAAAAAACAGGTATGATTGTTCATACAAAAAGTGATTGAGAGTTGAGATCAGTCCAACAGATTCTTCAAATGCCCGAAGTTGATGGAAGGTGATTGCGGATTCCTTGAGCTCATTGGATACAACCTCTGGGTGGTATCTGTGGAGAAATTTGGACATGTCATATAGGAGTTTCAAGTGGACAAGAATCTTCTCGGGCTGATTTTCTCCAACCATTACTTTAGGAATGTAGGCCACAAGGTCTTTCAACAGAGTACTGATTTGAGCTGCTGAAGTTGCTTTATTTGGCAATGCGATTCGGAGAAAATCTTCCCTGATTTGATCAAAAGCTTTGGAAGAAACTTGCGTGGCCTTGTGTGTCAATCGAGCCTTCAGCAATTGGAATTCAAGCTGTTTCCAAGTCTCCTCATCGAATGCTGTAGTTTGTCAAAAGTGATTAAGAGATAAGCAAACATGCGGAATAAATAGTTGTTTGAGGATTTATTTTTGAGATTTCATTAGATGTTGAGAAAGCAGGACTGGCCTTGAAAAATCCTCTTCAGATCGGTATTCTGAATGTGACGGTCCTTCGCAATGCTCAATCTGAGGTCAAAGTTAAGGTAAGTGCTTGCAACATCGAACGGAGGGTACTTGGCGATAATGAAACTCCAGAATAATCGGCCTTGGTCTTCCCTGAGGAATTGGGAAAGGATATCTTCGGGTACAAGTTGAAAGTTTTTCAAATCATGGAAGAAATGAATCATCAGATCGCTCCAATGGGACATCATCAACTTCACTTCCACATTCTCCACATGTGCCTGAGAGACGCTGGTCTCCACAACCTTCTCAAAAGGCGCAAGACAGTCTTTTATCAATATCAGATCTATAGAACCCCCTAGTTCAGGAGGCAATGTCACTCCGCCTCCTCTGAGTAATAATGGTCGCCCTTTTACTATCTCGGCGAGTTTTCTTTCATACAGATAGTTCGCCGCACTCTCTAACCCTGCAATGTTCGGTTTGAACGGTTGGCCATTTTCGGGAAAGAGCAGTTGAAAGTCAAAAAACTCATTTTCGGAGCGGATAACCATCCTTGACATTGCTGAGCGACGCGCTTCGACTTCTGTTTTCTCTGGAATCATAGAACAAAAATCATAAGAAAAGCGGCTAGAATAATAGTGCATGCAGATAGTGATACCCACCTGGAGTGTTTGAAGTCCTCGCATTGTTCTGGATAGCTAAGTGACCTTCTGGCCGTGTTTCCTCTGGGGAGTGCACAGTATCCAAATATGTCACAAAAAGAAGCATCCACCTCAAGAGTTAGCAGTGAATAAATACTGAAATCTATCACCCCTTTCTGAATGAAAAACGAAACTTTGCTTACCTTGTGGGTTAGAGATAGGTTGAGTGTCAGATGCAACAAGAGAGCCTTCCTTGCCGTCATCCGGTGTGTTTTCCATACCTATGTTGCAATCCAAAAGGAGACTAAAGATTAGTTTGAGATTCTTATCTTGGCTCCAATGTTGAACGTAATAAGTGGCATTACCTATCTTATGATTGAAAGGCAAAATCCTCTTTCTTGGTGGAGAAGACTCGGCGATACACGTGATATCAGATGCCATGCCCAAGACACTCGAAACACCCATGAAGAAGAGTGCTAGAGCGCAAGCTCTTGAATGTCCGATCCCACTGGTCATCCTCAACACCTGCATGCCCATATCTCAATCAAGGCTTCAAAATTGTTGGGTAGTATTGGTTGGAGTATAAGAAAGAAGTTCTGGAGCTTGCTTTGATACCAGCTGGTAGTAAGACTTGGCGAACTAAGTTATATGGATGTTTTTTCTGATTTTAAGAGAAAATCTCGGCAACTGTGATGATATCTTTGTCGTTGGAATGTGAATCTGAATAAAATTGAAGCTGTTATCAGGTATCCTCTGGCGACGAAAAATGGAACTGGTGGATTAGGCGCCTGATCCTACCTGTTTAAATAGGATGAGCTTGATGCCGTCGAGGAAAAGTGAAGGTCAGGATCCTCAAGGGAGAATCATTAACCCTGCACATGGACATCCGATCTCCGAAAGCTGGCTCGTTGGAGCAGGTCCGAAAGCCTGTACAGAAATGAGAGAATTCCCTGGCTCCAACCAATCAAATAATTCCTCTTAAAGAACTCTTGGTGCTGTGTTATCGACCTTCAAGTCCTACAGCCTCGATTGAATCGGAGAGCTTCTTTCGTTTACGCTGAGCTCCATAGTCCAATAGACCTGTGTCACCGCCCTCGATCTAATCACTCTTGCCCGAGAAACCTGCTTGATCCAGGCAATAAATTAACAAGTCCGGCCGGCCGGCCGGATAAGCCTCCAGCTTCTACTTCGCTGGGAATGCTCAAACCGATGGGTGTGTGAGGTCGATGCTAAGCATCTCCAGGTCCACTGTTTCCAATGGACTACAAGGCCAACTACACTCCGCGCCGGTGCGACACAAACAGTGTATGCCAGCCCGGACTTCAAATCTGAAGCGCCGGCCCTGCGCTGTGTGCGCTCCATTTTCCTGACGAAGGGTTTCCTCCCGGCAACTCCCAGTCCCACCACTCCAGAACCCCATCACCATCACCATCACCATCAGATATCAAAACATCCGACCAACTCTTCATCCGACATGGTGAATCCACGAAGACCCTTCTCGTCCTCCGCCTATGGTGGCTTCAACCCGCCGATGCCCACGCTTTGGCAGAAAACCGCCTCCAAATTACTCGGTTCGTCCCCCTCCCCGCTTCGCTCAGCCTTCCTCCGAAACATATTGACCATCTTTTGAGCGCTCGGTCTGCGCCGATTGTCCGGGATATATTTTTTTTCTTTGAACAGGCGGGACGATGTGGTTTTTCATGTTCTATCGAATCCGGGAAGATGGCCAACAGGTCTTCTTGGTCGGTTCACATCTTATCTCCTAATCTGCTCCTTGGACCAAAAAAAAAAAAAAAAAAAAAAACCATTACTGATGAGCTCTTCGGACATATTTATCATCTTTTGTATATGATTCGGATCGATCAGGGAAGACATCCGTGGGACCATGGAGCTCACGGTGACAAACTGATTCAAGCACATGACTCTGAAGACAACAAGCATTGAACCCGTTCATAAACAAAACCAAAAAAAAACTCCTCCTGAACTAGATCAAGTGTTTTATCTTTCAACCCTTCGTCAACTTGTTGTTTCGCCCTAAAGATTGTCAGAAAAAAAACAATTCCACATCCTTTCTTCCTCCGCTTGGTGCATTTCCCTTCTCCATCTCTCTAATCTCTCCCTCTTGAGTTTTTCCTTGTTCTCCCTACATAATGGTTAACATTACCGGGCTTGTATATTAGTCCCTACTATGCCCTCCCAACATATATCGTTAGCCAAGCTGCTGAGAGGCAATTGATATCGTGATCACCACGACGGATAAAGTTGAAGTTGCCACCAGTCTATATATTTGGTGCGCCGGGAGAGTTGACTCCAATCTGAATTTTGCCTTCTCTCGAGAAGGCCACAATGTCTCGTGATGCTTCGCTTGCTGAGTCATAGCGGGGTCATCATGCCTCAAACAAACAAGTGTGTATTCAATCAATCTTTCAATATCCAAAAGGTAATACTTCTACATCAACACCGTAAGAAATTCAACCCAACGCACATCATCTTGTGTAGCTAGAGCTCAATCTTCTTAGACTTTTTGCGCTTCAAAAAATTGTTCAAATAGTTTTTCTTGTTTTTTTTTTTTTCAGAATTTACAGAAGGATTATGAATGTAGTATATGAGGGAAGATAGAGTAGCGAGGATCTGCCAAACCAAACGTTGTAGAAACGCGGAATATAAGAAGGAGAGTAAGGTCCGAATAAAGAAGAAAGAAAAATGAATGGATGGATGATGAGGATGATCAACAAGAAAACGTGATCGAAGATTGTCTGATCCTTAGTCGACAAGACCTTTCACTCAGCCACTCGATCCGAACCCATTCCAAAGTCCCAGCAATACTCATCAAAGCTTTTTTTTTTCGTTGGTTTGAAGAAGAAAACATCAACCACCCGGAGGGGAAAAAAAAAGAAATCTGAATCAGTACGAGTTAAGTAGGCTTTTTTGTTGAGGATGGATAAAGAGAAAAGAAGATAAGTGCAAACCTTCTTCGCCGACATTAAAGGATAAGCTTTTAAAAGGTTTACTAGATCCGTGATGATGTTTGCCAAGCTCGAGGTTTGCAGACCCCGAACCAGACGGCAGCCGGGAGGCCAAAGGACCAGCGTTGGAGGCCGAAGAAGAAGAAGAAGACGAAGCGAAGTTAAAGAAGGAACTGATAGCGAAGGGGGAGCCCGCGAATTTCCAGATCTCGATCCGATTTTCGTCGAGCGAGACGGCGACGAGACGTTGGCCATCGATCGAGAAGCTCGCGGCGACGACGGGAGTCCTGAAAGACTCCAGGATGTCCATCTTGGTTCCCGTCTTGAGATCGTAGATCACAATCGCGCCCTCCGGGGTCCCGATCGCGAGCTTCTGCGATCGACCATGGAACGTGATGCTCGGATAGGTCTTCACTAGTTCGTGTAGGATCACCGTCGCCCCCGTCTGCGTTTGGGCTCGCATTTGCTTCTGGGTCGGGTCCAGTGACTTGATCACTGCTTCCAATAATCGCGGTAAGGAGGTATGTAATACTAATGGTCTCTATGATGCCAAGGTTGGATTCTTATCATCAGTAATCTCCTACTTCGGCAGCAAGGATGAAAACAGGATAGAACAAGAAAGAAAGAAAGAACTAAACGTACTTTTCTAACCATGAATACGACGAGTTTCATGGTCGAGATGCGATCGAGAGGGTTCTGACTAATACTGAGATCGTATGACAAGGTGGTCATGAAGAGGGGAGTATTGACACTAGCGACATGGAGACACGCGTACTTGGCCACTCCCTTCAAGTCAGGGGCGAGCTCGCCGTCCTTAGCGGTAGCCCAGCCGAAGAGATTACGGACCAGCTCGATAGCATCGATGTAGTTCTGGATGATCTCGAAGGTCTTGGAACAGATCTCGAAGCCGGCCCGTAACATCTCGATTCGGCTCGGGCTCAATCGATCACTCCGCTGGCCCGTCGGACTGATCGTCTGGAAGACCGCAATCGAGAGATCCTTGAGCACTTTGCTCGACAAGACCTTGTACCGTTCTGAGACAATCAATCCTATGAGTAAGAGCGCGTCCAACTGCTTCTTGGCGTCCCTCTGCTTTTCGTCGGCGCTCGAGGGGTTGCCGTCTTTTAGTAGGAGGTCTTTGTGAATCGCTGAGCCGGTCTTTCGACCAAAAGTCCAATCCTTATCGCTCTTGGTATGATGAGGTGTGATTTCCTGAATCGGCAGGAATCCCTGCCAACTGGCCACAAGTCCTTCGATTTCTTCGTTCGCCATCGAGCCCAATCTGACGCCGAAGAGCAACCGAGCAGCCTCTCGAACTTCGGTCGATGGATCGAGCCAGTAGCGTACTAGGATCTGCAAGTCCAACCAAGCCGTCGAACAATCATCCGAGAGATGGCTCGTCGACTTACTCGCCAATTTCGCCAGGCCAACAATCGTCTCACTGGCATGTCGTTCGTACCGAGCTTCGTTCAAAAACACTCGCAATAAGACGACCAGATTCAAGAGTCTGTAAGTGTTGGAGTGTTCACTGCTCAGCTTCTCATCGCCGGTGGTCCGATAGAGCGCCAGTCCCGATCGCTCGTCTCGATCCCCGTTGATCACCTGCAGAATCTCGGAGCGTTCCTCAACGGATGGCCGTCTGATGCCCAGCCCGTGTTCGGCGGCATCGTCCAAAGCTGGATCGAGGCCCCAGGGTAAAAGCTGGGAGACCATCAAGCGAACAATCGACAACCGGCCCACCAAAGCAGCTCCGTCCTGTAAGCCAATCGCTTCGACAAACTCTCTCATCCTCACCGAAAGGATATTGAATGCTGGCATTCCTGAGATGTTGACCACCCGACTGGAACCGACCTTCGACCCTGCAGATACATTCGGGATATTATACGCCTGGCAGTTTGATAGTCCGACTCGAACCCATCGATACGCCAACGGCTGTCCGTTCTCAACCTCGATCATGGTCTTGGCTTCCTGACGTCCTAAGTGAGCCGAAAGACTTTCGCTGCACAACCAACGCTGAGCGCCGAGCTCTCGTTCACGATAAAAGATCACGATCTCTGCGCCATTTGACCACAGATCACTGATTCCCAGACTCGTATCTGGTGGCCCTAGTTCGCCCATCACCTCGATCATTCCTTCTGCATTCAAGTTCAAGACCACTGCAGATCCATCCATCATCACCACGACGAAGCGGGACAGCCTTCTAGATTGCGCTCCCTGTTCAGGGACATGCTCCAGATCGGACAATCGGCCAAAGCTTTCTACCGGTACCGCCCCAATCATCATCCGATCCACCAGTCTCAACTCGTTCGTATAGTCAGGAATCTCAGAAGATACAGCCTCTCTGATCTTCCGCGCCCAGACTCCCAAGTCTCCCGAAACCCCGCCGGCCAAGACCCACTGCGGATCAGCATACAAGGCAGACACCGGGCCTCCAAGCTGCTCTTCTTCGACTAGCCGCTCCAACTTCCAGGTGGATTCGGGTAAGGAATGGCGAGAGGATAGGATGTTCAAGGTGTAAACTGATAGCTGTCCCTTGGAGTCACCTACTACGATCGTTGGGCGATGGTCATCTTCTAGCCAGATCGAACACGTCAAACAGATGGATGGGGGGTCCGTGGGTCCAGTGGTCTGCGCGGAAAGGTAGAGGTCCCGTCGATGAGGATAAACCGGTGGATTGACTGAAGACATTGAGTCTTGGTCTGGGCGTGATTCAGCATTGGCACTTGTGTTATCGGGGGCTTCAGTGGAAAACGAGAGTTCAGAAAACCTCCTTTGACCGGTTGAGAAGTCAAGATCGACGGTAAGGAGGTTAACGGTTTTGATGAGATCGAAGTGGCTGTCAATAGAGGAGGGAACGATTGAATTACTGATAGCGAACTCGAATTGACAGGGGCTGTCTAGCGTGAAACGGGCTTCATCAATCGGTCTGACTTTCCATTCTGACCAGCCGTTAAGTGTGCCTTCCGACCCGGCAGACCGAAAAAGTCTGACGTGTCTCTTGGAGACGGCAAGGATGCCGAATGAGCCCAGAAAGGACAGGCTCACAATCAAATCATCATCACCAGAAATTTGCGGACTACTTTCTGACGGCGAATAATAGTTCGTTCGAGGTTCGCCATCCTTCTCGTTGGAGCTTGGTAAGGATGGTCTCTCGAAAACCCAGAACCGATCAGCAGACCAAACTGCGAACTGATCTTGAGCGACTACAATCCCAAATGGTCGTTCTTCTTCAAGGTTTAGATCATCGCCCAACGTTTTCAGTAAGATCGGCTCTCGCGTTTCTTGAATCGTCCAATTAGATGAGCCTTCTCCATCTTCAAAAACGTTCAACTCCCGAGTCCATATTTCTTTAGACCAGCTCAAACTGATTAGGTTGATTGTCCATCTGTTGCTTTCAGTTCTGGACTGCTTCCAGATCTTAGTCTTGCAGAATCTATCGTGTCTCTCGGTTGAAGAGTTCGAATATTTGGTTGGAAAGATCTTGAAGTCAACCGAATTTAATAAGACTGGTTGAGTTTCTGATGAGACGCATAGGATCAAAGGATCTGTTTGAGTTGGAATGTTCACATCGCCATCGCTATGCTTTTTTGAAAGATGATAAAAATGAATGACCAAGATAATTTAAAATCACGTTCAAGCCGATAAATGGACGACACCAAAGCCACTGACCATGGTGACATCGTCTGGAGGCTTCAGGAATATCCAATCATCAAACTGAATGAGACCATCGGATTGACATAAATCGAGTGAATGGATGATGTGACCGTCAAGAGGCGAGATTTTTGAACACTTTCTTGAATAAGAAGAAGCAAACCATTGAACGTATCGATGAGAGAAGATTAAATGGCAAATTAGATGGAAAAGTGAATGGCTTACCCAAACCTGGATAGAGTGAATATCAGTGTGCTGGAAGGATGCTGAGGGTTTTGAATGTGAACATGATTGTCAGGAGAGGAAGATTGGGAAGGTGATTGGTCTGCGGATGGTGTAAGAAGGCTTTGATGAATATGAAGGGTGATGGTGGAGATGATTGGATCAGGATATGGCAGAGGATTGACCAAGGTAGACGAAGAGAAGGTGAAAGGAGATGATGAAGTGGGGCCAGGATTTGAGGGTGTGGGAGAAGGTAAAGGAGTGTTGCGTTGTTGCTGATCGGATGGAGGGGTGATATCAACCTTGGATTGCTCGTTTATGATTGTAGATAATGATGCTGAAGATGGCAGTTTGAACTGTTGATGAGTCGAGCCTTGCCAGAGTGATTCAAATGGATGACTGATCGAATTGCGAGTAGATTTGTGGCGAGGATAAGAGGCACTTGATGAGGTTGGGGATTGAGATGTAGATCTAGATTCGATATGTTTTGGGGAGAGTGGCTCCTTCTTGGACAGGTGATTGGGATAACCATCGGTTTGATGTGGTGAATAGGGTTGTGATTGTTTTTGATGGGATGGGTGTTGATACTGTTGATGATGGTCTAGCTGTAAGCTTTCGATTTGATCGTTGAGGTTGCTTGAGCTTGGGTGGTTGAGGATTGAGATTGAGACTGTTGGGGATGCCTTGATGGAATGATGACCGAGAGAATGGATAGAAGAGGTTGAAGAGGATCTAGATGAGTTTGAATAAATCGAGGCAGACGATGGCTTGAGTGGATGTGGGATTTTGATTGCAGGTGATAGGTTTGAAGGGTTGATCGGTTTAGATGTTGAGATGGAGGAGAGTGATTGATTTGAGTGTTTGAACAGTTGTTTGTTTAATTCAAATCGCAGCTGATGATCCTGGTCTTCCCCGTGATGATGATGATGATGGTGATGATGGTGATGGTGATGGTGGTGGCTGTGATGATGCTGGTTGGATTGGGTGATTGAGCGTAGGTTGATGAGTTGTCCGTTGATGGTCGAGATTAAGCAGTTTGAGGCTCTGATGTGCTCGTTGTGATTGATGGTTGAGTTGAACTGATGGAGTGAGATAGGCAGTGAGTAGAATCTTTGAAACCATTCTGAAGATCTTGGTAGTTGGTTAGAGAATAGCTTGAACAGATAATTTGATTGTGCTGATTCTGAGATGGGTGATGATGTTGATAGTCCTCCAAGTGTTTCGATCGGCTTGAGATTAATCTGAGCGATCAATTGATTTGAGCTCTCCTCAACGACGACGTCATCCATCCTTTCAAATCGATGAAATGATTCTGTTAATGGAAGGATGTTGTTCAGTCAGTCATCGGACAACCAGGAAGAAGAAGAAGAAGAAGAAGAAGAAGAAGAATGAGAGATGAAAAACCATACCTTTGGTGGTCAACAGCAGAAACTTTGCCCTTTAAGTTGCTGTGAAGAGAAAGAAGCAGAATGTGAAGTGGTACCACACCAGCTGTCACAGCGGCGTGACACCCTCTGTGACATCCGTCTCTCCTACTGGCTGCTTTTCTTTCCTTCCCTTTAATTTAGAACCTCATCAACAGGTGTTGGATTCTCCTGACGAGTTCAAAGAACCATAAGCATCTCGAAAAAAATCTACCCCTCTTCTCATGTTCTTGTGTCCCTTGCCACACTGTCTGTGGGTGCACAGGCGCGTCATCCAACCTACTCTCAACACAGGAGATGTCAGTTCTTACCAGAAGACATCCAATGGCTAAGCCAGAGGAGGGGGGGGAGAGGTCCTTTTGTTTAAATTTGTCGTTTTTTTGGGGAAAAAAAACTAGCACGGTGTTCCCAAGTAAACAGCGGAAACAGAAAAAAAAGAAAGAAGAGTGCATCAGAAGAATAATCACACATTGACATTCAACCGTGTTTGGTATCCCTGCCAGTGTGTCTGATCAAAATTTACTGGCAAGGAGGCAGCTTAACAAATCCATGAAAGGCTCGTATTAAAGGACTTTAACTTCTGGCTGAGTCCTGGACTCTTGGCCAGACGGCATTCTTAATGAATCTCCAAGGCTAGTACTGCCGAAGGACGCAGTGTGAACAAACGGCTGTCCAATCCATGGCCTCCCGACACTTCATCAATCAGTTCGTCAGACAAGCCAGTCCGACAAGTGCTCGGAATCACTTTGTCCGATAAGTTCTGCATCAAGTCAGCTGATACAGTGTCCTTCTTACTTCATGTTCGATCAAACAAACTTGGGATCAAAGTACACTCATGATACTTCGATCTCCAAGGGTCGATTGTCAGCTCCGGGACGTGTCCTACGGAGTCCATCTAACGCTGCACGAGGATGGCCAGATTGAAGAATGGCCCTAGCCATGCCTAATGACAGATTCAGGAATCGAGATTCCCCTGTCCTTCTTTTTCTATGCCGCTGTTCAGTAGTTGTTCAACCCTTTAGGTGTGCCGTGTGATCATACCATCTAATGATAAATCCTAGACCAACACGCTCATTTCGAAAAAAACGTCTACAAAGCAAGAAATGAACATTGTCTCTCAGAAACCCGGCTTCTCATCTTCCATCTTCCTCTTGATATGCATCTCTCACTTATCAAGTTTGCTCGCTACGCCGCATACCATCAACAAGCGGATGGAGTTGAGTAGCCTGGCCAAGGGTGCGACTGAAATTTCCCAACCGGTGTGGTAAATAATACTGTGTTTCTACGCAGAAAAATATAAAAATTTATTATTATCTCTTTATATATTATAGATATGGTAAAAATAACATCAGAAATGGATTTCTCAGGTAAAATTAACCCTAGTCACCCACTACAACTGACCCCATATCTCTCATAGTTTAGAAGTTACACAGATTTCAACCTGTCACGGGATATCTTTTGGATTCTTTACTCTCAATATGGCTTGTTTTGAATACTGGATGCATATTGAATATTGAATTCCTTTGTGTTGTATTGAATTCCTTTATTGGCACATAGTGCATATTGAATTCCTTTGTAGGTGCACATGCATTCCTTTGTAGTAGGACCTTGTAGGCTAGCTAAATTCCCTCAAGGCAGTGCTCTCACCAGCCAAATTCCCTCACCTGCATGTACTAGACTAGCTAAAATCCCTCATTGGATCTTCAGGCCAGCTAAAATGCCTCAAAAGCATGTACCCTGGGGCTAAAATCCCTCACATTTGTCTATATAAGGAGGCCTCTGCCTGCCAGTTGTTCCCTCCATCATCCCACCAGAGGACCAGATCATCTCAACCCACATTACAGATTATATACAAGTGACAGCCATAACAATACATTATATTGAAATACAAACATAACAGTTTCATCATCATAACAAGTGCCAAGTGCCCATAAACTGCCTCACATACCATTACTGGTTGAAGCATAGCGCTCCCAGAGCTCCAAGCCTTGGTATTAAAGCTTTGAACAACAACCTCATCAATATAATCATCACTCATTTATAACTTCAGACCCTTACACACATCACTCGGAAGCTTCATCTTGAACTATCCTCTATCACGATAAATATAACTGCCAAGCTAAGCTTGGTGGTCTTGTTGTTCTGATAGCATAGAAGGGCAGAGCTTGCAACTCCATCATCCCCTTCTCCATTCAGCAAAAGGGTTTCATAACCACTTTTGAGTCTTACAAGGGAGTCCCCAACGTGATAGGATAAACTTCCGATTGACATCGTGTGACCAATTTTAAACGAAACAAGAAGATAATCAAGAAGACATCGACAGAGGATCGTTACTTTAAGCGGAAAACGGAACGAATTCATCAAATAAATCTGCGACTACTCAGCGGCATATTCAGTTATTCTGTTGATCAACCAGTCAAACTTCAATAAACAATCCAACGACACAAACAACGAACCTCTGAAAAGAAAGTGAACCCATCGACTGAAACGAGTATCTTGAAGAAGGCAGCCAGTTATTGACCAGCAGAAGGAAGACCACCGAAGGATCTGGATAACTAGGATACCGTTTGAAGAGAACTCCGGAACTATTCGAAGAAAGCAGCTGCTTATTGACCAAAAGAAGGAAGACCACCGAAGGATTTGGATAAGTAGATTCTGTGAAAGAAGAAATTCCCAGTGTTAACTGATTTATTTATTTTAAGAAAACCATAAGCTTGCCCTGGTAAAGAGACCAGAGACCATAGTATTATTTGTTTCTTTTTCAGAGCAAACGTTTGTTTAGGTATCGAAGGAGCGTCAAGTAAGGAAAACTAGGAACATCAATCAAAATCAACATGAGTCTACCATACAGTACACCAGATTTGGAAGATGGGTTTGCACCATCAACCCCTTTTAGGAACCAAATTTTCGACCGACCTTCAGGATCATCATCAGCTTTCAATTGGAATCCGGACACTACTTTGCCACCACCAAAGGATAAAGGAAAGGGAAAAGCAAGTGAAATGCGGGATACAACGGAGGAAGACTCAGATGCAGGTGATCCTACACCTCAAGCACACAACTTACCTCCTCTGTCTGGATATGGACTTCACAACACCCAGAATGCAGAAGAGCCAGTGTATAATCGACAACAACAACAACAACCAGCGAATCAGGAACAAGCATATCAACAACCAATCCCTCAAGTTGCACCAAGAATTATCAAGGAACCTGGACTTTTTTACGATGGCAAAAACTTTGGAAAGTTCTTGATGCGGTTTGAAAGAGCGGCTAGGGCGTTTAATGCAAGCGACTACGATAAAGCATTACAAATCGGGCGATTCATGAAGACGGAGGATCTTAAAACTCAACTAGAAGCCATGAACGGGTTTGAGAAATGTGAATGGAGAAAATTACGAAAGGAGATGGTCGAAACCTGGGGAGAATTGGACAATACGATCCTGTACACCTGCAACGACCTGGTTAAGGTTGCGAAAGAATTCGGAGTAAATGGCGGAATCAAGGATCATCGGGAATCCAAATCTTACTTAGGAAAATTCACCACCATTCTCAAGTACCTAGTAACTAATAAACAAATTCATCAGAAATCAGACGCCGCAATACTATTTCTGAGCGCATTTTCCCGCAAAAGTCAATCGAATATCAAACGCACCTTAATCAGTTACGATTTACTTCCAAAAGGACCAGACGGCAGCAACTTACCTCCACTCTGGGAAGACTTGGTCGAAGCATCACAACTGGAAGTACGGATTGTGGAACCCAGATATTTTAACATCTCAGGATTTGGCGAAGCAAACCAATTAATGCAGAACAAACTAAACGCGCAGAAAGGAAATAGTCAACGAAGAGATCAGATGATTGCGGAAGCACCTACGGGCCAAGCCATGGACAAACAAGTTGAAGATATGGCGCGGGAAATTGCTTCACTCAATTCTCAGTTGAAAAGCATAATACCTGCATCCTACAATCAAGCCGGATCAAATGAAAAATCGGAATTCTCTAGAGGTAATGCCAGGCCTTCAACACCCTTGTATGAAACCCAAAGTTGTTACTACTGTAAGAAAGAGGGACACAGAACCTATTGATGTCAAGAACTCTTAAAAGACAAAGATGAAGGTTTAGTTAGGTGTAACGGGAAGGATTGGTACTTACCGAATGGACAACACATACCTTGGAACCCTACAAGACCCATCTGCACTGTAGTAGCAACAGCATCAGCAGACCCGCAAATGCAAGAAGCTGCACAAAAATTAGCAGAATCCCTGAAAGCTGGAGAAACCCAAGCACCCACTACCATGAAGTCATCTGCTCAAACCATTGACTGGGATCCACCACAATTGGGTTCAGAAAACTTTCTAGCCAACCACGCAATTACCCGTTCAGAAGGCCAACAAGGGAGACACAGTGTTTGGATTCAAGAACCGGAAAGGGACACAATGGATGTTGATCAAGAAGAGGAGCTTGCCGATATTACCGAAGAAACACCTAAAACTCCTGTGGTAGAGAAAGTGTGGAGTAAAGAGAAGCCAGTTAATAAAAAGGCTGCAACGCCAGAAGAAGCTCTGTTGCAGGAGTTAGACCATTTGAAAATTCCAACAACTTTTGCACAACTCACGGCTATTTCACCAACCTACACGGAGCAAATAATTGCAAAACTTCAGAACCGACTCCCAGGAAAGAGTAGTGCGACATATATTACTACAGAAACCGCAAAAGTCTCGGCAGCTATGACTACTCCAGAGGTGGAAGACCCGACGGACCCTTGCTACTATAGCTGTGCCCTAGGATACGTAACAGCCGAAGTTGGGGGAGCTAGCGTGGAATTTATGGTAGATTCAGGATCCATGGTAAACGTAATGCCTCGATCAGTAGCAGAAGACCTGGATTTGGAGCTAGTACAAGTAGACATACCAATGAAAGGAGTTGGGGGGAGCAAGATGCGACTTAAATGGAGTAGCTGAAAATTGCCCAATCGGAATTGGAAGATTCTCCGGACCAGCACACCTGTTTGTTTCACCCAAGGCTCAGGACTGTATTTTAGGACGACCATTCTTATTCGACTATGGGTGCACTCTGGAATATCATGAAAATGGTGAAACTCTGTCTTTCCAAGGAACAAAGGGACAAAGGGTATCAGTACCATTAGCAAGAACGGGCCAAGGAAGAGGATGGAACAACAAGAAAGATCTCAGTACCAACAGTATGAAGATGCAGGACGGGAATATACGGCCGAACGAAGACAATCGAATGTTCAAGAATTCTTCAAAGCAGTCTTTTTTATGAATTCCGGTGTTCAACTAAGGGATTACTCACTTAAGCTAGTCGAGCGAGTTATATCCAGAACACCGGGTTTTCTAGACTGGCTCAAAACGTTTCTTCTGGATTTATTGAAAAAACTACCAAAACAAACAAAAATATATTTTGCAAAGGTAATGTTATTAAAAAAGAACATTCTGATTATTTTTCTTCTATTTTTGAAAATTTGTAAAACAGAAACAGCACGATTATGGTATACTACGACTAACCAAGGATCAGCTTTGACGAGGAAAAATGGAACTTCGACGTTAGAGGGAGTGAAACCAGTCCTGGAAGCCAATTCAACCAAAACAGTATCAGGACCAGTACGACGGAATCAGGAAAGAATCACGGATAATCTACTTATGGAAGGTTTAGGTTTGACCTTTCAGACAAAGCTGTGTGAAAGTTGGCGAGAAGGAAATCTGTGGTGTATGACAAAGTATAAACCAGTTGGGAAGAAAGTTCGACCAATTAATCAACCACTTCCGCAACTACTAAATCCACCACTAAAGCGACCACCTTTGTCTCGAGATCCATACAAAACTCCGCTTACTCCACACCCTCCAGAATTTACACCAACAAAGAAAATCACTGAAGAGCGCTTAAAGGTTGTTAATTTTGGACCGGAAGGATGGCTTTGGAAAGAGGAACTCAAACTGTTTAAACACGTCATTGTTATCAGAGAAAAAGCTTTGGCATTCTGCATGGAAGAACGAGGACTTTTGAAACACTCCTACGGACTACCTTACGTGATACCAGTCATTGATCATATACCGTGGCAGAAGAAACCAATACCAATACCAGCTGCTATTAAGGATGATTACGTGGAACTAGTGCGAGAACGAATACGGACCGGCTTATACGAGCAATCCGCTTCCAGCTACTCTAGTCCAGTTTTTTGTGTTGCAAAGCATGATGGAAAATTACGGATTGTGCACGATTTACAAGAAATGAACAGAGTAACCATCAAGGACGCAGGATTACCACCAGCAACAGAAGAATTTGTAGAAGCCTTTGCTGGACGAGCCTGTTATGGACTAGGAGATATTATGGGAGGATACGACGAACGAGAATTGGCGGAAGAATCAAGGCCGTTAACCACTTTTGATACACCTTTGGGAAGATTTCAACTAACCAGACTTCCTCAAGGGGCCACAAACTCGGTTGCAGTCTATCAAGCTCAAATGATGTGGATTCTTCAAGACGAAATTCCGGAATACGTGGGAGTATTTATTGACGATGGCGGAATAAAGGGACCTCGAACCACTTACAACGATGAAGTTCTGGAAGAAAACCCGGGGATTCAAAGATTCATCTGGGAATATGCTCAGACTTTGGAGAGAGTTCTTTTTAGGATTGAAGAAGCCGGACTCACGATTTCTGGAAAGAAGTTTGCTTGCTGTGTACCTGCATTGGATATTGTTGGACACGTGGTCAGCAAAGAAGGACGAAAAGTTTCAGTACAGAAGAAGAATAAAATCACAACCTGGCCAACTCCAAACAGTCTCACCGAGCTACGTGAATTTATGGGAATAGTCACTTACGTCCGCATTTTTGTAAAAGACCTAGCAGAAATTGCGGCACCTCTACGGAAACTCACACGGAAAGACATTAGTTTTGCATGGTCTGGGGAATGTAATGAAGCATTTAACAAACTCAAACAAATAATTGGGGAAGATATCACCTTGAAAAATCTGGACTATTCGGAAGGCGCAGGACTGATTGTGCTAGCGGTGGATTCAAGTTTCATTGCAGCAGGAGCAGTTTTGGCCCAACAAGAACTAGAGACAGGATTGAATAGACCGGTTTTATACGATTCAATAGTGTTTTCACCCGTGGAATCCAAGTATTCTCAGCCAAAATTAGAATTATGCGGAGTCTCTCGAATTCTTAAGAAACTGCAAACACTTCTTTGGGGTCAACACTTTGAATTACAAGTGGACGCACAATCACTTATCCAAATGATCAACTCACCTTCACTCCCAAATGCACCAATGACGCGATGGGTGGCCTTTATTCAACTCTTCTCGTTTGACATAGTACATAAGCTGGGAAAAACATTTACTCTACCGGACGCTTTATCCAGAAGACCTATCAGTGATGAAGAGGACGAATTCTATGAAGATCAGCCAGACTTTGATGAAGATGAGCCAGTAATACGTGCAACTTACCAGTTCCGGACATTTTCAATATCAGAGGAACTTTTGGAATGGGAAGCACCGGGATTCTGGATGGACCTTAAAAATTACTTAAGTACAATGAAGCGGCCAACAGGCATGGATCCTGAGGAATACCGGTCAATAAAGCAAAAATCAGTTAACTTCTTTATCCAAGATGGACGACTCATGCGGCGACACTCACCCATGGCTCAACTAGTTATCTCCAACATTTCTTACCAAAGTAAACTTTTGCGAAAAGTCCATGAAGAATTGGGACACAGAGGGTTGGAGGAAACTTATCAACGACTGGTTTGCAGATTTTGGTGGCCCAGTTTGAAGAAGAAAACAAAGTTGTGGGTTCAAAGTTGTGAGGCCTGCCAGAAAAGAGATGCCTTAGTACCTAGAGAAATCAGGGACCCAACCGGGGCGACGACTATATTTGGACGAGTGGCGTTGGACGTTTGCCATATCAAAGCAGGACGATACAAATATTTAATAATTGCTAGAGACGACCTTTCCGGATGGGCAGAAGCAGCACCACTGGTCAAGTTAACAGCAGCGGCTATTTCTAAATTCCTTCTAGAAGACTGGGTGTATCGATATGGAGCAATCAAAACGGTTACAGTAGACAATGGTCCAGAATTCAAGAATGAATTTATTACAGCGGTGGAAAGCATTGGAGCCAAATTCAAACCAACTACGCCGTACTACCCGGAAGCAAATGGAATGATTGAGAGAGGCCACAGGCCAATCAAGGATACATTAGTAAAGCTGTGTGGCAAATCAGGCGGAAAATGGAGGGAATATTTACCTTTAGTTTTATTTTCAGACAGAATCTCAACGAAAAGGACTACTGGATATTCTCCGTATGAATTGATGTTTGGTCAAAAGGCGGTTCTTCCTGTGGATATCGAAATGGACACTTACCTGGGAATTGATTGGACAGAAATCAGTACTAGGGCAGAACTTCTGGAAGCAAGGACAAAACAACTGGAAAGACGAGACGAAATTTTGGACATAGCTCACCACAAAATGATGGAAACTCGAGAGAATTCTGTTCGGTTCTGGGATCGAAAAATGGCCGCTAGATTACGACAGCCACTTCAAACCGGGGACCTAGTTTTAACCTATAACAAGAGTCTAGAGGATCAGTGGGGAAAATTATTTGAAAATCGGTGGAATGGGCCATTTAAAGTCAAAAAACAACTCGATGGAGGATCATACATACTGGAAGAACTGGATGGAGTAGAATTAAAAAGGGCTTATGCCGCATCTCACATCAAAAGGTTCTACCCACGTGGACGTCCTTTGGCAGAAATTCGGGACGAAGAAGACTCATCTTCAGATTCAGATCATAGTTCAGAAGGTAGCTCAGACAGGGACTCGGACACTTCAGAATAAAAACATTTCTTTTCATATTTTCCTCTGGAGTTTATTCTGTAATTCTAAGTCAGTACCATCATCATACAAAAAACACATAAAGTATAAAAACAGCTGGAAATAAGACATAAAAGTACCAAAAATATACCACATACTAGTCATTTTTTCTTGAGTTGGGGGAGGAAGCTCCACATTTTCTTTCTGTAATTTTTTTTTTTTTTTCTCACCAGAATTGCTCTCACTCAACACTTACTTAAGCCAAGATGGTTGAGGACAACCATCAGAGTTGGGGGAGGGGGGTCTGAGATAGTAGTTTGGGAAAAATTAAAAATTTATTTACTTAGAAATTTAAAAGAATAAAAAGAGAAAAAGTGTAACTAATAATAACTCAAGTCAGGAGGATACAACTTTTTTTGGGTTTAGAAGAGTTTAAACTTTTTTTTATTCTTTTACTGTTACCTTTTAAAGATTTTTTGGGCCTTTGAAGAAGAAGAAAAGTGGAAAAACAAATAATTTAGAACTTTCTGGTGCTCAAATAAGTGGATCTCTTGTTTCTGAAGAACCACTGCATGTTCTCAAAGAACATAACCCGGCGGTCGGATTCAGCTAAAGACGAGGGAGGGTATTCTGAGCACATATCGACGTATTCCGGCGCGATACCTTCGAAGATGCGCATAACATCTTCCTCCGTGTAAATGCAGACGGCAGTCGGCGGGGTGTTGTCGTCGAGGAGAAGCTTTTGGACTCCTTGGTGGTTCAAGTTGATGTAATTGGAGATGAGCGGATAGGTGGACGAGGAATCCGAGTCGTTGGACGAAGATTCAGAGCTCGAGGTCGACGGAGCCGGAGTAGGGACCGGGACAGGAAGGTTCAGAGTTCGAAGGAAGGGAACCGGAAGGCCAGGAGGAAGCTCGGGGTCGTGGACGTTCCACGGGACACAGATGAATGGATGAGGCTTGGGAAACAATCGAGGGATTGGGACCTTGTCCGGAATGGAAGACTAAAAGAGGAAGGTGTTAGCCATTCAGAAAAGGAGGATGAAATGAAAAAGAAACAACTTACACAATCGTAGTGGCAAGACGGGTCGTTAATTGCATGCCATTTGTCCTTCAAGGGAAAGTAATGAGTCCGGGTCTCTACAATCTCCATCCCTTTGGGGATGTAGACCAACGAGGCTGAGCAAGCCAGCTCAGATGGAAGCTAGAATAGAAAAAGATGAATCAGTAATAGGAAAAGAAATAATGGAGAAGAGAAGAAATAAGACTTACGATCGTGTTGATCGAGGTGGGATCAACAGTGGCCTCGGCAGGCCCTTTTTCCTTGTCAGCCACGATCTAAAATAGAAGACACACAACGGGATCAGTCTGGAGGAAAGGGAAGAGAACGATGACCAGAGACGAGCTTACGGGTTTTACGTCGGCGGGATCCTTGTCGCTAACAGGATTGGTCGGGGCTTTGTCGCCAACGGCGTCGTCATCAGGCTAGTAAGGGAAAAGATAAACAATCAGCATTAGATCGACAATAGACAAGAACAGAAGAACTACTTACCACGACGTTAGGATTGAAGACCGGACTCCACTGATCGCGATCCGGGTAGTAACGTACCCCGATCTAAGAGAACATACAGCGATAACACAACAAGTCAGAGCAGTATACAAGACGAAGTAGCAATGGAAAAGACATACATCGATGGATGGGTCTGATCGACCTTCGCAATAGAAGTCATTCGTGTCGCAGTTATCAAAGATAGACGACATGGTTGGACAGTAAAAAGGGGAATGGATTGTAGGAGGGTAATGAAAGCGTTTGGAAGTGAAGTGGATGTAGCTGGCTGGGGATGTGAGCTGGTGAGGAGAAAAGGGAAACGGCGAAGAGAGGCCGGCTTTTATAGATGAAAGGACGGCTGGAGCAATGATTTCGGCAGGTACGATACCTACCCACGGCGGTTTCCAGAGATGGAGGTGCATTCTGGTGATGGACCGAGAAACAGCGCGAAGGAGATGGAGGTGTCGAGATCGAGTGGTGTGGGGGATGAATAAAACCAGGCAACAGGATTGTTTTTCTTCGTTTGGTTGTTCAGATTCAAGATGACACTAAAGGTTTGCGGCAGAATCAACAGCGTGAAGGTGATAAGGAGGCAGTGTACGGAGAAGAAGTGGATAGGCGAATTAGAAGAAATATGAATGGCGTACCTAGAGAGATCGGGGTCCCAAATTCGCAGGGGACGGAGAGCGGTTTGCAGTCTGTTCTGAGGGGGGAGAGAGAGGCGTCGTACGAGGAACGCAACAGAGGCAATCTGTTCAAGATGGGACTAAGAAGGACAGATGCGACAGATGATACTACAGATACGAAAAGCAAACTAGAACAGAAGACCGAAACCTACCCACTGGTTGAGAGCACTTCGAAAGCCGCTAGGCCAGCACTAGCACGGATGAGGATCGGCGGTGGCGTCATGCACCTGTTCGGAGTCTAGCAACTGTCAACCAAGAAAGATCTATACGAGAGAGAGAGAGAGGATGGAGCACACTTACCTGTCAAAGAAAGGATTCACAGAGTAACGAGGTCGATAGGTGCACGCACTGGACAGAAATCAAGAACTGTCAGCTCAAAAACCAATCTAGAAGAAGAAAGAGCAAACAAAATCATACTTACCTGTCGAGATGGATCCACCATCGGTCGAGCTACGCGGTTGAAGCCAAGATTCGGTGGTGTCGGTCGAATTCCGACAGAGAAAGAAGGTGACGGATCGACCAATCGTGAAGGATACCCACAGAGAGGTGGATCTACGGCGGGAGGGCACACGTATCGCCGATCGGACCCTGTCACACCTGTGACAGGGCTGATACAGCTTAGGCAGGGCGCGAGCGACTAGTATTTTGACTTGACTAAGACTTTCAACATTCACTCTAGTCGAGTAGGGAAGGACCCCCCATCACCAACTGCTACCTGGGTTCAATTCCCTATCTGAATCAATACCCAAAATGCCCAACACTGTAACCAAGTCTGGGTCTTTTTTTGCTCATCAAGACAAGTCAGACCTCAAAAATTTATATAGTTTTTTTCCTTTTCAAAACTATATTTACAGATAATTATTTTGAGGAGTTGAGTTCAATTCCAGGCCTTGACTACAAACTCTTGAAAAATCAAAAGTTCCCCAAATTTTTATCAATTACGAAATCAATTACACAATTCAGGATTTCTCTTCAATCTTAAGTGCTCCCAAGAATAAAAAAAAAAAAACCCCAAATAAAACATAGTTTTTACAGTCAGAATTCCCTGCTGGCCGAGTTGTATTTTTCTGGACACTGTAACATCAATTCAACACTGCTCAAGCCAATTAAATACATGCAGGGCAAGGTTTTCTTTCATTTTTTTTTTCTGTAAGATCAGCTCCAAAACACATGCAAAATCAGAATTGACTGGGGACAGCCAATAAGTTGGGGGAGGATGTGGTAAATAATACTGTGTTTCTACGCAGAAAAATATAAAAATTTATTATTATCTCTTTATATATTATAGATATGGTAAAAATAACATCAGAAATGGATTTCTCAGGTAAAATTAACCCTAGTCACCCACTACAACTGACCCCATATCTCTCATAGTTTAGAAGTTACACAGATTTCAACCTGTCACGGGATATCTTTTGGATTCTTTACTCTCAGTATGGCTTGTTTTGAATACTGGATGCATATTGAATATTGAATTCCTTTGTGTTGTATTGAATTCCTTTATTGGCACATAGTGCATATTGAATTCCTTTGTAGGTGCACATGCATTCCTTTGTAGTAGGACCTTGTAGGCTAGCTAAATTCCCTCAAGGCAGTGCTCTCACCAGCCAAATTCCCTCACCTGCATGTACTAGACTAGCTAAAATCCCTCATTGGATCTTCAGGCCAGCTAAAATGCCTCAAAAGCATGTACCCTGGGGCTAAAATCCCTCACATTTGTCTATATAAGGAGGCCTCTGCCTGCCAGTTGTTCCCTCCATCATCCCACCAGAGGACCAGATCATCTCAACCCACATTACAGATTATATACAAGTGACAGCCATAACAATACATTATATTGAAATACAAACATAACAGTTTCATCATCATAACAAGTGCCAAGTGCCCATAAACTGCCTCACATACCATTACTGGTTGAAGCATAGCGCTCCCAGAGCTCCAAGCCTTGGTATTAAAGCTTTGAACAACAACCTCATCAATATAATCATCACTCATTTATAACTTCAGACCCTTACACACATCACTCGGAAGCTTCATCTTGAACTATCCTCTATCACGATAAATATAACTGCCAAGCTAAGCTTGGTGGTCTTGTTGTTCTGATAGCATAGAAGGGCAGAGCTTGCAACTCCATCATCCCCTTCTCCATTCAGCAAAAGGGTTTCATAACCACTTTTGAGTCTTACACCGGCTCTGCGTCAGCCTGCTACAGGTGTTGTCAAAAATGTTGGAATCGGGACAGTTAAAGAGGTGAAATTCAGTCTTGGCGCTAAGGATCAACCCCTGATTGATTCCCCTGCACTTCAAAAGCAAAACCTTCAGAGGGCCCTGGCTAGGGTAACCGTTCCGTGGCCAAGTGAGTATCAGCTCTCAAGAGTCTTCTGCTATATTTATCCCACCATCACTAATGCTCGCACAACACATTATCTTCAATCGACAGTTCGTGTTGGGAAGAATTTGAAAGGAGAAATTTCGAGGTTTAGAGGAAAGATTCTTGCCCATTTCCGACCCCCAATTCGAGTTGATCTTCCCATCAAAGAAACAGACCTATATTGGCCTCTGATGGACAAAGAAAACATCGATTCTGAAGCGAACGAATTTTTTGGGTTGATTTTCAAAGACCAGACAGTTCTTGGGGAAAATCGGAAATACATACAAGAGAGTTTGAAAGAATATCTTGGAGAACAATTTACTGCCAAACAAGCTGAACAGCATGTCAAAATTGTATTGCAGAGACAGTTAGAAGAATGGCACCTGCTTTTGAAGCATAACTTCAACATCAAGAAACATATTGCTGCAGGGACTAACAGAATTGCAAACAACATCCAGCCAATCCTTTTCCCAATGAAGATTGGTTCAGACCCCATTATAAAACTGGGAAAGAAGATGGCAGCATATAAGGCAGAAATGCTTCTGAAAGATCAAAAGAGTAAGTTGATGTGTATGTGATTATCTTGTTTTTTTTCATTTTTGTATCCGTAAACTGATCATTCTGAAAAACCTTGTTTTCTGTTTGATTTCTATTAACCAACAGGCATCCAGTCATATTTACCCAATGATCAAGAATACCTGTCTGAACTACTTGGATTCTTTGGCCCTGAGAATGTGTTTTTGCCACACATCAAAGATGCCATCAAAAAAAGATACTATCCTGGGAAGTTCAGATTGCTCCCAGATCCACATGTCGGTTTTCTGCAAGGGCTTGAAGGCATTCAGAAGAAGCTATCAGATTTAATCAAATTCAAGCAGGAGGCAGAGCTAGCAAAGGCCAAGAAAATTAAGTTTCAAAAACACCCAGACATAACAGAACTCATAAGGCTTGAGCAGAACTTTGCTGCTAAATTTGGGGGACGTGATGAAGTCAAAGGAGCACTCAATAATATTAAAAACTGGGATCTATACATAAGTTTTATGAAGAAGCTGAATTGTATGTGACAAATGTCCAAAAACTATTGCTTTCAGAGAAGATGAACTGACATAAATTTTAATTTAATATTGTTGTAATGTCACTGAAAAAGCTCCAAAAACAATGACTGATCATCAGCTTCAATTCCTTGAGCCTTGGGGATACTCCCGCCAATATCAAAAAACCCCAGCAAAGAACCAACCATACACAAGATTTGGAATAATAAGAAGTCAATCTGAAGATCATCTCAAGATAATTGAAGATCAAGCTCCATTCATATCCATAATGGTTCAAGAGAAACTGGAATTTGCTGCTGGATTGACCACAGTAGAGGAGAACTTGAAAGAGATCCTGACCCCTGCAGGTATGGAACAGCTCAAGACTATCTTGAAAAGAGACATCCCAAATATAGGTCTGATCCTCCCAGGAGAATACCCAATCAAAATCGAACCAACAATTAACCCAAAATATCTCCCTTTTTATCAACAATAAGCAGACATCCTGCCTTGAGTTTTGTGCATAAGAGATTGATTTCACTAAGAAATTTGGGATTTTATTCATTTCCTACTCTCTTGAAGATGTTTGGATTTTTTACCTTAAAATCTTTCAAACTTGACCATGTTATAAATTATCATTCCACAAACCTCATTTTTCTTCTTCTTAGATCATTTCCCTAATTACCCTCAAGAAAACATTTCACTGTGAGAAATTGAACAACCTCCATGTTCACCTAATGGCTGGCAGCAAACCTAAGCCAAGGGACAACGAAATCTCTGAGGCCTTGTTGCTCAAAGAACCATGATGTCTTGGCAGCCCCGTTAAGGATAAGGGGCGTGCATCAATTTACCGCAAGAAAATATGAAGGGAGCGGCAAAAGGATGGATGAGTGAGGTCCCAGAAAAAACCCTGCTCTTTGGTGTTGAGTTTTTCAGGATCCATGCCCAAGGATACACTTGATAATAAGCCTCTCTGTGAGAGGGAGACCTTAAGGGGCTCTCCTTCAGGATCACATTTTAAAGGCTTTGTGGGTGGTTTTGTGATTCCAGCAGTAGCTAGCTCGAACAAATTTAGCCACGTCCAAGCCGGATGCTTTAACTTCTCCCAAAAAGCATAAGATTACCGAGTTTTCTATTTCAAGTTGTATGTTTTTTTTGGTTTCTTTTTTATCTTTAATTGGATTACCCTCGACATGCTCCAAATAATGTTCTCCTCAGAAGTACAAATGTTTCAGCTACGTCTGACCTAGCATGGCCAGCTTAACAAAGACCTGGATCATGGGCTCCGCTAGGACTCTTGGCGAGACGACTTGGACAACTTTTGGAATCTCCAAAGCTACCAGTACATAATAAGTGCAGTGTTTCTGGTCTTAGTCTGATACACGTGGCCTTCTCTGTTCCTTATCCCCGTCCAGAAAAACGGATGATGATGACGACAAAATGACGCTGACTGAGCTTCGGTCTCCAAGGGCAGATTGCTAACTCCAAGGTATGTCTGACGGCGTCCATCTGACACTGGACGGGGATGACTGGATTGTGGGCCAGAGCGGTGCCGGCGGATTGGTGTAACATTTGGCAGTCCTTATATCGCTGATCAGCAGGTATCTTGCAGAACCTACTGAAGGCTAACACACTCGTTCTGATCCAACAAAATTTTTGAAGAGAAATGAACGTTATCTTCGAGAAACCATGCCTCTCACTTTCTATTTTCCTGTTGATATGCATCTCCCACTCACTCAATTCACTCGCTACCTCACACACCATGATGAAAAAGCGCATGGAGCTCGGTACCTTGGCTAAGGGTGCTGCAGAAATTTCCCAACCGGCCTTGCGTCAACCTGGCGCAAGCGTCGAAAAAGTTAACAATATGCGGGTCACGTTCGATCCAAACATCCGGGAGCTTACAGTCAATCCTCCCGCACCCCACGCCGAAATAGAGCCTGAGCGTTTGCCTCACCCTGAGGCAGATGGCGAAAAGTTTAACAGAGTCAAAGTTACATTTCATCCAGACGTCCGATTGCAAGAGTATTCTTTACATCCTGACGCACCCCCCACGCCCAGTTTCAAGAAGGCTCTGGCTGATCTACCCAGACTTGACCCCTGGATGGGTAAGTCTCCATCTCCAAGCCAGATCACATTTATAAAGAATACATTTCTGAAGAACATTCCTTGAATAATCCCCGCCGCCTACTAACGATGGCCTACCAACACATGGGTTGAACAGTTCGTGCTTGGAAAGCCTTGAAAGTAAAGCTCTCGAGTATCAGGCAAAGGATCATCACCTTCTTCCGACCACCTGCGCCACCGGGTCCATTTGACCTTCGCTTCGAACGACAACGAGCGCTTTCTCAGCTTCTATTAACCAAGAAAGGCGTTGATTTAGGACCAGACATAGAAAGATTTCTGCAAAAAAGTTTGAAAGATTATTCTAAACCAGAGCCATATCTTCAAGAAAAATACAATCCAAGGTTGGATAAATATTGGAAGCCCAGACTGAAAAAATCCGTTCGAGGATTACAAGATATTTTGATTGAAGACGATGCGGCTAAGCAATCTATGACTGTACGTGGTAAAGAGATTTCTCATAATATTCAACCCATCATGCAAAAAGCAAAGATGGGTTCAGATCCCGTTGTAGCACTAGGAAAGAAGCTGGCCACTGAGAATTCTAAAATCTTGGCAAAAGATCAAAAGAGTATGGATATGTTTCTCACTTTTTTCCAACATTATCAATATGCTGTATTGCGGTTAGCTGATAGGCTGTTTACGTCTTGATCATTGGATCAATAGTTATCAAGAGTTATCTACCCGAGGACCAAAAATACTTATCGGGACTACTGGGTTTCTTTGGGCCCAAGAACGTGCTGTCGCCACACATCCAAGCTTTGTTCCAAGAAAGGGTCCAGTTCCGAGATTGGAATTTTGGTGAATTTGTAGACGCGGGGCCGTTTGTTCAAAAAGTTGAGCAAATCCAAGAAAAACTAGCAGAAATGGCTAGATTTCGCCGGGTGGCTTATTTGGCAAAGACACAAGGACACCCTTTTGACAAGCAACCTCCTCCAGAATTGATGGTTCAAATTACTGAAATCGAGATTCAATTAGTGACTACTTTTGGTGGACGTGATAAATTTGTAAATGCTTTGAATATGATCAAGGAATCTGATATACACAAGGGGTTTATGCATGAGCTGAATAGTGAGTCATTCTTTTGAATTTTGGAAGGAGTACACACAAGTCAAATGATTTTGGTTTCCATTTTCATGAAAAACTCAACCCAAAAGACCCAAAATCTTTGACTGGCCACCACCTTCAGTTTCTGGAACCATGGGGATACTATCACAAGTCCAGTGAGATTCCAGTTGGAGAGCTCAATCTTAAAAGACTTGGAGTGATTGAAGACATGAATTCAATCAAGACAATTGATGGTCAATCTGAAATTGCATTGGGAATCATCCAAAACCGTTTGGAATTCACCGCAAAGGCTCAGAAGGGGGCTGAAAAGATAGAAGAGTTCTTGACCCCTGAGGGCCTGCAAAGTTTCTTGGAGTATATGAAGCAAAATCCACGCAAAAGCAATGTTAAATTCAAACCATTAGAAGAGATCTACATGTAGAATTTTCCTCAGTTGCATAGATATGATTTGGCTTGGTTTATCTTGTATGTTAACTCACAAGTTTCTTTTCTTGTCTTTTACTGAGTTTTATTTAAATGTATTTGGGGCAATGGTATGCCCAAAATGATTTGAACAGTAGTTTCTGAATTCAAAACAGAAAACTTGCATTTATTTTCACTTCAATTACCTGAAACATTACACAAGAAAGCCTGTTGTTTAGATGTAAGCAGGGCGATATCATCACTAAAATTATTGAAGCACAATAGATCCTTAATAAAACGTAGACAACTTTCACCATGCAAAATTCATTCTGTTTCAATTACAATTTAAATACTACATTACTGACCTCCCACTAAGTTCCTACAAGGCTAAAAGCTCAGATGAAGAAGTTTGAAATTGAGAATGATTGATTCAACTCAGTCTCAGGGGAGGTGACAAAAAGAGCCCAAATCTTTTACTTTGGTTGATATTTTCTGGAGTTCTGTAGGTTTCCAATCAAGAGTCTTGGAGGAGGACCCCAGCAAGCCCTGACCAAGCCTACTTATGTGACATGTAGCAAAATGTGTTTTTTGTTTTTTGTTTTGAAAATGATACTTATGTAATTGACCGGATATGTAGTGGATTGGGGTTTTTTCTCACCAAGCATACTCATGCACTTTGTATCCTTGAGGGTGTTATTGAACTAAAAACCAAACTTTTTGCTCTTTCAGGTTAGAAAAACCCCTGATTTGAGGGGCCGTGGCTTTGATTCTCATTCCCCAAAATGGAATACTTTTTAATTTTCCACCAAATTTTTGTGTTTATGCAAGGAATGTTACTGATGTAGTCTGCAGCAAAATGCAATTTTTCAGAAAAAAAAAACCTGATTTCTGCACATATTCAAAACCCATTTTCCCCTGGATTTACATAAGTAGGCTTGGGCAGGGCTTGCCAGGGTCCTCTTGGAGCCAAATTCTACACAAGCGCCCTGACCCAACAAGCAAGCATCCACTAGCACTGGTTGGCCAGTTTTTTTTTTCTGGATCTCTCACCCAAGATTTTTGAAAAAAATATGACTGCAGTGAAGAAAAAAAAATGATCAGGATGGCTCCAAACCCCAAAGGTGTTGCCATTCATATCCTGGACTTTTGCAGACAATCCCCAGTTGAAAGACCCCAATTATTTGGGGCTTTGATGAGCATCCCAGTTTGACTGCACAGGTTGCACAAATGGCTTGGTACATGTGTACAAACTCAAAGAGGAAATTCATCACATTCACATGTGACAATTTCCAAGCACTTGTCAACTTTGAAAATGATGGTCAACCATCTTCCACTGGTTATGCATTCACATATATACACTCATTATCCACAGATCCACAAACCCCAATTTGTTCCTTTGTTTGGACAATGCCACAAATCAAGGAACCACTCACAATCAGCTGTTGTTTTTGTTCACGTTTTATGAATCCCAAAAAACCATGGAAAGCACTCAAAGGAAATGAAATTATGGAAGTTTTTATTTGTTTATTTGTTTGTTTTCAATCCAACTACTACTAACCAAAAAAAAAAAAAAGTGGGGAAAAAAAGGGAAAGATCTAATGTTACAAAATCTCAGAATAGTAGAGTGAAAAAAAAAAAACTGCAACACAATGGGGCAGCAGACAGGAAATAATAAAACAGGATCATTGGGAAAGTGTTCTGAAAGAGAAAGGGGGGGGGGAATGACAATGGTGGGCGAGCGGTTCTTCATTAGGAGAGATCAAAACAACTAATACTACTTCTCAATCCCACTCGCACAGGACAAAAATGAAGGTCCAAAGTATCATCATTATAGGGCGAAAAAGTAGGGCTCAAGATGAACGCAGGTGGGAGGTGGGGAATTCATTTGCACTGACAAGTGTACGTGTGTGGTTGATAGAGATGCAAGTAGATTTAAATCAAGTTTCGGGGTTTTTCTTCATTTTTTTTGGGGGGGGAGGGGGGAAGATAGGGAGATCAGATCAAAACTCCATATCCATGCGCATGAAAGTGCTATCGAATTCGCGATGGAATTTCTCTTGATCGGGTCTAGTACCGAACGTACCGCCGACGGGCATCGACTTGATCTTGCCGAATTGGCGTTTAACGGTCGAAGGATTGGGATGGGAGAAGGAGAATTTGGAGGCGGGTAAGGCGCCGAACTGGTCGGCAGATTCGTTGGTATCCTCGCTCTGGTTCAAGCTGACGAAGTCGCTAGAGATAGCTGGAGAGGAGTCGGCATCGAGTTCCATCTCTTCGACATCGAACCCGTCTCCCTCGTCGACTTCGGGGATGTTGGTGATCGCCTGTCGGTCGCAGTCGAGTTCCCGGGACTGTTCCCAGAGCGGCCCGGGCTCGTTCCTTCGCCAGCCCGCCCGGAGCACATCGTCGTTCAAGCCGCTGATCACCGACGAGGTCGACTTCACCCGACTCAGTTGGGTGTAGCGCGACTTCCATAAGGTGTTCGAGGGGTTGTCTAACGCTCCTTCGACCGCTGGGGGCTCGAGCTCTGGCTTCGGATCCGGCCTGAATATCGACGCTTCGGATTGAGAACGACTGAATGAGCGGACGGTGGAATAACCTTGACTGACAGCTAAACCATTGTCATCCAAACCCAAACCCCCATTTTTTTTTTTTTTTGCATTGTTCAAAGAGGATTGAGAAAACAAGACCACATCAATAAAAATAAATTCTCCCTATTTTTAAAATTATTCCAGCGTATAATCAGAGTCGGAAACATTACCATTTCGACCGATGATTCCGCGGAGTGCGATTTGGTTACGAAGGTCTTTGGAGACCGAGCCACGGCGAAGACGAGCCTGTTCGTCTTCATCGTTGGCGTTTGAAGGTTCGAACCTTACCCGAGGTGTGTCCGCGGTCGGACTGAGAAGGCTAGTGGTAGTTGGATCCCCTTGGGCGGCGGTGGAAGCCATGACTACGACGATTTTTGGATCCGGCGATCGGGTTCCTGTGCTGAGCGCGATAAGAATCCTGATGTTTCGGAGACAAACGCTAGGTCAGTTTGGGTTGGTCCGCGAGTGATCACTATGAGAGGAGCAGAGCTGTTGTAGTTTGTCTTTGTCCTCTTTGAGTGAGTGTTTTAGGTGGCGACTTACGTCTGATAGTGCAAGTGAGTTGGTCAGTGTATCCTTGGCTGGTCCTTGGTGTTTCTATGGTACTGACACTGATGATGAAGAAGAGTAGATTGAGCCCCCAATGGGTTTCCGGCTGTTGCAGTGTGTGGGTGGTTGGTCGGCTGTTCCGCTGTGCCGGTTTGGGCAGAATCAATCCCACTCCAGCCTTTCACAGTCGCGTCGTCGCGTGGCTCCACTGCGCAGTTCTACATAGTCTGCTGACCACCCAGGGCACAGCAAGTGGCTTGCACCCTATCTGCCATTTCATCCACTTCCTCTCAAAATGACTTTACATTGGTAAAGGTTCTCTAAATTCTCTTTGTGCATTCTCGCCTAGAATGCTCATAAGATTGGAACAAAGAGCAAACTCACATTTCTTTTTTCAAATTGATGAAACAGAAAATGAGAGGTTTGAATTGGATTCCTTTTGTTTTATAAGCTGGTGGTCAATCTTTCAGCCACGCTGCATAGATTTTATTTTGTCAATTTATTTTGAGGAAAGTATCAGCACTTTGGGTCCGTGATAGGAGTACTTAGTCCCAATGTCTGATTTTCATGGAATACAAGCATTAACTCTGTCAAGATAGAATTCCAATTCACACTTACATACACCACGGGTTCTGGTGGACGAGTGCTTGACAGAAGCAGTTCCTTCAGCTTGACCCATGCCACCCCAACCAAAATTCTGGGGTGCTTCATAGCAGGGGGTGTAATCCCCCGGGGTCAGCTTGATACTTCAAGGTTGGCTTGCCAGCAGTTGCAAGGCAAGCTGGTGATGGCTTGACAGCATTGTGTCATCTTGACAGTGGCTGCAGTCCAAATTTCAAAAAAAACTGCTTGGGGCTTGAACAGGACCCCGGAGAGCCCCTACCAAGCCACCTAATGTAAAACCTGTGAAATCCGGGTTTTTGCTACCCAGGAATATCTGGTTTTGGGGGGCAGATGCGTGTTTTGCTACCTCCAACATCAGGGTCCTTTTTGTTTTTTTGTTTTTGAAATTTTTTCAATAAATTTTCCTATCATGCATAAATTTCTTTTTTTTTTTTCATCCTTGTGAAAAATCTCTAATCTTTTCATGCATAAACTTCAACTGGTGGACAAATTGCTACCACATACAGAAGGATCATGTGCTGCTTCTTTTTTTGTTTTTGCTACCTTTTTGCGGATTTACATTAGGGACATTTTGGAAAAAAAAAATCTGTTTTCTACATTTTACATTAGGCGGCTTGGTTGGGGCTTTCCGGGGTCCTGCTTGAACTCCCTACCTCAACTCATCAGGTGGTGATGGGACAGGTGGGCTTATCCAACTGTGGCAATCCTATTATATCAATCTGACTTGGTTATGCATGTATGTAGATATAAACTTTCGAATCACCTATAAGATTTTTTTGTCTTTATGTTTTTTTTCCTGAGGTGGCCACAGCTTTTTGGGCATGAAAAGGGTGTAGAAAAATGTAGAAAACCCCAGTTTTTCTTCATTTTCAGAAATGGGGTTAAGCCAACGTTGTAATTGCGGCATTCCTGCCCAAACTGGACGTCGGCCAGACCTGCAATCCAGCGAAATTTTGTGAAAGAGGTTAAGGCTGATGGGTGCTTGACAGTGGGGTCAAGCCAACAGAGTGCCATTTCCAAAACTCAACCTTTGGTGTATTTTTCATCATGGAAATGGAATCCCTATCTGAACATCAAGTGAAAAAACTTTGAACTAAAAAATGGAGGACTTCCTGTTGCAATTTAAAATGCTTTTTTAGACCTCTCTCAGTCCTATTCTAAAGTAACAACATGCTTAGGATTTCAACCAGCGCACATAAGAGCTATTGCTAGAAAGCTTCAGAAAAAAGATTGTTTGGATGAAAAAAACTATAAGATCTAAGGGGTGTAAATTGAGTTCAGGGAGGGTCATAGATTGAGACAGGAATTCATGCAATAGGAAAAATTCAAATAGAAATAGAAAAGATGGCATTAGAGGGAAGGACTGTCCACCTGATTCCTTTTATTTTAACTTATATAATTAAGTCGGTCACAGGCAACATCAAATTTCATGGTTGATAGGAACCTTGCTGTTTGTTTCTTTACTGTGGTTTGCATTGAACATCATACTGATGTTGCATTACAGATTTTCCTTTGTGGGTTCAACACCAAATGCTGGAGAATAGGTTGTTGTATGTATCTATAATAATTCCAATTTGATCTCTTTCCATATTCATTAAACTCTTGTTTATCACTCAGCTTTGATAAGTGATGCTCTCTTTTAGAAATACTTGGCTCTATGGTGCCTGTTGAGTCTGTACTGATCAGCACATCATATGTGATGTTTGGAACAACTCCTGAACTTGAATGTGTGCTTCTGATGTTCATACTGACTCTTCCCAACCCTTGGATGATGGCTCTGTTGTAGAGATTGTTTGTTCGGACCTGTTGGGGGGTACCTGTCACACTTCAAAACACTCCCTCCACACCCTCACACACCACTGATGCTTCCAGAGGGTTCAGTAATGATGAAGGTTTAGTACTGGGCCCCCCACTGGTATTTATGGTGGCTGTTGATGTGGAGGGCTTGATCTGAAGTGTGGCAGGTACCCCCCAACAGGTCCAAACAAATGATCTCTACTCTGTTGCCTTTCCATAGCTTCCTGGGCCACTTCTCATGGTGCTAGATTGTAGGATGCCAGCAATATACCAATCATTCATTCTTGTGATCAAAATTCAAGAAACTTTGTTTTTTTTAACTTCTAGTTGTTGTCTTGTATCAGGCTTTCAATGTTTCAATTTTAGAGGGCCTCCATTTGATTTTGCAGCCTCTGTCAAGGCAGGTTTAGATGTTCTTAGTCTAAATCAGCATCTCACAATCGCTGTAGATTTCACAGGAATTCTTCCGGATTGATCTCGTTGATTTAAGCAACACATGCTTTTTTGAAACTGTCCTGCTTACATATAATCAACTCCCATGCCAACTCCGATGATCAGCAGGAAGATCAATAGTTGCCAAGAAGAAAGAAAAGATGTACAATCGGATGACACCAGCCATTTGGAAACTGATGAGTTCTCTCTCCGGACTCTAGGGTTTTGTGTTGTTGGTGATCACAAATATAAGCCATGAGTAATTAGTAACCTGCCCGTGAAACACTTGCCTGCAATTCACTGGTCGACAGCCATTAATGCAACAATAGATTTGAGCACAGGTTGGTGGGGCGTGATCAGTTTGGCGGGGTGGGTAGTCGATTTTAGGTTTTCTATTGTCGAGTGTGTGTTCTTATGGCGATAACACGTGCTCTGGAGTCTGGGATGATCACCAGTTGATCGGCGTATTGATTTCGCCATTCATTCTTTTTCTTTTTTTTTTCCCCCGATCGGCTGGATATGTATTCAGACTGTGAATCTGTTGTTGAGTTTTAGTAGCACGTGATCTCTGTCTGTTTCTCTGGTTTTCGGGTTCAGTTGAATGTGGTTTGTGATTTGTATGGGGGTGGTTGTTTGTTGCAGTTGGCCAGGTTGGCTTACAATCAAGCTGACTCTTTTTTAATTAAAGGTGCGGCTGTGATCGATCGTCTGGTTGACCGGGGCCGGGGAAGTTACATGCAACACCAATCTGGCTTACTTAAGCTTTCTTTTTTTTCTCTTTAAGCTTTCCTCCCCCTCCACATGGTCACCATGAGCATATAAAACCTTCCCCCTCTCCTCCCACTTCCCCACTCGCATCCCCTCTCAGAAAGTACCACCAGCCCAAGTCACACCCACTGGGCACTGACCGAGAAGCTTAATAGGATGTCACACCACGACCAACTCACTCACTCGCCATCACCAAGGCCAAAGAGCGCAATCAGCGCCAGGGAGATCCAGCAGCTCTCATCAAAGAAACGCCACAAACGACTGGCCTATGGCCCAAACTACGTAAGCAAGCATCAGACTGCACCCACGGATCGGGATAGTACTAACACCCAGGTGGTTGTTTTGTTCTGTAGATCCCAGAGGAGGAGACCATCCGGAATGACTACTCCCTCAACTACGTCCTCACTGGCTCACGACCACAGAACCACATCCAGAATACTGCACTCGAGACTCGGTTTGCAGAGTACCCGAAACTCAAGAAGCTACTCCAGCTCAAGCGATCACTCGTCACCAGTCATGCCCATCCACCCACCTACATCCAAGCCGACCTGCGTCCAAACCGACCCGACTCATTCAACCTGCTCGAGCTCAGCCCCGCCAGGTTTGACGTCATCCTACTCGACCCTCCTCTCAAGGAATACGTCGAGAACTATCCTGCTCTGTCCAATGAGCCCTCGATCGCCGGATGCGGCGGCCCGCCCGACCAGCCCCGCGATTACTGGGACTGGGACGAGCTCGAGAATCTACCACTGCCCCAGATCGCCGCCAGTCCTGGCTTTGTCTTCCTCTGGTGTGGCTCTGGCCAGGGTTCGACCTTGGAACGTGGCAGGGCACTCCTCGCTAAATGGGGCTACAGGAAATGCGAAGACCTCGTCTGGATCAAAACTAACTCGACCCAGATCGGCTCCCCTCAACCCTCCGCCATCCCCGCCGTCTTCACTCCCACCAAGGAACATTGTCTTATGGGCATCCGTGGTACCGTCCGTCGCTCGACTGACGGCCATTTCGTTCACTGTAACGTGGATACTGACGTCATCGTTTCTGAACCCGATCCAACCGGTATGTCTCATAATCTATAACATCAGGAGTGAATCATCTAATCATCAATTGTGTGTGTGCTTGATGACAGATGTGCTTCACAAACCAGAGGAGCTTTACCAACTCATCGAGAACTTTTGTCTCGGTCGACGGCGGCTAGAGCTCTTTGGTTCCTCCCGATGTCTACGCCCAGGCTGGCTGACGATCGGCTCACACTGTGTTCCCCCAACGATCAAGACTGATGAGCAGGCCCTCGACCCTCACCTCCGACCGGTACCTTACTCGCAAGCCGAATACCTCTCCCATTTTCTTGACTCTGCTGGTCGGACTCACAACCTCTTACCCTCTCATGCCGGTACTGTCTTTTATTCTCTCAGAATTTCTTATTCTTTGATTTGATTTACTGATTCTGCTTTACTATTGTCCCCAATCTCGATCAGATATTGACAACCTCCGACCACGTTCCCCACCTAGTCGAATCACTACGGCGGCGATCACTGGCCCAGGCCTAGCGCCAGGAATGGGGATAGGCTATGCCGTTCCAGTGGGGATGCCGATCGTGGGCCCGGGTGGCACGATCGTAACGACGACGATCAGCGGACGGAATACGCTCTCCCATCCCTCGGGCGGGCTCGGGCGGGGACCGGGCAATGCGCTTCTGCCTGGGATGCGTGTCTCCGGCCTGCGGGACTCCAACAACCCAATCCACAACCGAGCAAACAACAACAACAACAACCAACAGCAGCAACAGCAACCCTTTGGCCCTCACGCCAACACCTTCTTCCACCACAACTTTCCCCTTTCACCCTCCTACCCCTTCCTCCAGACATCCCATTATCCTACCCATCAATCCTGGACCGGTCATCCCCAATTGATCTACCCTCATCAGCACTTCCAGGCCGGTCAAAACGCCTACGGTATGCACCAACCCCAGCCAATCTACTATCATCCCCCGAATCCATCCCAGCAACCTTTCAACCAGCAATTCCAAAACCATCATCATCATCAGCAACAGCAGCAGCAGCAGCAACCAAATCCCTCTCGCCAATATCCCGCCTATCATCAATCTAATTCTCCCGTTGATCCTGCCTCCGCCGCTTCCAATTGGACGTTCTCTAATTACCCTCAACCTCATCATCAAAATTATCAACAACAACCCCCACAGCCTTTTTATCCCTCCTATGCTGCCCAGCATCCTAATCCGCCTTCTAATCAACACCAACAACAGCAGCAGCAATCACATCAGCAGCAACACCAACAGCAACAACAACCTTGATCTATATACCCTTTCGCTTTTTTTTTCTGGCATTTGAACTCAAACCCCGACTAATATTCACTCTTCGGATTGCTATCACCATCACTCTTGTTCACATCAAAACTAATCATCATCATCATCGTACTGCTACAATGGTTTTTCTAGAATATTGCTTTCTTTTACTTGATTTAGCGATACATGGTTTTCATTAGACCCATTTATACTAATCATACGAATACTAATAATAATAATACTAATAATCATAATCATAGAGTTACTTGGTCTTCATCACACAATACATCAAAAATCGATCGCGGTCAATATAACAATAACGATCAAGCCTGGAGAATGTAAACTTTTGTCTAGTCTGTTACTCTTTTTTTGAGTATTTTTTTTTTCTTGCATATTATAAGTTATGTTTCATAATTGTAATCAGTGTTATATATACTGGTATATATATAGAAGTATGTATATATATATATATGAATCGTACATTAGTAAGACTTGTATATATGGTGATTACTTGTATATACATATGCATTCATGAGTGATGTAATTTTTGATGTATAGATCTTTTGAATTCATTTTCTTTGTTTATGTTTATACCGACTGACTTGTTGAGTTTGCAAAGATCTAGACCTGTTGGTTGTGTCAACAACATTCTTTTTTTTTGAAAGAAAAAAAAAACAAATCTGGTCTGCATAAATAAGTCTTCTCTTTTTTTGTTGATTGAGTGACTGTTGTTGATCAGTGATATCAAGCTGATTTGGGAACTTCAGACAGACATTGGAGCTGTGAAGGTGGTGAACAAGATGGTGTTTCCAACCAAGCTGTTGATGATCAATCTTTGACCACCAGATTCTTTCCTCTATCCGTTTCTCTCTATTTTATTACTCTGTATTGTAAAGTGAGGACTTGCATAACAAAAAAAGAAGAGAGAAGGAGTGGGATAGACCTTATCCTCAATGGAGGGTAATCAGAGCCAACAAGGCCTTCCCATGTCCCAATAGTTGTCACTTTTTTGTAGACTCCAGGGTGTGGGCACATTACCATAGATTGCTTACGCTAGTCATGGAGAACATCAGTTCAAGGCTGACTAAGTCGAAATTCAAATTGAACAAGATCCTTCCCAGAAATCTCTTGAGCTGACTGGATGACCCTCCCTGGAAAAAAAGCTCCCTGATCATCACTTGTCACTTCTGGGCTCTACTCCGGAGCCCCTTGGTGTGGCATACTTTGGAGGCCTCAATCACAGCTTGGTTGTCAATAACTTATTCAAAGCTCTTTGTATTCCTCACCTTTTGATTCTGTAAATCAACTCAAGATTTAGTGAGGTTTGTTGTACAGTCACCATCTTCTGTGTTTTTTTTTTGTGATTCATTTTCCTTGGGAGTCATGTAGGACTTGATTTTTTTTGGTTCTATTCAATTCACTCTACACTTAATCAACAGTCTTATCCTCCTTTTTTGTTAGGGGGTTGGAAAAACAACTCCCTAAAATCCAACCACAACTCCCATTTTGGTTGAGGGGTTATTGGGCGGGAGTTGTTCCTCCAAATTGATGGTTGACTTTGGGACTCGCCCATCCCATTATTTTATTATTATTTTTTGATTTTCAGGGAGTTGGCGCCCCAAACCACCCCTCATGCTTGAGGGGGTTTGGGAGTCACTCCCATGACCATTTCTTTCCGGTTGATGAGAAACAAAAACCTCATCAGCCAGAAGGGATTCCTTCTGGTCAATGAGGTATAACATTTACATTGAAAGAAGGAATCCCTTCCAATCAATGAGGTATAACAACCCCATTGACCAGAAGTAATCTCTTCCAATTGATGAGATGTAAAAACCTCCTTGGCCAGAAGGGATTCCTTCCAGTCAATGAGGACATTTATTTACCTAAATTGTCCTACTCATTAGGGTTAAAGAGCCTACTATCATCAGGATAGTATTCAATCAAAGCCCTCAAGAGCATATAGAGTGTTGAGGTATAGATATAAGAGTGTTCAGTTTTACAATCCTCCAAGACCAACTTGATTAAAGACAAGAACGAGTCCTTGAATCCTAAAATCTAAAAACCATTCACGGGAAGAAAAAAATAAGTTTAAAACACTCAAAAGATCACGCGCTCCAAGAAGGTCAATGGAAGGTGTACTGAAAGGCCAGAATTATTAGAGATTCCAATGATAATACTGAAGAACCAATGTAGCCAAAGATCCAAGCCATTAGGCAAATTGATAGACATGGTATGAATGGAAGCCACACTGGATTGGAAGGTAACAGAGCCAGAGACTCCACAGTAGAGAGAACTAGCAACCAAGCCGTGACCATGTTTGAACGGATGTTGATTGGAAGGAATCCGTTCTGATCAATGAGATCTAACAACCTCATCAATTGGAAGGAATTCCTTCTGGTCAATGAGGTTGTTATACCTCATTGATCGGAAGGGATTCCTTCCGTCAATGAGGATGTCATACCTCATCGACCAAAAGGAATCCCTTCCAGCCAATGAGGTTTTTGTTTCTCGTCAACCAGAAGGAAATCGTTCCGGTCATGGGAGCGACTCCCAAACTCCCTCAAGCATGAGGGGTGGTTTGGGGCGCCGACTTCTTAAAAATTGAAAAAAAATTAAAATATAATTGGATGGTCGAATCCCAAAGTCGGCCATCAATTCGGAGGAATGACTCTCCTGCCCAACAACCCCTCAACCAAAATCATAAATGGGAGTTGTTGTCAAATTCTAGGCAGTAGTTTTTCCAACCCCCTTTGTTTATCCTCCTCACAAGTCACAGCTCTTTCTTTCGAACCCCATACCCAACCGATTTTCATTTTTCTGAGGATCAGGTCCATCAACAATAAACTTTCCAAACATCCTAGCCCCATGATGCACATCTCTTGGCAAGCTACAGAACAAATTTCGAAATGGTTTCACTGATGATATCAAGACACTATGGCCGAGTGGTTAAGGCGCTTCCCTGCTAAGGAAGTGGGTTTACCCGCGCGCGTTCGAATCGCGTTGGTGTCGGCTTGGACTTCTCCGGGGTCTATATTTTTTGTGGGCTTTAAATGCAAGGTGTAGTGGGGAACTGAAGGAGAGGGGAGTGCGCTGAATGACCAGGAAGAAAAGCCATGATTTTTGTTTCTTTTGGCTCGTCGGACTTGGAGGGCGACTTTGTTTTATGTAGGCGAGAGCTGTTATTCGTCCGTGCAGAAAGCCATCGGTACCGTCTTCGCGCGAGGAGCCTTTCCGTCACCGGCGCCGAGATTTGGAGCCTGATCGGCGGAAACATTTATGTATTATGTAAGTCGGGGTATTTCAAGCTTATCTTCGGGGGATCGATCTTGCGCGGTGGTGATCGAGCTCTCCACCGTGGCTCCCCGGCCTCCCGATCAGATCCTGGGTGTGTATGCGTCTTCAAGCCTTCACTCTTTTCTGAGCTTCCCTCTCCAACCAACTCGAGATTCCTGCTGCAATGGCCATCACAGACACGGACGAAACGCAGGACTCACTATCCAGACTCTCGATGGAGGATGCCGAGATATTGAGCCCTCAACAGATGTTGAACGAGTTCGAGGTCGTGAATATTTGCGGTCAGTATATTGCTCACCTTTTTCTCACGTCGAAAGATTATTGATCTTTACTGATTCATTTCCCCCACGGATTTCTTGTTTCGTTTGGTGATGTGCGTATATAGCTCCAATGGTCCGATATTCCAAGTTACCATTTCGACAGCTCGTCTCGGAGTACGAGACCCACATCACATTCACCCCGATGATCCTGTGAGCAATTCCCAGATCATCCACTTCATTCAACATTACATGAGAAAACCTGATCTGTGGAGGAGAGAGGTCGACAGAGCGCAAGAGTTTTGTTTATCGGCGAAAGCGAGGGACTCGGATTTCTCGACCAACGCCGCCGAACGAGGGATCTTCCTCATGCAAGAATCTCCGTCTCCTTCTTCTTCTTCGGCTCCCACCATCCCCGATAGTCATCCAGTTAAAAAACGCAAGGTGCGAGGAAGTCTGGTCGCCCAATTCGGCGGTCATGATCCATTCTACATGGGCCATGCTGCCGCATTGATCAAAAAGTACATTTTTCTCATGCTTTCTAATCGTGTTTTTTTTTACTGATTGATTTGAAAGAGTGACTTGTTAGGTACGTAGATGGGATCGATATCAACTGCGGATGTCCGCAACAATGGGCATACAAAGAAGGCATTGGCTCGGCCCTCCTGCGCAAGGTGAACAACATCTCATTACTGCTCTTCTTCTTCCGTCTTATATATATATATATATATGCTCATGTTTATATAATCGAATGTTTCTAAAAGTGGATAGCCTGACCTGGTCCGTGAGCTGGTCCGTTCTATCAAAGTCTCGTGTGGCGAAGATTTCCCAGTATCGATCAAGATTCGAATAGATGACGACTTGAGGTGAGTCTTTCTTCCTTCTACATTTGGACTAATATTTGAAGCGCTGAAGAATTGTTTTTTTTTTTGCAGAAACACTTCTCAACTTATCAAAACTGCGATCCAAGCCAATGTTTCGATGATCACGGTGCATGGTGAGTACCCAAGAAAGTGTCACCAAAAAAAGAAAAGCAGGAAAAGAGAGGAGGCTTAAAGGGGTGAATGATGGTAGGACGTACACGACGACAAGCGAGTTCGTATCCGGTGAATTTAGAGTCGATCAAGTTTGCGAATGAAGAGGCCCGGTCGAGTTCGCATGGGACAAGAGTCCCGGTGGTTGCTAATGGGGACATCTTCTCGTTGGATGATGCGAGGAAGACCCGTGAGATGTGTGGGGTGCATGGGGTGATGAGTGCGCGAGGATTGCAGGAAAATCCGGCCCTGTTTGCTGGGTATGATCGGATCCCTCTTGCAGGTATCCAAGTAAATCTTCTTCTCCCCCTACGTTTATCTCTTCAAACAATATAACCACTTATGTTCAAATTTGGTGTCTTGTCCTCCAGCGTTTTCTGAGTCTGTCGGCCCAAAATGGATTCATGTTCCCGCTGTTCCATCGGCATTTGGCTGATATGTTAGGCCCATGGTTCTCGAGTCGAGAAGAAAAGAAGTTCTTCAACATGTTGTCGAGTCCTCCTTCTGTCATCGATTTCTTAGAGGTACGTTATAGATATTCTCTCACCCTACCATAACTTACTCAAGTTGAACCCGTTCTTCTTTTTGATAAACCTGCAGGAAACTTATAATATTCAACCTCTACCATTACCTGAAATTATCTTTTGATTTCTCTACTCTGGAACCTGGTTTTTTGGTTTTTCAACACCATAGATTCTTATTCTTTTTTTCATCTTCTTGTTTTCAATCTCTTTCCCTTCATCCTGGATGTGCATTTCCTTCGTTACCCAAGTCAAACAGAGGAATTTATATCTTGCTTGCCATTGGCTGACTGTTTGATCAGTTCTTGTGGATTGCGCCGGCACCCACAATTCAGCATATTTTCTTCACCCATCAGACTTATATACTTCACCCTTGATTTGGGATGGTATGTACACATATTGATCTCTGTTGGGTCTACATATTGAGGTCCTTCTGGGATGGGATGGCCTGGATGGTGAATTGGCCATCGGCATTGATTATGTCAGCCATGGTAGTGGTGGTGGTTATCCGCGGGCAGGCTGTGTTGAGCCAGCAATCGAGCAATCGACCTCCAACCAAAAAAAAAAAAAAGAAAAAAGAAAAAAAGCAGGATGACGACCATCAGACTAACCGGATTAACAATCAGCAAACAACAACTCAGAAGAACAATCAACAAACCACACTCGATACCAACAGCAGCAACAACAAGAACAGCAACGACCATGTCCTCCCCAGTCGGACACAGACGACTAGGCATGATTGACCACCACCTCACATCCCACAAACCACGGTCATACTCATCCTCTCCCACTCCACCCAAACAGGTAATCATCAAATCAACTCACTCCATACAAAAAAAAAAAAATTCAAGCATGGACTTACAGGAAACCATTACAGCCCTCCGTGCTCACTAAAACAGATGGAAACTTGCGGTCATTGACGCTTAATAGACCCGAGGCTTTGAACGCACTCAACATGGAAATGATCCAGGATATCACCACCCAACTCCTCGTACGTTCATCCCGCCCTACTCATTTTAATTGTCCTGAACCGGTTTTTTTTTAAAAAAAAATAGAAATGGGAAAATAGCCCAGCTGCAAAAATCGTGATCCTCAAAGGAGTCGGAAGGGCGTTCTGTGCGGGTGGTGATGTGGTCTGTAAGTCTACTAATCCATGATCATTCCTCCAAACAAAAAAAAAACTCTTAAACCTTTTTGTTTGATGGGTGTAGCTTTGATCAAGTTAGCCGAATCGGAAGACTCCACCCAACAGAAGAAACCGGTCGAGTTCTTCCGAGCCGAATACACCCTCGACTCGTTCATTGCCAAGATGTCGACACCGGTCGTCTGTCTCTTAGATGGAATCACAAGTTTTGTGGTTCATACCTTTTTCTCGTGGATCCATATACCCACAGATCCACTGATGTTCTCTTGATCTCTTGGAAATGCATTTTTTTTAAAAAGTGGGCGGCGGGATGGGCTTGAGTATGCATACTCCCTTCCGAATCGCCACCGAAAATACCCGGGTGGCGATGCCGGAAGTCAGTCGATCATTCACACAATTTTCATACAATCTCTCGAAAATACTCATCCTTTTTTTTATCTGAAGACTGCAATCGGCCTATTTCCGGACGTGGGTGCAAGCTTCTTCTTGCCTCGATTGGATGGGGAATTGGGGACTTATCTCGGTCTGACCGGCACAAGTTTATATGGATGGGGCGCCTTGTAAGTGTAACTGAGTTTAAACGAAAGATCAGAATCTCTTTGGGGTTGGATTGATATTCGGAAGATTATAACTTTTTTTTTCAGTCAAGCTGGAATTGCATCTCATTACGTTCCCTCGAGCTCGTTAGCGGCTCTCGAGGACCGACTGTCAGCCTTATCAGCGGATGCGACGCACGAGCGGATCAACGCAGCGATCGAGGAGTTTGCGGCGGATCCGGAGGAGGCGAGGTCTAGCAGCTCTAGCGGCTCGAGCTCGTCGCCGGCCTACGATCTTCTAGGGACCAAACGCCAAGCCATCGACCACTGTTTCGGACAACCTACACTGCAGAAAATCATCAACCAACTGGAGGCCGTCCAGGATGGACATCTGTTCAATGAGGACCCCAGTCTCAAAAACTGGGCCCATCAGACTATCGACTTGATTCGCATCAGGAGCCCTTCCAGTTGTTTGATCACTCTGATGGCCCTTAGGGAGGGTAAAAAGATGTCGATCGATGACTGTTTTGCGATGGAGATGAGACTGGCGGCTACTTGTTGCGTAAGCACCTTTATCTATTCCCCCTCCCCCGGGAAAAATGAGGATCGATGGGATTTTAATATGTTATTATTCTACAGGATGTTAAAAGCCATCCAGACTTTGTGACGGGTGTGAAGCATCTATTGGTGAACAAGCAGAAGAGTCGACCGGCCTGGCGACCCTCGGAGATCCACGAGGTAGACCTGTCGGAGCTGACGACGAAGTATTTCTCGAACCGGGCGGCATCGAGTACACATATCGTGCGTCTAGAAGGGCTGAAGACCCAGATGAAGAGCTACCACGAATATCCGCATTCCAAGTACGGCTTGCCTTCGGAGGAGCTCATCAAGGCCTTCGTCACCGGCGACGTCAAGGGCACCAGCGGCCATCTCGCACTCACTAGGCAAGAACTCCTCCAGCTCGTGCTCGGACTCTACAATCATAAGATCGGCGCGCAGGACAAGTTGATTGACGTCTTGGATAGAAGGACAGTCGTTAAGGGTCAGAATCAAGGTTTTGCTCTTAAATGGCAATATTAATCTCTCTCTCTCTCTTGTTTATTCTCATTTTTTGGTCTAGTTCGGGCAGGGGGTTAATGATTTGTGGTTGCTTTTTCACTTATCAAAATGTTTTCTCTTTTTTTTTGTATCACTTGAAGAAAAATAAAAATTCATGGCCCTCTTTCTTTGATGATCAAAATCAAAATCAATACGAGCGGCGTACTTTTGAACTTGACTATGATTGTTCAGTTCATATAACTCGTTTTGTGCATCAATCAGTGCTATCACCAACGTCCCAACCTACGCAAACCTTGTAACCTCTATCCTGTTTTTTTTTTGTTTTATTTGTTTTGGTCTGAGGGTTATTCATTTCCATTCTCTCTCTTCTCTTCTCAAATGGTCAATTATAAAGAAATCTAAATGTTTGGAATCAGTTTTTTTTTTGTGGTTAAAAGTATTCATGATCAGCTGGACACTGACTGCAATGTGAACCTCAAATGAGATGAAAAGATGATTGTTCCTGAAGTACATAAATTGTATCTCTGCTGATGAGTTTCCAGTCTGGATTGGTGGTGTGGTTCATATGGGGGTGATGTGGCGGGTGATGAGGAGTGATGTGGAGTGTGATATGGCTGTGATATCTCGTCCACTTCTTCGTCGTCCTCATCATCATCACCATTAATTTCCCATCGTCCCCTGTTGTTCCTCTGCAACTTGTACATGAACTCTTCCCTAGAACAAACAGTGTGGACTCTTCCTTGGGAGCAAGAAGAACTGATATTAACTGATTGCAGTCTCTGATTTTGTTCTTAAAGAAACGGTGGGTCCTCGATAAACTTCTCTACATACATCCCTGCAATGTTACTGCTTGGAGGCGGGGTCTGACCATTCTTCCTTCGACTGGAAAAAGGCTGCTCTTTCATGAGACAGTTGTGCAAAACGACCAAAGAATCTTGATAGTTAGGTGATTATCTTTCCTTCAATCACTTTCCCTTTTATCATTGTTGATTTGTTTTTCCAAGTGAATTTCTTGTACACACACACCCACTGATTTTTTTTGTTTGATCTTTTTTTTTTTTTGTTGATGAAGTAAAGCAGACCAGACCCAACTACACATTCAACAAAAAAAATATACATACATCAATAGTCGGCCCAGTTGGAAACTACAATCCACACACAACCCACAACAGCATCATCAAACTCGTCAACTCCTATATTGTACCTCGTCACTGTCTCTCTGCAACCGCCGTCGCCGTCAAACCCGAGCTTGCACAACCTTCCGGTATGCAAGATTCCTCTTTCAACTGAATTGGCGAATTACAGCAAGAAAAGACACTAATCCTGTTTTCTTTTTCTTTTTTTTTTTTTTGGGGGGGGGGGTGGTCTGGTTGGATTTAGACGAGGAATATAGATATTTTACAGGAGAAAAGCAAACAGTTCGTCGGGACAAGGGAAGAGCTTGTGTGTTTGAGAGGAGATGACGAAACGACGAGATGGGCCTCGTCGAGCCTCCAAGCGACTGGCCAACCACACCCCCTCTGCATCCGCCTCCACCTCCACCCTCGACCATCCTCGAAGATCTAAAGGCCGGGCTAGGACAAGAGCAAGCGGCGTCAAGGTCAGTCTCTCCCCCCAATTTTTTTTTTGAACCCCTTCCCTCGTCTACTGTTCTGAGCAACATTCTTTCTAAAATTCCTATTCGACATCTACCTAATATGCGTTTGAAAAGATCATCGACGATCCGATGGAAGACGAGAAGAGACTGAAAGACCAACTGACCCGGATGGGATTCTATGCGGTCAACACGCTCGGCGACGGCAACTGTCTCTTCAGGGCGCTCTCCGACCAGCTCTATGGCACGCCCAACCGACACCTCGAGATCCGCCAACAGGTCTGCGGCTATCTCGCGCAGCATGAGGCTCGCTATAAGGCCTTCGTCGACATGGATGAGGAGGAAAGCTGGGAATCTCATCTCAAACTTATGGCTAAACAGGGTGAGCCTCTCAGCCTTGTCCGTCTCTGTATGTCTTTTCTTCCATCAACCACCACGCAATCGCACCTCCCCCCATCATTTCCCGAACTTCAGCTCATTTCAATTGCAAATTGTGGTACAAAAAGACGCTTTGGTGAGAGTAATCGTTGACTTGTTTTTGTCTCGCCTTTGTTATAGGAACATATGGGGGACATTTGGAGCTTTCGGCGTTTGCGAATTTCCATCGTCGATCGATCAAGATCATCCAACCCGGAATGGTCTATGTGATCAGCTATGGGGACGAATCTCCAGGCACATGTTCCGGAAAAGCGAAGGGGAAACAGCTCAAGGGGAAAGGCAAACGGTCGGAGGAGTCGGTCCCATTGGTGTCCCCCTCGGATACTCCAGTCTATCTGGTCTATCATCAGTGGGAAGTAAGTTCTCCTCTCTCTCTCTCTTTTTTTTTCCGTGTATCTCCTCGAAATTCTCGCTGATCTTTCGATCAGCATTATAGCAGCGTTCGTAATCTGGATGGTCCTCATTCTGGGATCCCTTGTATCCGAGAGGTCAGTCCAACTCCCGCAACCCCAGAAATCGAAGGCCCATTCATTGATGTTGATGTTCATGATTTTTTTTTTTTTTTTTTTTTGTCTTTCATGGGTTTTTCCAGCGAGACCTGGAAAGTTCCGCCAGTATAGACCAGAGCGGACAGGGAGGGACAGAGGGAGGCGGAGCGGGAGGAGGCAAGAGTCGGAAACTAAGCCTGATGAGCTATCGGGAATGTTCGTCCTCGCCGGTCTCAGCAGGCTCGTCTTCGACGACCACAACAACAACAACCGGGAGCAGCAGCAGTGGCAGTGGGGCGCCATCGGGCGAGGATCCGGCGGAGAAGATCGAGGCGGACGACCGGCCGGGCTCGTCGTTGGCCGACCGTCCTCGTCGGACGAAGAAAGCCTCCAAACGGCCTCCGCTGCATTCGCCTATCTCCAGACCTCCTCCTCCTCCTCCAGCTACGACAAACAAACTTGTCGTGCCCGATCGCCATCAGACTAAACCGTTGAGCAAACGCGCCCTCAGACTCGCCAGACGCAATAATCAACTCCCCTCTAACAATACTTCTTCGGCTCCACTGGCGCCCCCAATCGACTCCGTCGGCTTGTTGAGAGAACTTAAAGTCTGATCTCTTTCCTCCTCCCTCCCCCTTTCTTTTTACTTCTTTATTGAATATCCTCGTCGTCCTCTTTGACATTCTACCTCCCCCCCCCCCCCCTTTTTTTTTGGGAGATCCCCTATAATAAACTTATTTCGTGGTAACTCATTCTCATGTGAAAAGGATTGATTTTTTTGTTTCACACAGGCATACATAAACTTCGTTTATTTATTTATTTCTTACATGTTATATATATATATAAATAAATATATATATTTAAGGACACTGAGTGGGAGGGGGGGGGGGGTTAGTTGTGAGACTTTTTTTTTTTGAGATTGTTTTTTTTTGGGGGGGGGGGAGGAGGCGGGAGGAATTGGAGGAATCAAGGACAGGAGGGAAGTGGTGGGTGCTTTGTTTGACTATCAAAGTGGCTGGAAATGAAGAGTTGATTTCAGCCAAAACAGATCCATTAAAATGGGCTTCAATGGTATGATTCCTGGTGAGGATATGAATTCGGAACAAGGGTGCTACAAAGCATCACCTTTCATGATTTTTTTTGCATGTCATTGTTGGACCATGAGTGTTGTTGGGATCTCTCTTTTCTTTCCCTTTTGGGAGGGCTATCAATCAAGGCAACAAGTGAGACATACTTCATGGCCCAGATAATCTGACAGAAGCATAGATTAGAGTTAGGGATATATATACATTAGGGGGTATCAAATATGAAAATTCTCAAAGATTAAAACACCATTTTCTCTTAGTCTGATGGATATTTCCAGATGAAGTGTAATAATAAATATACATCATATTAAACTTCTACTTTCCATAATACATTCATTAAAAATGGTTAAGTAGTTTAAAAGAAAATGGGGGTTTAAGTTTTCAGATTCTTCATATTTGATACCCCCTATTATAATGCTAGGTGACTTGGTCTTGCCAATTCCTGGTTTTCATCGAGCTTGATCATGTACAACTACATAAAATGACCAGAAATACTCTGGATATAGGTGGTGTTTTGTGATATTCCTAGACAAAAGAAAAAAAAAGAAAAAAAAAAAAAACTGCAAGATATCACACTACTATTTGTTCCAGCTGTTTGGTGCTTGAAGAATTCTGCTTTTCTAAGTCCTTATGTTGTGCTTATATCTTTCCTCTTACTCCCGGATATATCAGGATAGGTTGGTCCCCCTTAGAGCATTCGACGCATTGGTAGGGTTAAATCGCCGGTATGACGAACAAGAGCTCTTGACAAATATATACATCACGAGCAATCAACACCGGATGGCCCAAGCTCCTATAGTTCATCGGCTCATGTCATTGCACCCGGCCAGTTACCCACTCTGAGTCTTCCTCTACAAAAAGCCGGTTGAGGCTCAGTATTTGCGAGCCGGTATTGATTTGTTTTTTTAAGAAACGCTCTCAGTTGTTGGTGTAATTGACCAAGTCTCTGGGGCAGACGAGGCGCAAGGTCATGGTCTTCCCCCTGGTCAATCCATCCAGCTCATCAGGTTCAAAAGCTTGATCAAGATCAGAGAAAGTTTCTGCCACTTGAGAAAAATTTCTCGGGCCTGAAGAGGAGACAGTTCGAAGAGAGAGGCCCGGTGAGAACAGCGCTCTTCTGGCCGCATCCTCTCGGTTTCCTCTTGAATTAGTCTGCGCCGAGCTGTATTAAAGCCCCCTGGACTCTGGAGTCGTTGGAACAATTTGCTTTCTTTGAAACAAAAGTGAATCGATTTATCTACAACCTTTGACAAATTTATGTGCAATCAAAAGATTGCCACCTCAACCTCTGTTGAAAGATCCCCAAGGAAAGCCTTGCAATGCAAAAAGATGAAAGTTATATAAACATCCAATGTTTGCGAAGTATTGGCGGAGTCAAGAAGAAGAAGAGGAAGCTCGTCTGGTCTCTTCAAGTAATCTCAACGCCTCTGATGGTGATTCAGCTATGTAGAGCTCAAAGCGAGCAGATGATACGAAACTGTAAGGAATTCCGAGCACCTGCGCATGCCCCTGGGCGACCACAGGCCAATATAGAAACGATTTGGTCTTAACATGTCGTAACAAGAATTGGATTGGATGATCGGACTTGTTTTCAAGGCTGGGAGTTCGGTGTGAGGTCCATTTGAAAGTAGCCTTGGAGTTGGTGGGATGATTTGTGTTGTGTTCGAAGGTTATCACTCCATTTCGCCCGTCCTTAATCTTGAGCTTTGGAGTATTTTTCCACAAGTTATAGCCGTCTGGATGGTTCTCTTTACTTAACTCTGCCGCTGACTTCCAAGATTCCTCAGGAACGGAGACTGGGTCATTAAACGTGGGTTGGGTTCAGTTTCCACCTTGCGAAAGAAACCATCTCATAATTTCTATCTCGGTCTCTACTTGCTCTACAATTGTCAATTAGGAAATCCTGGACTCACGTCCCCCTACAGTAGCACCTATACTATGCCCAATCAGGCAAGCAAAATAAAGTGCAAGCATCAATCCATAATGCTTCATCATTTTTTCCAATGCTTCTATTTCTATCCGGCTGCTTTTTCTTCTTCTTCTTCTTCTTTTTTTTTTTCTTGGAAAGCCTACAAAGCGCTCAACAAATATAACAGCAAGAACAAAGCAGATGTAAGTAAACGCGTATAATGATTAATGGAAGGGTCAGAGGCCATTATAAGCAGGATTGTTGGAATGTGAGAAAATTGCATCAAGAATGATTACCTAGTTCGACTTGACAGTTCCTGAGTTACTGGGAATGATGAAGAGAGACGAAGACGTACATACAACCTGGAGGCTCTTCTTATGTCCAGCCAACAGCAAAAGTTTGATTGGATTCAAGATAGCACACATCTTCGAAAACACACGACCATTTGTTTCAGCGAGTGCTATGGTCTTCTAGTCTACACACAAGTCTTGAATGTTGCGCCCGGCTGTCCCGACCCGAGGTTTCAGGATGGCTCAGTACATCTTCACACGTGTAATGATCTTTTAGCGATACCGGATCAATGATCTGGCCAATTGTCCTCATTCATCGCAAATAACGTCCCCCGGCCCGTCGCCGATGTGTCTCTGAAGAAGAGGGGATTGAGTTTCAGAACTTCCGGACAAACGTTCAACTTATTGAGAATTGGATATTCTTGACCAAGTCTCTGGCAGGGATGAAGCTGGACGAAGGAAATTCTGACCTATTACAGTCCGACCAGGAAGGGAAGGGAGTTAGTTAGGTTATAAGTATTACAGTTAGCTTTGAAATTCAGAAGGTGTAGAAATTAGAACCTCTTCCGGCAAATTAAGTTATTGATGTAATTGAGCAAGTCTTTGGTGAAGACCAGGCGCAAGGTCGTGGTCTTCCCCCTGGACCTGGTCAATCCATCTAGCTCATCAGCTCCAAAAGGATCAGAGAAAGTTCCTGCCAACTATGTAAGAAAAACTTCTCAGGCCTGAAAAGGGCACAATTCGAAGAGAGAGGTCCGGTGAGAACAGCGGTCTTCTGGCCTCATCCTCTCTGCTTCCTCTTGAATTAGTCTGTTGGCATCGCCGAGCTGGAAGCCCCCTGGACTCTGGAGTCGTTGGAACTATTTTCTTTCTTTGAAACGAAAGTGAATCGATTGGAGGAAACTATCTACGACTTTTGACAAATTTATGTGCAATGAAAAGATTGCAACCTCAACCTTTATTGAAAGATCCCCAAGGGAAGGTATACAATGTAAAAAGATGAAAGTTATATAAACATCCAATGTTTGCGAAATATTGGTGGAGTCATGAAGAAGAAGAAGACGCTGGTTTGAGCTCTTCAAGTGATTTCAGCACATCTGCTGGTGATTCAGCTATGTGGAGCTCAAAGGGACCAGATAATATGAACCCTTTCGGAATTTCGAGCAACTGCTTATGCCCCTGGGCGACCACAGGCCAATATAGAAACGAATGAGTGTTGACATGTCGTAACAAGAATTGTATAGGATGATCGGACAGGTTGTCAAGGACGGGAAGTCTGAGTGTGTTCCATTTGAAAGTAGCCTTTGAGGGATGATTTGAGTGTTCGAAGGTCTTCACTCCATTCGACCCGTCCGTAATCTCGAGCTTTGGAGTATTTTTCCATAAGTTATAGCCGGCTGGATGGTCTGCTTGATTTAGCTGTGCCCCCGACTTCCAAGACTCCTCAGGAACTACGACTGGGTCAGACGTGGGTTGGGTTCAGCTTCCACCTTGCGAAACCATCTCATTTATCGAGGTGTCTACTTGCTCTATCGTCAAGGAAATCGACTCACTACTTTCTGCAGAAGCTCCTATACTATGTCCAATCAGGCAAGCAAAAGAAAGGGCAAGCATCAGAGCATAATGCTTCATCATTTTTTTCCGATGCTTTTATTCTGCGCTTTCTTCTTTTTTTTTTTCTTGGAAAGCCTAAAAAGCGCTCAACGAATCTAACAGCAAGAACAAAGCAGATGTAAGTTAACGCGTATATTGATGATTGGAAGGGTAAGAGGCCATTAGCAGGATTGTTGGAATGTGGGAAAATTGTATGAAGAATGATTGAAGAATCACTAGTTTGTAGTTACCTAGTTTGACTTGACAGTTCCTGAGTTCTGGGTATGATGAAGAGAGACGAAGACGCACAACCTGGAGGCTCTTCTTATGTCCAGCCAACAGCCAAAGTTTGATTGCATTCAAGATAACACACTTTCGAAAACACACATCCATTTGTTTCAGCTAGTGCTTTGGTCTTCTAGTCTCCCCACAAACCTTTCCTGTTGCGCCCGGCTGTCCCGACCCGGGGTTTCAGGATGGCTCAGTCCATCTTCACACGTGTAATGATCTGTGCAAACTTGGCAAAAAAATGTACCGGATCAATGATCTGCTTCATTCATCGCCAAAAATATTTTTCCCCCCGGCCCGTCGCCGGTATGTCTCTGAAGAAGAGCGGGTCGAGTTTCAGGACTTCCGGACGGACATTCAACTTATTAAGAATTGGACATTCTTGACCAAGTCTCTAGCGAGGATGAAGCTGGAAGAAGGGAATCTTGATTAGAACAATTTATTCCAAATGAGAAAATCTCTGACCTTCATCAGAGACTCCTGCGGAAGGATTTCGAGGAGAGAGGTCCGGTGAGAACAGTGCCCTGCAGGCCTCATCCTCCCGGTAGACGCAGGGCTCAGGAGTCAGTGGTAATTGTTAATTAATTTGTGCCATCCTTTTTTTGAATTGTTATAGGAACTTATGCTTTCAGCCTTTGAAATTTTTTATCGTCAATGGATTAAGACCATCCAACCAGGAATGGTATATATGATCAGTTGTGGGGAGGAATCTCCAGGCTCATGTAAAGTCAAGGGGAGACAGCTTAGGGGGAAGACAAACGGTTGGATGAGTTAGTCTCTTTGGTGTCTCCTTGAAGTAAGCTCTTCTCTCTTTCGTCTATCTGCCTAAATTTTGCTGATCTTTTTATCAGCATCATAGCAGTGTTCGTAATGTTTTTGGTCCTCATTCTGGAATCCCTTATATCCAAGAGGTCAGTCAAATTTCCCTGACTCATAAGGAAATAGAAGGCACATTTATTGATCTTCATTTTTGGTTACATGGGTTTCCCAGCGTGACCTGGAATGTTCAGCATACATAGACCAGGGCGCACAAGGAGGGAAAGAAGGAGGAGGGGGCACGAGTTGGAAGTTAAGCATTATGAGCTATCGGGAATTTTCATCGTCGCCGGTCTCAGCAGGCTCAACGACGACAACAACAACATGGACAATGGGAAGAGGTAGTGGCAGTGGGGCACAATCGGGTGAGGATCCGGCGGAGAAGATCGAGGCGGACGACCGGCCGGGTTCGTCTTTGGCTACCCGCCCCCGGCGGACTAATGAAAGAACTTATCTACATGGAAATTTAGACAAATTTATGCACAAAGAATGATCACAACCTCAAGCTCTAGTGAAAGATCCACAAGTAGAGGTATGTAGTGTATGTATAAAGAAGAAAGTTATATAGATATCCAATTTTCGCGAACTATGTATCGGCGGAGTCAAGAAGCAGAAGAAGAAGCTTGTGAAGATGGTATTGGCTGGATCTCGCGGGGTGCCGTCCACACATCTGATGGTGATTCAGCTATGTAAAGTGAGAAGGCACCAGATGATTGGTACTTTTGCGGAATTTGTAATGTCTGTATATGTCCCTCAGGAACCCAAGGCCAATAGAGAAAGTCCTTAGTCTTAACATGTTGCAACAAGAATTGTATGGGATGATCGGAGTCATTGGCAAGTATGTGAGTTCGAAATGGCTGCCACCGGAAGGTAGCCTTTGAGGGAAGATTTTCTTGATGTTGAAAGGTCATCTGTCCTGTCTTCGGGTTCGTAATCTTGATCTTGCGAGTATTTTTCCATAAGTTATAGCCGGCTGGATGGTCCTCTTTACTGAACACTGCCGCTGACTTCCAAGATTCCTCGGTAATTGCAACTAAAACGTGGGTTGGGTGAAGTTCTTAGCTTGAGAAATCTTCTCAATCATCTCATTGATCTCGTTGTATTGCTTGATCAAATTTCACAATTATCGTTAAGAAAATTCTACACTCACTCTTTGCTAAAGGGCCACCTATACTATGCCCAATCAGGCAAGCAAAAGAAAGTGCAAGCATCAAAGCATAATGCTTCATCATATTTTCCGATGGTTCTATTTTTATCCGGCTGCTTTTCCTTCTTTTTTTTCTTGGAAAGCCTACAAAGCGCTCAATAAATCTAAGTGCAGCAACAAAGTGGAAGTTAGTAAACGCGTATACTGATTATTGGAAGATTTAGAGGCGATTGGCAGTGTTGTTGGGATGTGAGAAAATTATATGAAGAATGATTGGAGAATAGCTAGTTTGTAGTTACCTTCGACTTGGCAGTTCCTGAGTTATGGGTATGATGAGGAGAGACGAAGACGTGCAACCTGGAGGCTCTTTTTATGTCCAGCCAACAGCCAAAGTTTGATTGCATTCAAGATAACACACTCTCAAAAACATACGACCATTGGTTTCAGCTAGCACTTTGGTCTTCTAGTCTCAAAACATACGCACACACACCTTTCCTGTTGCACCCGGTTGTCCCGACCGGCCGGGTTCTCGGGATGGGTCAGTCCATCCTCACACATGTCAAGATCTTCTCGTGCATACTTACCGAGAAACCAGCACCGGATCAATGATCTGGCCAATCGTCTTCATTCATCGCCAAAAATGTTTTTCCCCTCGGCCCGTCGCCGATTTGTCTCTGAAAAAAAGCGGATTGAGTTTCAGGATTCGCGGACATACATACATTCAACTCTTCAAGAATTGGACATTCTTGGCCAAGTCTCTGGTTAGGATGAAGGAATCTTGACTGATTCCAGTGAGCTTATAACTTTCAGAAGGTATACTGGAATTGAATCAATTTTTGCCAAATTAGAAAATCCTCTCACCTTCATATGAACCTCCTGCTAAGGGAATTCGAGGAGAGAGACCCGGTAAGAACAGTTGTGGGCCTCATCCTCCCGGTTTCATTTGCATTGCGGAGGAGGTAGACGCAGGCCTCAGTGGTAGAATAGATGAGTCAATTGAAGTAAAAAAACTCTCAATCTCAATTTTGTTCTCAAACCAAAAAAGGCCACCCCAAGAGATTCATACACAATGAAAGATAAACCTTCAACCCCTCATCATTCCCGAACTTCACCTGATTTTAAATCAAAGTTATCTTACACAAAGCTTTGGTGAGAGTACTTGTTAATTCATTTATGTCTCGATTGTTCTAGGAACTTATAATATCAGGGACATTTAGAGCTTTCAGCGTTTGCGAATTTTCATCATCGACCGATCAAAATCATCCAACCAGGAATGGCCTATGTGATTAGCTTTAGGGACGAATCTCCAGGCACATGTTCCGGAAAAGTGAAGGGGAGACAGCTCAAGCGGAAAGGCAAACGGTCGAAATCCGGCGGAATGAATCGAGGTGGACAATCCGCCGGGTTCGTCTCGGCGGACTATTGTAAGAAACTATGAACAAATCTATGTGCAATGAAAAGATTGCAACCTCAACTTCTATTGAAAGATCCACAAGGAAAGGTATGCAATATATAAAGACAAAAGTGATATATAAACATCCAATTTCGCGAACTATTGGCAGAGTCAAGAAGAAGAAAAAGCTTGTGAAGATGGTTTTGGTTGGATCTCGTCATGAGGTGCCCTCTACACATCTGATGGTGATTCAGCTATGTAGAGCATGAAGGGACCAGATGATTGGTATTTTTTCGGAATTTCGACTCTCTGTCCATGTCCCTCAGAGACCCGAGGCCAATAGACAAACGCCTTAGTCTTAACATGCTGTATCAAGAATTGTATAGGATGTTCGGACTCGTTGTAAAGGATGGGGGTGTCGAGTCGATGCCATTCGAAAATAGCCTTTGAAGGATGATTCTGTTGGTGTTTAAAGGTTATCACTCCTTCACTCATGTTTGTAATCTCCAGCTTTGGAGTATTTTTCCATAAGTTATAGCCGGCTGGATGTTTCTCTTGACTTAACTCTGACGCCGACTTCCAAAATCCCTGAAGAACTAGGACTAGATTAAATGTGGGCTGGGTTCAGTTTTCACCTTGACAAGTCATCTCAATGCTCGCATTCATCTCGTTGTCTACTTGTTCAAATTTCATACTTATCGTCAAAGAAATTCTAGACTCACCACTCTCCATGGTGGCGCCTACACTATGCCCAATCAGACAAGCAAAAGAAAGTACAAGCATCGACGCATAATGCTTCATCATTTTCTTCGATGCTTTTATCTGTGCCTGGGTACTTCTGTTTCTATCTTCTTGGAAAGCCTAAAGAGCGCTTAATAAATCTAGAAGCAAGAACAGAGCAAATGTAAGTATAAGCGTCAACTGACCATTTGAAGGATTTGAGGTGATTGGCAGTATTGATGGGAGGTGAGAAAAGTACAAGTTCGTACACAAAGCTTTCATGTTGCGCCCGGCTGCCCCGGCCCGGGGTTTCAGGGTGGGTTGGTCCCTCCTCACACCTTCATGCATACCGAGAAACCAAGACCGAATCACTCATCTGGTCCTCATTCGTCGCCTAAATGTTATTCTTATCGGTCCGTTGCCGATTCGTCTATGCGAAAAAGCGGTTTGAGTTTCAGAACTTCCGGTCCAACATTTGACCGTTTGCAATATGGCTCAGCTAGTGATGTGATTGACCAATGTTGACTATAGGTCTCCAGTGAGTATGAAGGGCATCTTGGCAAAAACCAGTTAGCTCTTCATGTTCAAAAGGTATGGTGAATTTAGAATGGTTCTCGCCACACTAGAAAACCCTCTCACTTCCTAAGACGAAGAGATAGGCCGAAAACAGTGCCCTGCTGGCCTCATTCCCCCAGTTTCCTCATGTTTTGGCTCATTTGCGCTGCGGAGGTGCGAGACGGCGGACTCAGGGGTTGATAGGCTTAGTCGATTTAAATAAAAAAGATCCTCAATCTCAATTGATTCTCCAACCAAAAGGCTCCCCCAAGAGATCTATTTACAAAGATTTCAACCTTCAATGGTGAATGCCCTCTAAAATGTATAACAGTGAAAATTTCATCCAAGTTTCGCGGACTTAAACTATGTTTAAAGCAGAAAGAAAAGCAGAAATGGCTGATTTGGGCTTTCTCTCATTCTCGGCTGCTTCTGCCACTTCTGGACCTATGTAAAGCCACAAGGATCCAACTCGACAATTGCGCGGAATGATGACCCTTTGCCCATAACCTTGCTGGACCGAACGACAATATACAAACGCTTTAGTATCAGCATGTTGTAGCAAGAATTGCATAGGATGGTCGGACTGATTGTAAACGATGCCGACTTCAGTTGCGGATGGCCACTCGAATTTAGCCCTTGTGAGGTGATTTCCTTCGTGTTGAAAACTTGGTTCTCCACTGCTCCAGCTCGGAATCTCGAGCTTGGGTGTATTTTTCCATAAGTTATAGCCGGCTGGTAGTTTCCTTTCGCTTAAACCTGCCTCCGGCTTCCAAGATTCTTCACCAATGATCACTGGACAAGAGATGGTAAATTGAGTTCAGTTTTCATCTTAAGATCTTCTTAATCATACTATTTATTTTTTCGATTAGGAAGAAATTCCTTAACACACGGGAAATTCTGGACTCACCTGTCTCCAAATTTACACCTGCACTGTAACCAATCAGGAGGCAAACGAAAGGAAGCGCAGTGATCATCAAGGCATAACGTTTCATTATTTTTTCATTCGACCCTTTTGTTTTTTTTATTTCACTGCTTCTAAATCAAGGAACAAAAAAAAACAGATGTCAATAAATGCGTATGATTGTTGGAAGGATGCGAGTCAATCAGAGGTATCGAATGAATGAAAGATATTTATAGCTAGCTAACTTCGACTCGGCTGTTCCTGAAGTTCACCAACCTTGTACAATAAACAGACGAGATATGCTTTGGTGTTTTATGCTTGAAGGAGGAAGGACAAAGGGTAATAGTCGAGACAAAGTTGCACAACAAGAAGACTTCCTTGCCAAAAGAAAGGCTGAGTGTATTCAAGATAGCACACGCCTATCTGTTTGAGCTATGCTTGGAGGATTCTGACCTTCTAGACAAATCTCTCCTGTTCCTCCCGGAAGTCCTGACCCGGGGTTTCATGATGAGTTGGTCTTCCTTACACACAAGAGTTTCTCAGCTTTTCATATGTATGTACCAAGCAATCAACACCGGGGAATCTGACCCGTGCTCCTCATCCATCGCCTAATAGTCCACCCGGCTCTTCGTCAATCGTTTTCCCTAGGTATAGCGAAAAGCGCCCGGTTAGGCAGTACATAGTCAGGAAGTACAATCATCTGTAGATACCCCAGGCGAACGTAAGGTCCGTGTGCAAACGCCCCAGTCCCATAAATTTAATGTTGGATCAAGTAGCGTATAGAATATTCGGAAAAGTTGTAAATAATGGCTCAGGTAATATCGGATTGCCACTCGAGCAAAGCCTTCGTGGGGAGATTTATTTCATGTACAAACATTGCCTTGCCTGCATCTTGACCTTCAATTCGGACCTTCCGAGGAGTTTGCCATGTTTCAAGCGCGGAAGGATTATCATATATGTTGAGCTCTTCCTACAACTTCCATTGGTTGGCATCCATTGCTTAATAAATGAGGTTTGGGTTGAGTGTGAGGTCAAGTCTTCGGATCAGAAGTGCTTCAAGTTCATCAAGAATCTCTAGAATCGCCTGTCTGCATCTTACCACCAACGCAATACGCAATTAGGGAAGCAAAATAAAGAGAAATGATGAAATCACTACATATGTTTCATCATTTTCCCGATCATCTGTTTCTATGTTATTTTTATAGGACTGGGCAGCTAGGAAATAGAAATGCTGAAAAATTGAGGGGGAATATGTATAGGCTCCTCTAGGAAGATCAAGATGTCTGTCTGCTAATTGTAATTATACACCATAGAACTTGTGATTTTACCCACTTTGCTTCCAATTTCCCTGCCTTGCAAACCAATTACTTGCAGGTGTGCTCCCCTCACATTATAAACCAGCGAGTCCTCTGATTCTTAAAAGTACCAAATTTCTACTGTGTGGGACTGATGAAAAATTAAAACTAGCTTCTGATCCAGCCAGCATGCTGAATCTTCGACAGATGAATACCAAAATTTTCAATTGAACCAGAAATGCCATGAACCCTGGACTGTAGTTATTAAGTTATATACTTCATTCTACTGTTTCTGTTATTCTACCCACTATGAGGGATTCCTTGGGATGCGGTTTAGCAGTGGATTAAGAAAATACGAAACAGTAATAGTATCTAACAATCTGCCAGTGTTGAAAAAAAAATTGAGTCAGGGTAGGTGATCAAGGAGAAGGGGTCATGGGGGATCCTAGATATTCTCAAGAGAACGTGTTATTAATTAGCCGCGCTTTAATTTGGGTCTGATATTGGTGGTGCTGGGTGTGGTCGAGTCGGAGTGTCGAGTCGACGTCGGTGGAGAGAAGTATGTACCCCTCCTGGGGTGTCCATGAGCCCCCCTTTGATGATGAAGTCATCTCTTCTTCTTCTTCTTCTTCTTCTTCTTCTTCTTCAACCAACTTCAGCAAGAACCTGATCGAGAAAGGGCTAGTCAACACAGACCAAACACCCTAACCAATTCACGAGTATGGAGGCTACTAAACCACCAGAGATCCATCTGGACCCAGAAGTAGGTCACAAGTCATTCACCAAATTCCAACCAAACGAGTACCTGATCCAAACCATTACAACTCACAGGTCGAAGAACTATGGTCCTCTCGTGCACTCCTACTCGTCTTGGTTCTCTTGATCTTGTCCTTCTGGGTCTCATACTACCTCAAAATCAAACGGATCAAAACTATACACGAAACACTCGTCGCCCTTTTTGCTGGTTGAGTTTATCCTTTCCTTAATCAAAATTGGATCCTACTCTCCTTGATCAGTCCCACAAAAGATCTCATTCTGTTTATCCCTTTCCTTTCTTCTTTTTTTCCCTTAGGAATGGTCATTGGTTTGATTGTCAGGCTTTCCCCAGGCGAAGTGGTTCAAAACATGATTAGTTTCAAGAGTACGATCATGCTAAACGTTCTACTACCTCCAATCATCCTGGCCTCTGGTTATGATCTAAAAGAAGTAAGAACTACCCTGCACCAACCATTTTTGAACTTCTTGTTCGAGCTCACATTCCTTTTCCCCTCCCCCTGGATTGTCTACAGGAAAACTTCTTCCGTAACTTTGGCGTAATCTTAACTTTTGCATTCTGTGGAACTTTTGTCTCTGCAGTCGTCATAGGGTCTGTCATTCTTCCCTCGCTTACCGATGATCGGACCACATGTTAATTGGATTTACCTCAACAACAAAACAAAAAAGAACCTTAGTCTATATTTGGGCATTATTGGGTTTCGAAGGCCTTTCTCTAGGGATCATTGAATGTCTTTTGTTCGGATCGACTCTTTCTGCTACCGATCCAGTCACAGTTCTTGCTATCTTCAACACTCTCAAAGTCGACCCCAAGTTATATAGCATCATCTTTGGTGAAAGTTTATTGAATGATGCCATTGCTATTGTGATGTTTGAGTAAGTCTTGTCTAGTTTTCGCCTTCCCTGACCGATGATCTCTCACACTTCTCACCATCCCCGCTCATCATAATTTTTATTGTTTATGGTTTAACAGAACGCTATCTCATTTCCATGGGGAGAAAATCTCAATCCTCTCCTTCTTTCACGGTGTCGGAATCTTTTTGCTCGTATTCCTCACTTCTATGGCTCTTGGAGTCGTCTTCGGTTTGACGTGTTCACTAATGTTGAAACATTCAAGAGTTTCTCAATTCCCTGAGATCGAAAGCTGTTTGGTCCTGTTGATCGCTTATACCAGTTACTTTTTTTCTAATGCATCAACTATGAGTGGTGAGTTCCTCTTCTTTCCCGTTTCCCGTGTATCACCTGATATACTCTATTCATTGGTACTGAAATAACGTCTCTTCTTCAATTTTGAAAAAAGGTATCGTATCGCTACTGTTTTGTGGAATTACTCTGAAGCATTATGCGTACCACAACATGTCCCGGAGAACCCAAAGAACAACAAAATACATGTTCACTACCTTATCTTCACTTTGTGAAAACTTCATCTTTATTTATCTGGGGTTGAGTTTGTTCACCCAAACCCAACTAGTTTACAAACCAATTTTCATTTTTATCTCGGCTGTGAGTTTGAATCTTTCACCCCCCCACCCCCAATTCATTTCTGGATTACTCAGCCTGAGTTTTATGTACTAATTATTCCTTCTGAATACCCGATTGTAGTTATCGGTCTGTGTGGCCCGATATTGCGCTGTCTTCCCGATCTCACAATTGGTCAACGTCTTTTTCCGAAAGGCTCGAGGGACTCGAACAGACGAATTGCCACATTCTTATCAGATGATGTTGTTTTGGGCCGGCTTGAGAGGTGCTGTTGGAGTGGCTCTGGCAGCTGGGATTAAAGGGGACAACGCAGTCGCCTTAAGGACAACAGTTCTAGTCACTGTGGTGCTCACGATGGTAATATTTGGCGGGACGACGACGAGGATGATCGATATAGTCGGAATCCGGACCGGAGTTGAGGATGAAATAGATACGTCGGATGAAGAAGGTCTCGGGATCCAAGACCATGGCACCGGCGGCTTCCTTAGTTTGGCTCGGGATGATCATCGGGGAGGACTCTATCAGGATACAAATAGCCGGAAGAGCTCGCTTGGCGATTCATTAGATCAGACCACTAGCAAGCATCTACGAAACGTGAAGACAGATTTCAACGGAGCAAACTCGGATGACCCCTACAAGCGCTTCTCTCGAGGCCCGAGGGATCCTAAGAACGGTGTGATCTCCAGTCCAATGTCTGAAAGGTCGATAGCTACCCAGGATTCAGATGACGAGGTATTGCCTTCAGCGGATGCCCAGACTACTCAATTTAATCTGGAAGATGGTGAAGCTCGCCAAGGAAACGGTCAGGGTGTTGGTGGCAATCGGAAGGTATGGAGAGACGGACAATGGTTTACAGTTCTGGATGAACAATATCTTTTACCAGTCTTCAGTAATGCAACGGCCTCTCGAAAGCAAGCCTCCCGTAAGGCACTACGGAATCAGCGGGCCAGCTTAGCAGGCGATGCAATTTATCGAGCTCAATCGGATGCCGATCATATCCCATCACCACGATCGGGCCATCCAAATTCAGCCTGGAACTCGGAAGACAGTAATGGTGGAGGTACAGAAGGGAACCCCAATCGAGGAGGTGGGTATAGATATTCACATCATGACGATAGGCGCCAGACGCTACGTAAAAAAGTTTCCCCTTCCACCCCACACACCGTGTTCCAAGGCTCATTTACCGACGCTCTTTCTGCACTTGTAACCAATCCATTATCATCATCATCATCCAAAACCACCACGATCGGCGGAAACTCCGGGGTCGGCTTACTGGACAGTCTGAAATCCCACCGGCAATCGGCACCCTTGAAAAAGAAGGCGAGCGATGAGAATTGTTCTTCAGATCATCGCTCCAAGCCTTCGTACTCTCATTCTTCACACGAGAGTCGGGAGAAAATTCACATCCATGATAATCTTAATGGAACCCACCGGAATAGTAATCTTCATCAAATTCATCTAGGCTCTCTTCCCTCATCAGTTGGTAGTAACCATTCCATCAACGCCTTCACCTCCGCCAAACCACATCACGAGTCGAGTGATCCGAGCATTGGTACATCCACCAGCTCGACTCTCTCGATTCAACAAACCTCTAACCGAATCCGATCCAGCGCCCTTCATGACGAGAACGGTGAGAATGGTAAATTACAAACAACAGACGATTCCAAGTCGATGAACGGTGGTGATGATACCACCCACACCAGCGATCCTCCAACCGTCATCGACACCCAGCTTCTCTCTTCTCATCCTCTGCCTTCTTCCTCTCGGGTCAATCCGCATAACCATGTCCGTTGTAGATCAAGGGATCAAATCACTACCTTATCCAGCTTTCGTCATCAAGACGATGGTGATGGGAGTGGTGCTCTTGGTGAAACAGATCATTTCAAAAAATCGGAAGATTGATATTTACATGCCGTCCATTTGTCTCCCCACTTTTGTCTTACTTTAACTAATGTTGATTTCATGCTGTTGTTGTTTTCCCTAAACTGATTCATATTTGATAGACTTGTTGGTAACAGGCTTGATTAATTTTCTATTTTTTTTGAACAAAACAAAACAACAGACGGGTTTATAGAGACTTCTATTTATTTATTTTTATTTATCTAAGATTGCTATTAGAGTTTGGCTATGTTGTTGAATTATTCCCCATGTTTCCCTTGACTGCTTTTCTGTCTCTCAAACAAGTCCGCCGCTTTTATGAGTTTGCTCTCTCATCAGTCATGGAAATTTGGTGATCCGCAGGCTCAATCCATCGTCGGTTTCGAATTATGGTTGGAAGTTTGTTTGGAGGTGAGAATGAGATGCTTGAATAATAACGCAGCAAAAGAATTTGTATCCCCCGGGCCCAATGGATTGATTGGGCGGGCCCCACAGGCAGAGGGCCACCCTGACCTGACCCGCCCCGTCCTCGGCCAGGGTCAGAGTAAAAGTTGAGGCGCTTTTACCAACTTCACAGATTCGCTCCGAACAGACGCGTGGTGGACTGGCTCAAACGCGTAAATATAAGGTGAGCAGTAGCACCAGCCTCCAGGGCCGCAAACTATTGTGACCTTCTCACACTCATCATGACTGACTAGATCTACCACAGTTGTGCAGACATCATGCCACACTCGACCAGCAGTCCAAACAGTCAGAATCGGCTCCCAAGCAAGAGCTCAGAGCGACCCCGAGGAGGTCGAATCAAATCTCGGCCCGTCGGCAGTGATTCAGATACGGGTAGTGATGGGATGCGCGATTTTGTGGCCAAGCTGGGAATGGCGGAGGACATTGAAGTAGAGCGGCAGTTCCGCGAAGCCAATAAGGGCAAGGCCAAGCAAAAATCATTCCAACCCACGCGTAGAACAATCGACGAGGATGATGAGGTTGAGAAACCGGATCAAGAGGCCTTGAAGGCCCGCAAATGGCGTCCCATGAATGGTAAGTCTACATGCTGCTTCCATTTGAGCCAGATGAACATGTGTCCCACTCATTATCAGCTAATTATCAATACGTGTAGGACGACCTCCGGAGCATATGACTGCCTCCGTGGCTGCCCAGCAAAAGAAGTACAACCCGTTGATCAAAATGCTTGGTATGTCCTGAATGGATCTTTTTTTTTCACTTCTCCTAGCACTTCCGGGTGTTTCATTACTAAAAGAAACTTGGCATATCGAGACAGGCATCAAAATCAAAATCATTCGATCCGATGATGAGGACGATTCTAGTTCCACGGGCCACGACAATATCCTCTCTCGTTCTACTTGTAAGGCAACCAAAATTTTCTCTGAAAATTTGTCTGTTCATTTTCATGGAATCAATCCAAGTTTTCCACTATCATTTCTAGCATTTGGTTCGCGCTCACGTCCCGGATCAGACAAGAAAACTGCGTCTTCCATTCGTGAAAGTTAGTATCCATCAAGTTCTGTTTCTATTATGATGTGGTCGGATTGCTACTTAATTCTTTGATGGTAGGGTTATCTCCGGACCTACAAGCGTTGGAGTCGCAGGATGTATCCCGCGCACGCGATGAACTGTCTACAACTGAGTCTGACACCCCAAATCTCAAGAAAACTAATCAAGCGTCGTGCGTTTCTTCTCAACCACAAGAATTGCAAGTTCGTCAGGAGGCTTCAACTACTGAGGATGAAGATGAACCTCCCAAAGCGCCTCTTGCGAGGGAGCCCAAGGAGGGAAAAGATACCGAGAGAAATGCACGTTCATCATCAGGTACACCTCCGCCACAAGAATCGGAAGTTGTTCATGAGCTTTCAACTACTGCAAGTGAAGATGAGCCTCCAAAAGCGCCGCCTCCGATGGAATCTGAGGGAAAAATAGATACCAAAACAGATACTCTTCCGCCACAAGAATCGAGATTTGTTCATGAGCTTTCAACTACTGAGACTGAGGATGAACCTCCAAAAGAGCTTCCTCCGGCAGAATCACAGCGAAAGACAAATCCACAGGGAAATACTTCATTGCCGCAAGAATCGGAACCAGCTCACCAGCTTTCAACCACTGAGAGCGAAGATGAACCTCCAAAGAAACCCCATGTGAATGACTCTGAGGCCCATAGGTTGCCGGAGGCCAATAAAAACAACCGGACAAAATCTGATAGTCGTAGCTCGACAAATGCTCCCTCGGTTGATCCAACAACACAAGCAGACGAGAATCCTAGTGAACAATCCATTTCATCAATACGCCCAGACTCAGACTCTATCCCTTCAAACGTCCCCGACAAACGACCTCCTGGCGACTTGCTCCCCACGACTTCTCCCAACCATCACACTCACAAGGTTTGTTACCAGTGTGCAAGTGGTTGATAACAATCCCAACCTTACATAGAATGAATCTGATGCTTTTATATGCTGGGTATAGGTGACATACCCCCGCATTCAGGTAGAGGCGCGACCAAATCTCGAGATATCCTGTGAAGCTCAAGACGCAATAGGCCCACTCCCCTTGAGCAAAACTGTCCAACTTACGGCAAGCATCAATAAATTCTTAAAACCTTACCAACGCGATGGGGTCAAGTTCTTTTTCGAGCACTTCCAGCAGAAGAATGGGGTGATACTGGGAGACGACATGGGTTTGATAAGCTTCTTTTCATCAAAGGCTGATGACCAGTGTGTCTGATGCAGAGCTCTCTAATAGGTTTGGGCAAGACGATTCAAGTCATCGCTTTCCTTTCGGCAATCATGGGCAAGCATACCTGTTACCTCTCCCTTTTTTCCTGCAGGTAACTCAACAAAGGCGAATTCTTGCTTGTTTGCTACTAGGACTCCAAGGCACACCTGATGAAAAAAATCGACGGAAAAATGCGATAAACAAACTATCAAGTAATCGTTCTTACAAACCCAGCGAGCTGGGTCCTACTTGTCTAGTAATTTGTCCCAACAGTGTCATCGATAACTGGGCAAGGGAGATCAAGACGGTCAGCACTTTATGCATCCATTCGATTCCTGTGCTACATATGTATTGATTTTTTCTTCGTGCTACATCTGATTTCTTAGTGGGGGTACTTTGAGGCAAGTTTTCCTCATAGAACCCTTTCAATCTCTTAAGCAATGCAGCTAATTCAACTTTGACCCCCCCCCCATCACCAGTACAATACTCTGTGTGGGAACACTGCAGGGGCTGAAACTATCGCAAGGTTCAATGCAGGAGCATTCGATATTCGTGAGATTGTTCACCAGAATTCTGATCTTTTTGATTAGAAAACCTGATACCAATCACTGTTTTTTGCCAGTTATCTGTGGGTTCACATATGCTAGAGATCACATTGATGAAATATACGACTTGGATTTTACAGTAGTAGTGGTATGTCCTCTAAAATCGCCCATTGATCAAACAAAATCGCTCACAAAACGGCGCAATTGTGCTCTCATACCAGGTGGATGAAGTGCAGCACCTCAAGAATGCTAGATCTGCCGTCACACGAGCATTCCACAAGTTCAAGACCAAGATTCGCTTTGGGTTGACGGTGCGTGTAATTAGATCAGGTCATTGAAGCAAGTGTTAATTTCTATACATCATTTTTTTTGAAAGGGTACCGCGATGCAAAACGAACTATCGTAAGCTTGCGACTCGACGTTTCCTTCTTCTATTCGGTCTAAGTATGGTTGCTCACTTCCACAAGAAATGGACGTTCCCCACAATTCTAGTGAGCTCCACAGTCTTTTCGATTGGGTCCGGCCTGGCGCTCTGGGAACTTTGCGGATGTGGGAGGCATTTGTTTCGAACCCCCTGCTGCAAGCACGCAAGTCGAACGCATCTGTTTACGAAATGCAATTGGGTGCAGTAGGTTCTGTGAAATATCAATAAAACGCCAGTGGAATACTCCTCTAATTCTTAGTTTTGCATTCAGCAAAGGGCTCAAGCTTTGGTGAACAACTGCTGGCCAGATCTGCAACTCAGGAGGTGTTTCTTCTTTTTCTTCCATGGTCTCATTGTAGTTAATTTCGGACTGACTAATCACATCATGCAACAGGACCAAGTCTAAGATTTTGCATGAAGTGAGTCGAGCAAGATTCTCTTAGTTGACATCTTCACTGATTAACATTTACTTTGTAGCTTCCTCGTCGGACTGATCAAATAGCATTATGTCCAATGACAGAAACACAAAAGTAAGCTCGATGCGTCTCTACTCTCCTTAATGCATCAGAACACTGATGGAAATGTGGCAGATTGGCGCACCAAAACCTTATGTCTGATCCTGACGTCGTTAATATGAGAAATCATAAGGAGCCATGCCCTTGCAATAGGGTGAATGGGAAAGGGTAAGTTATCAAAAATTCCGCTTTTTACACCAGCTAGACTGATATTAGGGGATTTATTGTACACTCGATTCAAGGCAAAGGTATATGCTCGGCTCTTGTTGTGACCAAGGCTGGTCCAAGCGAATCTTTCCTTACCTCATCTTGTTCCAGAAGGTGATCAATCACTTGCGTTTATCTCTCTAAATCCGTTGACCATTAATGGTTGATGCCTCTCATTTTCTTAGGTTTCAAACCACCTGGCCTTAACCTATCCAAGTACGTTGACAAAATTTGCATCGGACTTGATCATTTTGGAATACCGTCATGTGTTGGCTTGAGACTGAATGTCTTCGTATCTCTCTCAGACAAGCAGGATAAAGCAGAAAAATATGAACAAGATAAAATTTATCTTGAAAAAATGTTTCCCAAGGGTGATTTCTCATTAGAAAACTTTTCCTCCAAGTATGATCCCGAACTGTGTGGGAAATGGAAAGTCTTGAAGCCTTTGTTGGAGCAATGGAAGAAAGCGCAGTTTAAGGTATTGCTATTTTCACAAAGTACAAAGATGATGGATATTCTAGAATACTGGCTGCAGCAAGATTTTCCAGAGTATGTCTTCCATTCCGATCTGATCCTTCATCCAAGATAATTATTTGGTTTCCCCTCTAAGAGAAATACTTCCTCTCGTATTACTCTAGGTTTGTTCGTCTTGATGGTAGTGTGGCGATTCGTGAACGATTCAAAAGAGTGGATGAGTTTCAGACGGATCCAAGCAAGTTCATCTTTTTGGCTAGTATCAAGGCTGCTGGTGGTAAGTGTTGCATGAATTGGTATGGAATCAATACAAAGAATCCAATTGGATTAAAACTGGACATCTGCTTCTTACCCATCACACTCAAGTTGGCTTGAATTTAACGGCAGCAAACAAAGTAGTAGTAAGTCTTACTTTGATCATTTAGAGGAATCATTCTGGTTGACAAACTGGACACGATTTCATTTTAGATTTTTGACGTAAGTGGGGTTCTTAAAATAGACACATTCCAGATTGATTGCCCGGCTTCCAATCTAATCATTTGTGTGCGACTAGCCATCGTGGAATCCCAGTCACGACGCCCAAGCCATGGACAGGGTAGTACGGATTGGACAGAAGCGTGAAGTCGAATGTATACGACTGATCTCGTCTGGAACGACGGAGGAACTGATCTATCACAGACAATTATACAAGCAAGGTCTTTCTGAAGTCGCCAATACAGGAAAGGCCCCATCCCGGTAGAGCATCGTAGTTGATTGTTCAGAATCCTCAACGCAACGCAAGCTGACTTGGTTGTGCTCACATGTCCTATCTTCTTCTTTTTTTCCAAGACATTTCACTGGAGTTCAGGGCGATAGCAAAAATCAAGGCGACATATTTGGGTCAGACATTCTATCTCTGCCAGCATTTCCCTCACCTCGATAATGAACTTACAAACCAATCAATTCACAGGGTAAAAAACATTTTCAAAAAGCAAGCCAACGAACGTGCCATTCTCGATCCAGAGGAGTAAGCTGGGCTTGTTCTATATTCAGTTGTAAGATGCTTGTTGACTCAACGATTCCTTTATCTGAGCAGACAGCTAGATGACGTAAGCCTGACGAGCAAGAAACAAAAAAAAATATGTTTACAAATTTGGTGACAACCCGTATGCTTTCGTTTTAGTTTTCCTATGCTTTCGATCAATTCGTGGCTAATGGTAAGATAGCAGCAAATGTAAGCTCTTGATGCTGGTACTCGAGTTTGATTGTGTGGATGCACTGACGTACTGAAACGCTCAAAGAAGGAAAGCGAGGATAAGTTTGAGCTTGTGCCATTAGAAAGGTCGCCGCAAAGTGCGTCTCTCTTTTTTCAGCTGTATTGAGGAAACCTTTCTAACTTTTTGATGATTCGACAACACAGCCTCACAGCCAGATGCGAATTCAGCTGAAGCACTATTACGGCACGTTGGTGTCGATATTCTCCCCCATGGAGTCAGTCGAGATTCAGTCTGGTTTGCCTTTTTCTGTTGGGGAAGATCAGGAATGCTTATTTTTTATCACTTTGTAGGAAGTGGTTAAGGCTGCTCTGGATCCGAAACATCATAGAGACGTTTTGCTACCTCGAACTGTATGTCAACAATAGTGTATTGTGCATTTCAGCCTTAAGGTTCACTGATTATTATTTATTTTTTTCAATCAAACAAATGAATAAAAAAGAAGCCTGCCAAGAAGGTAAGGCCAAGTGAAGTAACCCAGCCACCTCTCCGTGGAGGCAAACGGAAAGCCAAGGCTGCAGAAAAAAAGAAACTCCAGTCGGAGGAACACAACTCCTCCGATTCCTCAAGCTCGGATTCTCGTCGTGTTAGAGGAGTCGTTTCAAAGGATTTTGGATCGTTAAAATCTAAAAGGAAAAGATCTTCATGACTTTTGAGTTATGTATTATGTGAGCTTTGTATATTGTCTTGTAGTCAAAACAAATCATGTAGAAACTCGCATTGCTCCAGAGAACATATGCCTTGCCTCAGTCATATACCAAGTCATACCACAAAGTTGTACTTCCTAAGTAATGGCTGACCTAGCCACTTTCTGAATATTCAGACTTCCAAATTCTTGCATTACTTACAAACTTTTGTGTTGCTACTATATTTACAAAACAATATCATTAATTTGAGCTTGGGCATCATCAAGGATGAAGTATCATAAGTCTGACATAACTCTTCCACAGTTGGGTTGGCTCTGGGCTTGGGAAGTACCAATCAAGCTGGGCCTGACACACATTTTACTGCTGCTAAGGTTTGGTTGAAGATGGTGGTGCTGGATTAAGGCTTCTGCACAAAGATCCAACTCTAGTGCTACTTTTTTTCATTCTCAGGCTGTTTCAGTTGCAATGCACCATGACAAAGGTGCCTTGGTAATTTTGCATCTCAACTCCCAGCAGTTTGGCAATCTTGATTCACATGGGGAGGTATGAAAGCGAGAAAATGAAACATAGCTATGGTAAGAAGAGAAGATATTTAACCCACAAATTGGGAAGATTTGCAGGAAAATGTGTGAAGCAAAAACCTCATTTGTGGTGATTTTCATGTCATCTTTCATTTTCTACTTTCATGTTCTTGATGTTAATAGAATAGCAGTGTATGAAAATAATAAGGTAATAAATGGAGGTTGGTAGATGGTTAAGTTATGCGGGTTAAGAGAGCTAGAGGCTTTGTCTCTTGTTCATCCATCAGCCTAACTGAGAGTATGAGATCATCAGCAAGAGAGTTGTTGAGAGATTGGACAACCTTGATGGCATCAGACTGGCTACCAAAGACAAGAATGGCTCTGTTGATTGTTTGAGGGTCTCCAACCGGTAGAAAGACGTGAAGCAGCTGTCCATAATCTTGAAAAACTGTTTTGACATCTTCTGCACTTGTCCCTAGTGCAAGATTCCCAAGTTGAACAAAGGCCGGTTTTCCAGGTTGGCAGTGGGATTGACAATTGTCTTCTTCAAGCAAACAGCAAGAGCCGTGGCTGCTCATTGTGCTTGGTCAGTACAATTAGATCATCAGATGGATGGGTGAAGTTATTGAGGGGAGGAAGGTAAGTCCCCAAGATAGATAGAAATAAGACATATCCTGTTAGTATCAGCAGTTTTGTATCAAGATTCTATATTACAAGACTCAAAAAGCACTCTGAATGAAGAAATGGTTGAATAAAGTTCAAAATCTTACCTCATGCAATATTGTTGTACAATCAGATCACCAAGGCAAGTTTGGTGGTTAAGTTGGCAATGGAAGATCTTTCAAAGCTGAGGTGTTGATTGGCATGAGGGAGAGATGATGTGTTTTGAAGTTGTTGATGAAAGATGTGAAGTTTCAGATGAGCTGATTGGGTATGAAGGCTGTGGAGGCTGTTATGCCTCAACCAAGAATAGAAAAGATGAGTTGGTTAATGACAAACTTACTTCCAATTCAAGTGGTTAGCCAAGGTCAATGTCCGGGGGTGTTGAAGTAGATTTAAAGTGGAGTTAAGGTGGAGTTAAGGTGTGGATGAGGGCTGTTGGTTACAGCCAGGATTGGAACAGAGGGCACTATGCATGCAAGGTGCCACAGAATTAAAGTTGTTCTTGCAATTGTAATGGTAATTTAATTATAAAGTATTTGAGTGTAGTCATGAAGGATGTGATGGTATTCATAAAGGATGTAAGGGTACTTACAAAGTATGTGATTATGTAAGGGTGACTATAAGGCATGTAAGGGTAGTTATGAAGTATGCGAGAGTTGATATAGTGTTGCTAGATCAAATCTTGAGTTGCTGATTGTGTTGGGGAGTGACCAGTGATATTTTGTTGTTGGGGGGGGGCTGAGTGCAAAGTACTCTGTAAGAAGCCTCCTTATGTAGACAGATGTGAGGGATTTTAGCTCCAGGGTAAGACCATTTGAGACATTTTGGCTGGCCTGAACCCCTATCATGAGTGAATTTAGCCAGTCATTCTGCAGCATTGAGACATTTTTGCTGGCCTGAACTCCTATCATGAGGGAATTTAGCTGGTCAGTACACTGCCTTGAGGCATATATGCTAGCCTAAGAGATCTGATCTGTTGCACATAAATTCCACAACCAAACAGAGGATTCTGATGTTAAGTAGCCAGATCAAAGGAATGCATCTTGCTGAGAATCATAAATCCATGTAAGAACGTGGCACCATGGGCTAATTGGAAGTTGAACCCCCCAATAATATTTACCACCCAATCAATCAAGAGGCAACCATAGTCACCAAAATATCAGCTAACACCTTTCAAATTCCATGATGCCATGACTTGTGATTTTATCAAATCCACTCTTGAATGCCCTCATTTCAAAGTTGATTGTAAATGTTTAAGTGCATATACTGCCCATGTAACAGCATACCCCCGTGCCCCCCCGGCCCCGGGCCAGAGACACAAACTTCTCAGTAAAGAGTTCATCAACCGATTTTGGCCATCCAGCAAGAAGAAACCACGAACGAAGCAAAACGAAATTATTAATCGGAACCACCTAGGCCATTCTCCTTCTAATGGTACAAAAACCGACGTTTGATCCAGATCATCGGCTGAAGCTTTCGTTCATCGGTGGTTCGTTATTAACCGGCCTCTCGATCTGGTGCATCAAATCCAGCTACAAGAAGTACTTTCATCGGATCCGGAACGCTGATTATGTTACGCCTGACATGCTCAAGTCTTCGTCTCGTTCTATGACGCGTCCAGGCTTACGGATTAAGGGATTTGTGACCAGGCAGGTTCAAGACATTCACTCAATTATTTATAATAATATATATTATTGTAATGCTCGCCCAAGAGAAATTCTAGTCTGATTCAATGGTTGTTTGTTTTGGTTAGCGTAGGAGATGCAGATAATTTCAGAATATATCACACACCTGGTTTTGGATGGAATTGGTTAAGAAATGTCCCCAAAAAGAAAACAGGTTGAGTCTGATCGTTTGAATTTAAGCGGTCTGAATCTGATTGTTGGACTCCATCTCACTCGTTCTGGTAGATCTGAAGGACATGACCATTCATATTCGATTAGCGGGGGTTGACGCGCCAGAAGTGAGCTGACTAGATCCATGCCAAACTTTTCACGTCATTTCGATTCTAACATGAGTTTTTGTTTGGGGAAAAACCAAATTAGCTTGCTCATTTTGGCAATCCGGCACAACCCTTTTCGAGAGAAGCTTTGGATTTTCTGACGGGTCTGGTCAACCAAAGGAAAGTCGCAGTCGATCTACTCAGCAAAGATCGCTATAATCGGATTGTTTGTCAATTCTTCAACTCTCTTCTTGATCCATGAATCATCCCGACTCATCTTCTTAATTATCCTCTCTTTGGGCGCAAACCTGGGAATTCCAGGTAGGCATGGCTTTCGTACGTCGATGGAAGTATCTCCCTTTCACTCAAAACGTCAGTCTGGCGATGGTCCAGAAAGGTTGTAAGTATTCAACCGTCGACGTAGAACTTGAACTTAACCAACAAACACGGGATGGGAAACTTGAGTTTAATTTGCAATTCCCTCATCCTTTGCTTCAAAAAAGTAGCCACAGTCTATAGATCGGCGGGTGCTGAGTATGGGCGTTATGCCTCTCAACTAGAAAGAGCAGAAGTAGTAGCCAAGTTGAGTGTTGCAATATTTTATCCTTTTAGCATCACTCATTAACATACATACGCGTTCGACAACTGATCACCATGTCGAATTTTGCATTTGACAGAAGGAAAAAGTTAGGCATTTGGTCGTTAACTTCAATTGAGTTTGAATCGCCTAGAGATCACAAACTGAAACACTCTTCCTCTTCGTCCTCCTCATCATCGTCCAACAACAATGCCAATAAGTCTTAAGATTTTTTTCACTAATATTAGTGCTTGTGTATCCATGGAATGCATCTTGTCTTTTCACATTTCTTCTCAACCCCTTTAATGACCTTTCAACCTACTAGCAGCAAAATTAGGAGGCTACGACCTATTAATCATGATTTTCAACATTTTCTATGTATTCTATGATTTTTTGGGCTAATCAAGCCGTTTGTCCTTGCATGAATCTCTGCAAGCAATAAGCTCAATGCAACACAAAGCATGGAAGACTATTGGCATGCAATTCCTTGTCTTAGCCCTCAAAAGAGGTTTTTCTGTGCTACATGGGACATCTTATCTTACTAGTAAAGAATATCTCCTCCATGGATCTGGTCTAGATGAGTGCCCGGGTATCTTTGAAAGTAAGCAATAAATATAATAAGATTCAGAAACTGGATATCTATGATGAAGGTTCCCCTGAAACTGATGATTGGATTTCTCATTTTACATTTTTCTTCTCTTTGATTTGGCCAATTTCAATTGAAGTTCTCAGTGAAAAATCATAGAGGAAGTTCATGTACTTTTATCTTGAATCATGCTTCTTTTAAAATGAAGAGCTCAGGTTGAAACATAGAAAGCAATTTGTTAGAAAATCAAGGTTTGAGGATAGGTTTGAAGATGCCATTTTTTGAGAATAGAAGGTTTTTTGACAAGTTAGAAACCTATCAAACATATGAAAAATCAACACCAGACCTTGAATATCTGAATGAAGAAATCCAAGGTTTGATGAGCATGTTCCTAAGAATAGGAGATCACTGGGACCAACATTCAGATAAGATGAGACATTCAGATCAGTCAATTGTGAAAGAAAAACAGCTGTGCATTAGATTTCTGGTCTTGATATTGAATTTTATTGAAGAAAGCTATATTGGCTTGATAGAAGGGATTGAAGTTGACAAAGACTTCAACAAGAAATTATTAAACTTCTATCACAATTAGACCAAATTATTAAAGATTTAGGTCAAACAAAAACCAGGATTAACCGAAATAAATTGAACATGCTTAAAAATCAAGTTGAGGAAAAGTGTTTGAAAAATGATCAAGCTGTTGGCCATTTCCTTCCAATTTTGGATCCATCAAGATATTATAATTATATGATGAGGGATGAAATTGAAAAATAAAAAGAGATCAATCTATTGAGAAATTGATGCTCTCAACTAAAATTGGGCATGACCACCATCAAAATCAGTCCAAGGAATAACTTTGACCTATGAAGTTCTGATCATCATCTGATTACTTTCTACTTCCTTTTTGATTGGTGATAGTTTTTTTTTTCTTTTGGAGTTCAACGCTGAACTATCTCCTGCTTGACTGTTTCCTGTTGTATTTTCCTCTGATCCAATGTCTCAGACTCTGATCACTTGTTTACTTTCTTCATTTTCATTACCAATGCTACACTCAACTTTCCATTAATCCATGTCCCTTGCTGAGAACAAAATGCTACTGAGGAGTGTTCCAAACCGAACTAGGTGGACCCTTTCACTATGGTTTATTGGAGAGTACTTCTGGGTTGAAAAAGCTGTGTTGAACATGTCATTTCTGCCGGATGTGACCCCGGGGCCCCGGCTCCTGTGTGCTGGTTCCCCGCCATACCCCGGGTCCCCCCGGCTGTCATCCCATCCTCAGCTAGTCTTTTTCCATTTCCGGTACTTTCTCTCCTCATCTTCTCCCACATTCCTTATTTTTCGTCTTCTTCTTGCTTGTTATGGAATTATCTTGATCAAGCAAATCGACTCGGTTCGAATCAAAGTATGGCAGTCGATATCATCAACCAACAGACGGAAGACGAAGATATCATCATCTCAGACGATGAGTTCGATTCACTTCTTGCGACTATCCCATTGCCCGGATTCCCCCCAACTGATCACCAGCAACAGCCACCATCTCAATCTCAAGACCAACACAGCAAGAAACGGAAGGCTGGCGATATCCGTCCAACTATTAATACTAGCGATGGACTCACCAATTCTCCCGATCAAGCTTATGATCCTATCAAATTTGGTGAAATCTCAAAATACATGACCAACAAACGAAAGAAACTCAAGCTACAGGAATCAGCGCTCAGAGAGAACGAGCAAGGAAACTCAAATCGACCGCAGATCTTCTCTGGACTTGTCATTCATGTATGTCGCGCAGACTTTGAACCTCATCTTGTAAATCGTTAATTGATCTCAGCCATCGTAGGTCAACGGTTATACGAATCCACCGCTCTCTGAAATTCGCAGTTTAATCATTCTACACGGTGGGACGTATATGGCATATCTGGATCACAAATCAGTTCTGACGGTGAGCCCAGATGTCCTACCTGATGGCAAGAAAGCGCTATTCAAATACTGATCCCATCCCTCATCAACTTTAGCATATCATTGCCTCATCATTAACACCAAAGAAACGCGAAGAATTTCGTGCCTACAAAGTAGTCAAACCCGAATGGATCGTACAATGTGTTTCTGCTTGTCGATTACTGAATTGGTCCGACTTCCGTCTCATGGGCGGAAATATGCTCACCCAACCCAGGATAGCTGAAGGAGAAGCTACTGGCGGACAAGCGCCTGCTCAAAGAAATTTATTCGATCTGGCCAAAGACCTTCATTCTGCTCGGTCCACACAAACATCCCCTCAACTTACACGACCAAAACAAATCACACCTTATCACCCATCCCCACTCTCTCGGAAATCTAGCACTCCGAAGCATACATTCCCAATCGTAGCCTCTGGCATACAATCCACCTTGAAATCAATGTCAACGCGATCAGCGATTGGAAATTCCAAGAAAGAACATAGTCCGACTCTGACTTCCTCAACTATCTCATCTCGTCCTGCTCATTCACCAGCAAAAAATCAATCCAAGAATTCACAGCCCAGGGACCAACACAGTAAAGAAGCCATCGAAACCCCTGTCCAAGTTGATTCAGGCATACTCGAAGGTATCGCAGAGCTCCCGAATCTCGGCGCAATCTCGTGTTCGGATCCCAGTTTTATCAAGACATATTTCCAACAATCAAGACTACACCATCTCAGTACATGGAAAGCAGAGCTACTCCAACGAGTATCAATTCTATCCGAACATAAGAAGCCGACCTCAAATAATTCAGTGGTATCCCATAAGAAGTTAAAGGGAGACGCGAGCGATAGACGGGTGATCATGCATGTCGACTTCGATTGTTTCTTCATTTCAGCTGGTTTGATTGCACGGCCAGAGCTTAAAGGAAAACCTTTAGCTGTTTGTCATGCCAAGGCCACCAATTCTGCAAAGCCAAACGGAAGTACGAGTGAAATCGCCAGTTGTAGTTACGAAGCACGGGCATTCGGAGTTCGAAACGGTCAGACGTATGTATATCATATAATTCTTATGCCAATCATAGATTTAACTGACAGGTCAATATAAATCCTACAGACTCGGTAGAGCTAAAGAATTATGTCCTGAAATTCAAACCATCGCTTATGATTTCAAACTATATGAAGACCTGTCGTTCAAATTCTATAACATTCTTCTCTCTTACGCTGATGAACTTCAAGCAGTGTCAGTTGATGAGTGCTTGATTGATGTTAGTAGTCGATTTATCAACCAATATGGACCTGACGGATTTAACTCAATCGAATCCTCCGCACTGAAACTCGCTGAAGAAATCCGAACAACCGTACGGAGTGCGACTCAATGTGAAGTTTCAATCGGTATTTCTTATAACGTCTTGTTGGCTAAGTTGGCCACCAAGAAAGCGAAACCTTGTGGCGCCTTCTTTTTGGATACCGGTCTAGCGCAGGCGATTCTCAAGGATCTGTCGATAGATGATTTGCCTGGCTTCGGATGGGCTCAGAAGAATGAAATCGATAACAAGCTTTCGGTGGATAATGTTGGAGACCTTCAGACGTTCCCTCTTTCTCGACTCGTTGAAGTTTTGGGCCCATCGAGGGGAAAAACTCTTTATCAATATGCGCACGGACTAGATGACCGCACCCTCAAATCTTCAAATCATGAGAGGAAATCGGTTTCTGCTGTCATCAATTATGGGATCCGCTTCAAAAAGCTTGACGAAGGGGGTAATGACGACGTCCGGATCTTCTTGCGACAATTGGGTCAAGAGGTTTCACGTCGCCTGACTGAATTAGGAGTTTCTGGCCTTCAGCTAACTCTGAAGATCATGAAACGTGCCCCAAAATGCACCGGTGGAGACCAAAAAATACATGGGCCATGGGATTTGTGAAGAATCTAGTAAGACGACCAAGCTTTCTGGTCCAGGTGGCGTCGGTGTTAGCGATGGAACAATCATTGGGAATGAAGCATGGAAATTACTTCAATCTATGAACATTCCCCCTGAAGATCTCCGAGGGATTGGAATCCAAATCAATCGACTCGAGAAGCTTTCTAAGAACATTCACAGTGATAAACCTCAAGGCCAGTCAACATTAATGTTTCAAACCACCAAACCTATGGAACCTCCTGCTCGCCGACAAGATTCTCGACGCCAGAGCATTCATAGCTCTAATAAGATAATCACAAATCACGGAGATCGCACGCCGGTTGCATCAACCTCTAAGAAAATCTTTAAAACACCCGAGGCACTTAATTCTACCCCTTTTGCTATCCCACCAGCTTCTCAACTTGATTTGGAGGTGGTGGAAGCTCTACCGACACCGCTTAAATCTCATATCCTGAAATCGATTGCTTGTCATCAAAAACCTCCTAATACAAGTAAATTGGACAATCATCAGGATACGATTGACCTCGTCACACCAGATAGTAAAATGAGAGAAAACCCCAATCAATTCGACCTACCTTCAGTTAGTCAGGTTGATTGGAAAATGTTGGCCGAGCTCCCTTCATCGGTACGCAAACCAATCGAAGCAATCTATGCCCAGCGGCAATCTCGTCGACAACTTCCTCCACCCACTCCACCCAATTTCACTCGAGGTCTCAAGGGCCATCGGAAGGAGGTCAATCATCGAATACCCCGTTCATCGCAGAAGAAAGACCGTCTTGCCAGCTTACATTTGGCTTTTCAAGACCAACGAGTCTCTCGGGCAAAGTCCACCATCAAGCATCGTGTTGCCCCTCTGGGCCCCAGTCAGAAACTCATCAACAAGAAGACCTTCAAACTGATCACCAGAAATCAACCAGCCAAGACACCCTCCAAGAATGAACAGGGAGATGCCGAAGAGGAAGCTACCGAATTACTCCCTACACCCAACAAGATAAGTGATGAGCAGCTAGAAGCTCTGGAAATCGATGTGCGATTTTTCAGGGAGCTCAAGGGAAATTCAACTCGAGCGTTCCAGCTAGATTTGATTTGGAATCAATTTCAAATCCATTCGAGTCGGTTTAAGGAAGTGACTCGACGGACGGATCGATGGAAGAAGTGGAGGAAGAACTTTGATCGACCAGCAAAAGTGCTTCAGATCTGTTTGCCAGAGCCGCCATGTTTGGCTAGTCGAGGAGGGGCTCGAGGACGGAAAGGATTGAGCAAGCTCGAGGACGTGTTGGAATTGATTGAGCAGTGGATGCTATCCTCGACCGACTTACCCACCCACCCAGTTGGGATTAGTGGAAAACAGCCATCGACCATAAGTCTGGTTGAAATCGATCAACGAGATCTTGAGATCATCCAGAAATTCTTGATCGACTTGATCGATCCCCCTCCTCCTCCTCCTCCTAAGCTTTCTCCCCTCGACGGTCAACAACAATCCTCACTCGGTCAAGACTTCGAAAAAGTCTTCAAGATCATCCAATGGTGGGATCATCTCATCCTTAAATTATTCGCTCACAATCATCCTGCTTTCATCTATTGGAAAAATATCTTGGATAATCTTAAGCTTAAAATTAATTCAATCGCTTGTAGAGATTTTGGGGACCCAATTTATTGAATACTGAAAAAAAAAAAAATACACGTGAATTGAGATTTCGACTTTCTTTTACCAGGTTTCTCATCTCGTTCATTCAGACATCTTTTGTATCTTTTCTCATTCAGACATCATTTGAATCTTCTCTAAGTTGTAACTCTCCTGAAAAATAACTGTTTGGAGCTATGTGTTGTAATCTGTAGAAGTATACATGATCAAGTAATCAAGAATCGTGACTTTTTTGCAGTGGAGGGTTTCACGCGGGCAGTGGTGAACCCCCCGGGGGACTCTTAGGGCAAAAGTGGTGGGATCAGGCTGAGGCTTCCTGTTGACCACTCTTGCTGTTCCCAACTATTTACCAAATACCAGCAAGAGGATGAAAGAATCATCTCGGACTGAGAAAGAGAGTAAACACAAATCGAGCAAGAAGAAACACCGATCAAAACATAAGGAGAAACGCGATCGGACCGAGAAGGAGGAGGAGGAGTCTGATGAGTGGGTCGAAAAAGAACAGCCATCGGAACATGTTACCAAGGTTTGCATTCTCCTTCAGTGAAAGAACCCCCCCTCACAATCAGGTCCAAAAATGCTGACGATTTTCTAATGATCGATAATCTCAGTCGCCCCCAATCATCCCTAAACCTAAACATTTCACTCCAAACGATGGTCAAGATAACGAGAACAAGGAGACGAGATCTTCAGGACGGGAGAGTTGGATGATATCCAAGAACGGATCAACAGGCGAACAGGGTACTCAGGAAGACGACTTTCTAAGTGGCCTGGGTACATTGGTTAGCTCGAGAGTCAACAAGGAGAAAGAAGATCAAGCAAAGGCCAAAGAAAATGACTCACTTCGCCAGGTTGGTTGTTTTCGTCTACATCGATCGGCTCGATTCAACTCACTAGATTTGTCTTTCAAAATTCATCTTAGTCTTCTAGCTCTATCAAACGCCTCGGAGCAGACGATCCGGATTACCAACCCAATGCCCAACCTTGTAAGATATTGGAAATATTCAGCTAGAACTGGTCGACGACAACTTTGCTGATGGTCTTTATTTTTTTATGTTTACATAGCTCAAACGCCAGTCATCCCAGGAGGACCCGGTTATCAGTGGAGATTGACAAAGCTAAAGCGAACTTTTGATACAGCTAAAGAGGAGAATCGGCCTATTGAGGAAGTAGCTCTTGAAAGATATGGGTCGCTAGAAGCCTGGGAACAAGCCAACGAAGAACGTCGGATCGTCGAGGATCGTCGGAGCAATTCTGGCCACGAGAGTGGGCGTAGTACACCTCGCCAGGATTCCTCGTCCTATGAGCGCCGATACATGTTCACCAACCATGAGGGACACGGTAGTAGTAGTCGGCCAAACAGTCGTGCTGGCTTTCGCAAACCTAACTCTGTCCTGAATACTCCGGAAGGTGGCCGTTTGACGACCAACAAACGCGTGGATGAGATCCGAGTTGGCCCTTCAACTTCCAATCCCGTCTCACCTTCACCATCTGGCCCATCAACCCCCATCCCTTCTGTCATCAATCCCCTTGCGAATCGAGCATCACATGCTGGGACAACTAAGCCTCCAACGAACACAACCACGCTCAATAAGCTTCAGGCCAGCATACTCAAAGCTAAAATGATGAATCCAGAAGCTGTCCCCGAGCTTGAAAAACAGTATCAAGAAGCACTAGATTCTCAAAAACACGATTCATCGTCTCAACCAACAGTAGAACTAATCCCGTCCCTCGACGGAAGAGGAAGGATGTATGACATTGGTGCTGGGATCGAGTCTGAAGAGGCTACCTCATCGAAGCCGGGAAACAAGAGGAAAAAGGAGGCCAAGGTAAGTGTTGGAATCTGTGGGCCGTTCTGTAGTTCCCAACTCTGGTTGACCTATGTTCCATGTTTAGTTCGAAACGCGTGATCCGAAGACTGGAGAGCTGTTGAGATTCAATGCAGATGATGATCAAATCAGTTTAGGTCAAATGGTCAGACAAGAGAAACTTCAAGCAGGCGCCGCTGACCAGAAAGATTTTGATGTCGAAATGGCCTCAAGGATTATGGGTGATGCGAAATTCGAAGTAAGGCTTTTATGGGAATCCTTTGAATGACTTTCGACAATTTAAACCGATCAGTTAATCCTTTACTTTTCCTTTTTTTTTAGAATGATCTTGATTATATGGATGATAATGCCGATCGATTGGCAAGGAAGAAAATGAAAACGGACGCATCGAAGCGATTATTCGCCATCAATGGTATTGTCTTTATCTTGATCCATAGAAGGAACGGAAAAAGAAAGGGGATTATAGAATGATGCTAAAACATTGTATGGTGAACTTAGACTATGCACGAACGAGAAAAGCGCTAGAAAGTTGCGAGTTTTGTTTCAAGGACGACGGATCACCGCCGTCGAATTTAGGGATAATCTCGAGTGGGACAAAAGTGTATTTGAGTTGTACTCAATTCGAAGAACTCGTCGAGGGGCATTGTTGGATCGTTCCCATGCAACATTGTCTTTCCACTTTGGAACTTGATGATGACGTGTGGGATGAGATTAGAGTAAGCGCCTCTTCTTCTGATTGTTATTATTATTATCATCGAATGCCTTGGTTAGTCTAGCATCAACACTAATCACTTTTTCATTCTTATTCCAGAACTACATGAAATGTTTGATGAGGATGTTCTCAGAAAAACACGATAAAGGGGTTGTTTTTTATGAGACAGTTTTGAGCTTTAAACATCAGCTGCATACCTTTATTGAAGTAGTCCCAATTCCATGGGATTTATTTAATGATATACCTGCTTATTTTCGGGTAAGTGGCTCTTCCTTCATCCATCCGCCCAATCCCTTATTAATCATCAAAATCCACCTATTTCGTTTTTTTTTAATCCGGCAAATTTAGGAATCCATCAACTCGTGTGAATCAGAATGGTCTCAACACAAAAAGCTGATCAATTTTAGCGATAGGCCGGGTGGTTTCCGAAAGGTCGATGGTCTCCAAACTACCGTACTTTATGATCCAATGAGATTACAAGGGCGAAAAGGGCTTCGGACATGTGATTGAAGGCAATGATGAGCAAGTCGCTTCTAAGGGCGATACTGGAGCAGAGGAAGATTACACTTCGATTGTGGATGATGGGTTAAAAGGAAGCAAATTTCCCAGGTATGCTATTCCCATATATGTCTCATCTCTCAACTTGCATGTCTCACCGTTGAGTTTTTTTTTTGTTCTAGATACTTTGCAGCCGAGATCATCGGGAATCTGTTAGAATTAGAACCCCACAAGTGGAGGAGACCTAAACGGATTGGCAATCATCATCATCATCATAAAAATCATCATGAACGCAGTAAGAATAATAATGGTTCTAGTAGTGGGAGTAGTAACAATACTTTGTCAGGTTTGAATCGGACTCGAGTTGATAAGTTTTTGAATCAGTTGGGATATTCTAAGTTTGATTGGATCGGTCTGTTGTAATCATCCACTTTTTTTTTTTTTCATGGATGAATCGTTCCTCTTGGGATTTTGTGTTTTGGTTGATCATGTAAAGTATTTCTTCGATCAAGTCATTCATGTAAAAGATTGTTCAGTTCAGTATATGCCTTTACCATCAATGCAGTTTCTCGTTAGTTGGTCAAAGCCACACGGCGATACTTCTAGAGCTGTCTCCAGTTCCTCCTAGGCGCTTCGTTGGGTTTGAACTTTGGCAGTGTACTAGTGCTTGCGACTGGCGCGTGGTAGCAAACGCCCACACCGGACATCCAGGCTGAGACTTGACTACATCTCACCAGGCATCTGCTCTTGGCACGATTGTACAGCTACTCCGCTCGCTAGCCACGACGCTCATGATTCCTCTCCGATAATGAGTTGCTCGTCGTGGCATGGAGAAATGAAAAGCCAATGGCCTTGTGGCCTGCTTCTCTTCTTATAAATAGCCCACTTATTCACCCCTCTTGTTACCGAATCTCCATCCTATACATCTCATCCCATCACACCATCTTCATTCATCATCCTCCTGTATTAAATAGTATCTGTCCATCTCCTTCCCGTCTACACCCACCCTCTGCTTAAGGTAAGCTTAGTCTCGAGTCTGTAAGGACTCCTTCTTCAAATCTTTATCCGACAGTTTACTGACTTGATTTCTCATCTCCAAACTTGGGTGTTCTAGTTAGCACAACAAGGATCGTCAAATCTTTTCGTCTTCCTTTCCGGCCACCGAAAACACCCAGCCCAAAAAGTCGCAGAATGTTCGGATTCTCAGCCGTCTCCTTGGTCGCCCTTTTGGTCAGTCTGCTCCAAGTGCGAACCGGCTCGGCCTTGCCGACCCCTCAATTCGTTCCCGTGGGCATGCCGATCGTCATCAACCCCGCGCCCATTGTTCCCGCCAGACAAGTCGTGCCAATGGTGAGTCTCCCCTTTTTTTTCAGTGTGTCTTTTTTAAAACTCCAGGCTCACTTTCCTCGCCCTTTCTTCCCCTAACCTTTAGCCCGCTATGGTCCGTTACTACTAAGCATCCGCCCCCCCCCCCTCTGTGCGCATGCAAACTGTCGAAAGACGGCTTCATGGGTCCTCCCGCCCTTCTGGTCACCCCATCAGTAACAATTATGTCCTCCCTCCTGTTACCCTCTACCCTCTCCCTATGAAGATGCACCTTCACTTTACTCCATGTATATCTATATCACTCAATTATCATATCATGTCTTCCTTTTTCTTTTCTTTTCTCATTTATGTGTGTGTTTATAGCAATTTGTTCATATTTTATCGACCAATCATAGAGATTATACTTAACATTATCATAGAAATATCTACGCTTTTATATAATTCCTAAAGATTCAAGTTATTGAAAGAAATACACATCGACTTGGTGATTTCCATCAAAACGTCAACTTAAACCCTGCTCGATGCGCCCCATTTCCTGCCCATTACATGGCGAGAACAATTTCCAGATTTGTTATGAGGACGACGCCTTTGAGAGAGAAGATTGGTTTGCCCAATGATGCCGCCCGAAAAAACCTACCTTCCAACCCCAAGAAACACCTCACTTTGATTGGGTTGTTGTCAAGTAGAGCCTCAGATCAAGAAGAGATCATTTTGTCCGCACATACGGTCGATGACTTTTCAACCTGCAGATCAGTAAAAATTACAGGACTCCTGCGGCGACGCCTTGTCCCAGGCCAACGCGCTTCATCCCGTCGACAGACGCATTTTTTTTTGGAGACCAGCAAAACCAGACACTGTTGTCGTACAAGTGCCTCCCTTCTATATTCAACTTGTCCCCCTCTGTTTTTGCAGGAGGAAGAAGGCGCTGTCTCGCAGATACCCTCCGCTCCCATTGCGCCGACCAGTGATTCACCAGCCCCACAAGCAAGAGAAGGGACTTGGTAAAGTATAGGCCTCTCTTCTTCGCGAATCGCAAGGCGCCGCCAAGTTGGGCAAATCGTGTGCAAGCTCTTGTTTTTTTTTTGACTATGTAGCGTAAGGCTTGCGGCGGGCTGCTAGATGACAACTGCTCGGGTATGTAGCAAGCGCTGAAAGTTGACTACCGCCAAGGATGATCTGCTCCTGCGCGATTGTGACTTGGGCCAAGCCTTCTTTATAACTTGATGTTCCTCGCTGGCCCCCACCAACACACTCATACGAATCCTCTCCGATGATGAGTGGCTCAGCCTGTGGCATGGCATGGGAGAAAGAACGCCAACGGCGGGTGGCCAGCTTCTTACAAATAGCCCACCCCACTACTACGTTTGTTTGAGAATCCCCATCCTATCCATCTTATCCCGTTAAAGCATCATCCATCCATCCATCCATCCATCCCGTGCAGTATTAGTAATAGTATCAGTTCATCCCCCGTCCCCTACATATCCGCGTTTTCCTCCAACTGCTGCTCCCATACCTTCAGGTAAGCTTAGTGTTCAAGTCTGTGGACTGTCTCTCATCTATGGTGCGATTATTTTGATGGCTTGACTGACTTGGCTTGTTTTTTTTTGTGAACGTGACACCGAAACCAGATTGCACAAGTGGGTCTTTCCTCGTCTGTGTGAGATACATTTCGAACAAGCCGGTCAGTTGAACATAAGCCCAACCATCGACAACACAAGAAAGAACCCTCGCGACCAACAAAACACGCCCAAGCACCCAACAGAATGTTTGCCTTTTCAACCGTCACCTTGGTCGCCATCATGGTCGGTCTGTTTCAATTGCAGTCCGGGACCGCCTCGCCGACGCCCCAATTCGTTCCTGGGCCGTATGGTCCGATGCCGGTCGGCTACGGAGCCGCTCCCATTGGGAGACCGGTGCCTGTGGTCGTAAGTCTCCCTTCCTCAATCTCCCCCCCCCCCCATATTGTCCAAATGGGCAAGTTATTTTCAGATCCTCATAGACTGTAGACTGACTTTTTTTTTACTCGCTATCCCTCTCAGCAACAATTCCCCGGCCAGCCTCCTATGGTCCGTTATTACTAAGCTTTCACTACGTTCTTCCCTCGGAGCGCTGGGAAACGATCGATTGGCACATGTATTCGCTTCTTCATTGAGCTTCATCATTGGTTCGACCCTCTTTTCTGGTGACCCCCCTCCATTAAACATAACCTCTACACGCCGTGTCGCAAGTTCTTGCCCTCTTTCTACGACTCATCTGTACCTCTATTTTTTTTTTTTCTTCTCTTTTCGTAATTGTATCATATCTATTTCACGCATTTAATATATCATACATATTATTTCTCTTTTTCTTTCTTTTATTTTCATTACATATTTTATAAGCTCTCTGTATTTTTTTCTTGTAGGAAAAAAAAGGAAGATTTATGTTAAATAAATAGTTTGAAAAGAAAAGAATAAACACTGGGTGTTTATAAAGAAAAAAAAAAAAAAAAAATTGATATGCACATGTTCTATTCAGATACTCCTGAAAACCTTGATTTGTTCCTGTTGTCAAACAAAACCACTTTTAACAAGGGTCTTTAGTTGTGGGCCATTTAATGGAACAACCTTTGTTCTACACTTTCAGGTCACTTTGAATGTGCTGCTACAGCTAGCCAAGTCCCTCTATTGGAGGGAGGAAGTCCCTCCCGCAGGGACCCTCCGAACTGCTACAGAGCAAGGAGTTCCTCGACTGCAGTCTGTTTTTGAGCGCCGGGAGAGCTTTGTGAAGGTAGGTGA